GCATAATCCAAACGGCTTTAGTTTATCATATCCATCAACGTGCCACACATGATTTGGTCCTTTAGCAAAGTAAGAACGTCTGGTTAGTCGTCTAGCTGTTCTGGCTGCTACGCCTTCTGGATCCAGATACTTTAAAATGACACGAACATCCTCCTTTCTCACATGCATACCATTCTGTCTGCATTTAGCATGCATCATGCGGTATCCGTGCAACTGACCTGACCCTTGAAGCTCATGCTCAATAAACTGTACCACATCAGCTAAGTTAGTGTAATGTCGGCGACGAAAGTTATTCAGAGCTAATATCCTCTTGAGATGTCTTTCACTAAGTTCTATGCCATGTTCTTGTGCTAAGATATAAATGATTTCCTTATAGGACATTCCCAGGTTAAAGTACAAACTGATCAAATGATCACGGCCAGCCATTGACTGTGTTCAGTGGAATGCTGACGCTGATGCTAATGCTGATCTTGGCTTTGATTAGTTCTAAGCTTTCCCACCAAGTCAACCGACTATTGGAAATCAATCTGATGTCGATGTGCCAGAGCATATGTATGAAGGAACCTAGAAAGATAAAAAATAACAAAATATTATAACAATATAACAATAATGCTATTAGTAAAATAATAACATTTTAGTCATACTCATAATAATCATAATAATAACTAGAAATATCACTGAAGGTGATTAATACCCCCGCCCCGCGCAGTTATTCATTGCGTCACAGTATGTTTTGTTTTTCAGTTTTTGGAATAATATGCCGTTACCATGGCAACACACATTCTGTCACTGTCCCAAAATGTGTCCTACACATCTACACTTCAAAGCAAACATGTGTGCCAAGTTTAATTTGAAAATGCATTTTCCCCTCAATTGTTGGCATAATATGTCGTTACCATGGCAACACATTTTCCCCCATTCTTAAAAAAGTTTCTTGCACATCTACACCTCAAGGCCAACATGTAAAAAAATTGATAAATCTGTTCCCTTTTCCATTTAGCCCCCACCCCTGATCCTAATGAACCCACCCCTGATGAAGGTGACAATAGCTAATCTTGAGCCTTCTGTTCATTGAGCTTCAAATCAATCCCAGAAAGTCATACCTGAATGAGATTAGCTGGGTGGTCAATGCTGTGCTGGAGGCTAGGGTGTGTATGCATGGGTCACAGCTGCAGAAAACACCCTACAAAAATTGTGCCTAAAAAGAGAATTTAAGAAAAAGTCAGTAAGTGACCTGTGCAATTAATACCCATATCAGGGCTGCACAAGAATTAGGTCATAAGTTTCAAGAATAAGGTTATGTGCCAACTAATGCCCAGAAAATTGGATTGTTTAGGTCTATCCTAAAGGTACGCTACAGCTCTAAGAGTCTATCAGTTCAGTACGTACCATCTACAGGTCCTTTGGATTCAAAATTACTGAGTCTGTACTCTAATAAGTAATCAATAGTCTGTCCATCATCAAAGGTGTTCAAGTCTAAGATTGAGAAGAGCCACCTACGATTCAACTATCTATTCTTTGCGCCCTCTCTCATCTGCTGCAATCATATACCAACTGGTCCAGCATCGTATACATCCAGATCCAGAAATCGTTACAAGTGTTTTCAAAACTTTTTCCTAGAACTTACATTCCATTACCCCTCATCTTGCTGCCTATTCTTCTATCTAATTTAATTTCTTATTTCAATTCAGTTTCTTTTTTTAACACTTACACTGAATAGGATTATAAGAGGAATTATCTTACTTGGAAACTCTGGATAGAACCCTTGTCCTTGTCCTTCAATTGGTGAGCTGAGCCTGAGGGATATTTCTTCTCAAATGCTGCCTCAGTGTTGCCGAAGAACACGCTGAAGACAGAAAACAAAGAAGCAGTGATGATTAGTGAGGCAATTTTTTTGTTACCAAAATCATTAGCTATTCTTTTTTGGAAGATGGGAGATGAGTATGTGGTCCATGCATGGATGGACCATATACATACATGTATGATATAGGGTCTAGAGTCTACTCCCAACTAACTTATATAGATGTAGATCCTACACATGTATTAACACTTATGTATGACATTAGTTTAAGTTTGTCGATGTTTTAGCCAGGCATTAAGTTACTGAAGAAATACAATGAATACAAAATTAAAATATTGAAAACACAATCAATAATAATAATAATCCGCTTTTTTATAGTGCTCAAGAGTAAGACATTAATAATGTATCTAAGCAGTTTACAGATTATTATTACCCCGTCCCCGGTCATCGGATTCAATCAGGATTGCCCGCACACAATGTATGCACATTCTCCACTCCCTGGGGGAGTATTCCAGCCATGCATGCAGTCTAGGTCTAGTCCTTATTTATAATATTTCAAAACTTATTGATTTTCTACACTCGTAGTTACTAGTACAATAAACCACCCCTGCAGGCATGGGGCTCACTACGTTAGCCCCATGGTGTATACCTATCTAAAACGCACAGGCAACAGTGTTTTTCCCCCCAAAGAACTGGTTAAATAAACTTTTCATGCACACTGGTTTTTGTTTATTAATCTTACTTTGCATTTGTCAAGTAACTATTTCAGCAACATTTAAACATTAAAATATTGTAAATTTACTGAGAAAAAAAAAATAAAAAAATAATTTTATCAAATAGCTCAACATGTTAGCAATGAAAGTTAATATGAAGACAGTAAATTTATTAAATAAATAAATCCTCTATTTTTAGTGCTTCAACATACTCAACAGTGTTGCACTGATGTTTTTTTATTAGCCTCTAGATACGTAAATGTAAACATTTTGACAAAATCCCAGTTACTGTTAATGTTATTACATGGCTAGAAGTGTAAGGACTAAGGGTGACAATAAACCTACTAGTAAACTGGTACCTAGCAAATAATTTGAACAACATAGTCATAGAATCTATACTGTGGCGGAATCAAGGGGGGGGGGGGGGAATCGGCCATGGCCCTCCCTTCTCCTTTTTGTTTGCTTGTCAAGGAATATTTTGGGTAGATCTAGACTAGATCTAAACAGACACTTGAAAAAGCTAAGGATCATTTTTTCCACTTTTTTCGCTGGTCAGCGAATTTTTCTGGTGCCTGATGAGGCCCTGAGGCTGAGCAGACTTCGGCCTAGACAGGAATAACCATCTTTCTGGGGCATTCTTTTGACAAAATGACAGAGCTCAGAGGCATTTAGAGAAGCCAGATATGCAATCTCAGCGGATCCAACCGTCAATGCCAAATAGAGGCTGATATTTCGGTCCAACTTCGGCCCTCCCTTTTGAAAAATCCTGGATCCGCCGCGCCGCTGAAATAGATCTAGATCTATACTAAGACTAAGTTGCGGTGTATTGCATATTGCATAGTTGAATCTAGATCTAGACTCTACACACTAGACATCAATAGCCGTGGAAATTATGAGGGTTTTTTTTTTTTTACAATTCTGACATTTGCTTGCTTTTTCCTCGTATAGACTATCTAGACTGTCTAGTCTAGATCTATACATACGAAAATTCCACACTTCTACTGCAATGCGAGCACGTAAAAAAGTAACGTCTAGATCTAGTTTACTTTGTCTCTAGCTTGCAAAATGACCACAGCCTTCCCAGCAGGCCAAGCCCAAGGCCAGGGTCCCAGACCCAGACCGCGGAGAGCCTGAAGCGTCGGGCCCCAGAACAGGGCGCTTCCGATGGGGACTGCAGTCTGCTAATTGAGCAGTCTTAAAATTAACGTTACACAGATCTAGAACTGATCGCGAAAAAGAGCAAATCTGTTAAATTAGCTGTTTGTTCACTTTTACATTGAATGACCCGGCCATAAATAAGTAAAAGAAGTGAACTAACCTTCAATCCTCGCGATTGCAACCGGCAACTTCTGGTTGAATTCAGTCGATCTACCGTAGACGTAACTTAGTAGTACATACGTACAAGGCGTACATGGCATGGCCGCCTGGCAATACGCTATTACTGCATTAAGCAGCGAGAAGCTGGGAAGCAGCTGCTGGGAAGCAGCGAGCGCGCTAGCGCCAGCGCGCGCAGTCTAGTCTAGCCTCGCGGGTATTATGTTGTTAACCCGTGGACTACTGAATTCTCTCACTCCCATAGGCTTAATACAGGGACCACCCGGTTCCAGTATGCAATGGACTTATACGAGATACTATCTCATTAAAACGAGATACTATCTCATTAAAACGAGATACTATCTCATTAAAACGAGATACTATGTCATTAAAACGAGATACTATGTCGTTTTAACGAGATACTATCTCATTAAAACGAGATAACTATCTCGTTTTAACGAGATACTATGTCGTTTTAACGAGATACTATCTCATTAAAACGAGATACTATCTCATTAAAACGAGATAACTATCTCGTTTTAACGAGATACTATGTCGTTTTAACGAGATACTATCTCATTAAAACGAGATACTATCTCATTAAAACGAGATAACTATCTCGTTTTAACGAGATACTATGTCGTTTTAACGAGATACTATCTCGTTTTAACGAGATACTATCTCATTAAAACGAGATAACTATCTCGTTTTAACGAGATAAAAATATTTTTACCATGTCCCTTCCCGGGCTCCGTAGGTTTACCTCCTAAAGTCAGGTGATTTTTCACTCTCATATTCCCGTCCATCATCAGTTCTCCACCCCCATTGGTGGAGTGGACTTGGCAGAGTCAGACTTTCACTACTAACCAATCAAAGCACAGCATCCACGTCATGAATATTCATGACTCAAAGCTTACCGAGTATGAGACTATACTGCATAGGCCCTGTACATTACCTGCTTCAGCCAGAGACTGACAGTGCTCTGTTCTGCTCAGAGCTTTGATTAGAGTCTGTGCCTGCAGACTATTATACGGGCTTGCCAAGAGCCATGTATGTAACTACTGGCCAATCACTGTTTAACACTCCCGTTATGAATATTCATAAACAAAAGTTTACGGCGACTCCCATGTACATGACTACTTTTTAGGCTGTGTCGAGCATTGCGAAACGTGACGATGTTGACGAGAGGAATATGAGTATTTATCGCTCAGGATTCAAAATATTGCTCACAACTCCCGAGGATCTCCTTTCGTAGAGACCAAAATCCATTTACAATCCCTTTTTTTGTGTGTGCATGTGTGAAATCACTTGGATACAATGCCAAACTACTGCGGTGCTCCACACAATATTGTAGGCGCTATACGTCGCTGAACAACCACAACAAACTGTGAAAAACTAGTGCAGTTTGACTCTGGACTTGTTTATGAATCGCTTTTAGGAATGCCTCAAAACTGACCCTGTTTATGGACGGGAACATTGTTGTAGGGTATTTCTAGAAAGATAGGAATCAAATTGTATTTCGACAAAGAATATTTGTAATTCACAATTAAACAAAGTCAACAAATGACAAGATGCTGAAATCGACTCTCATGCTGCTCCTTTTTTTCCACTTAGGAAGGGGTACAATACGAGCAAATGCACAAGGGATTAGCGAAGAGGGTGGAAGATTCAAAGACAAGCTGAAGGAGTTGTTCGACACCCAACCCGTGAGCGAGCTCGTGTTCATACTCGACTCGTCTGGAAGCGTCGCTCAAAGCGACTTTATAATATCCGTCGAGTTCCTTAAATTCGCATCGAAGATCATTAGCGTGTCTGCGAGTACGACGCGCGTCGCGGTCATCTCGTATTCGAGCTGCAATCAAATCCACATTCGGGTTAACTACATCAGTTCGCCTGAAAACAAGAACAAATGCACGTTTGATAACGATTTGACCTCTGTGAATTACCATCCTGGTGGGACGTGTACGGCAGGAGCACTAGAGGCTGCGGGTCGTGATGTTCTCAGCCATGGGCGCCCAGGTGCACAAAGGTACGGGATTTAGGTCTCACCCTCTCCCTCTTTCTCTTGTCTATCTCTCTCGTCTGTTTCTTCCATGTCTCTCTCTCTCTCTCTCTCCATCCTACCTTTCCATATTAATCTCTTTTTCTTCTTCTCCCATTCCTTCTTTTGTTTTTCTATGCCCCCTCTCCCCCGCTGTGACACGTCACTTCTGTGCACATGTTCATGTCTATTCTTTAAGATACCCGTCTCTCTCTGTTTCTCATCCGTCATTTGTTTCATTTACCTCCATTTGTTATTCATTATTTACTACTCAGTATTATTATTGATTATTTATTTTAGGAAATTGGATCTATTCATTATATTCACTTTTTATCATTCATTTTAATACGAATTATTTATTATAAATCATTTATTTTCTTCTAGAGTTGTGATGCTTCTAACTGATGGTGCATCCAACGATGGGGGCCCTCCTCACGCAAACGCGCAAAAACTAAAAAGTGAGGGCGTTAAAATCTTCACAATCGGCATCGGCAGTATCAAGCTTAGTGAGCTCAACGCTATAGCAACCAGTGTGGATGAGTACGTGTACATTCTAGCCGATTTCGGTGACGTCCGGAACCTCGCAACTGTTGTGAAAGACGGTAAGAATGCATTTGTAAACAAGGACCAGATTAAAGATCAAAAGTTGAGTTCTGGTCACGTGATAACATATAGTGCAAGAAATTGCCTGGAAGCCATTGGGAAAAAGTTGATTATTAAGTTCTTAAGAACTGGTGTAGACTGCGAGGTTCTGAATTCATCAAAATAACATGAAGTTCACTCATTCTGGCTGTAAGTCACATACACTGCAAACAGAAATGTGTATATAGGATTACACAAGCATGTGGCATGAAAGTTTGATCCGAACATGCCAACTATTTCTTGTTATATCGGGCATGTTAGGGAATTTGAAGAACAAATTTTTCAGGGGATGGTTCACCGGGGGGGGGGGGGGAGGGGTACTCACATATTAGGACATATGGGGATGTACCGCTCTAATGTGTCACTTTTTCACAACAAATCCCTAAACATGGATCCCACTTTTAACAAAAATACCAAAAATAGGACCGTTTTTTTCTTCAAAATTTTCGAAAAAACACCCGGAAATTGTGAAAAATGGGTTTTTCTTTCGAGAAAAATGAACCTATTAATGGGTAGGGGTTTCGATGCTTGAGCGGCACACCCCCGTCCAAACCAAATCTGAGTATCCCCCGGGGGCGTTATTTTCTTCTGCGGCACAGATTGGGCCTTTTTTTTTAAAAGGGGTCTTGATTTAACACTAACCCTAACCCTAACCCTAAACTTTCCCGTAGTCTCAACACGCACTTAACTCCAATCTGTGCCGCCGAAAATAATAACGCCCACCGGGGGGATGGTTTTTCTATGATTGACAAATTACTTTTCTCCTTTACCAGAATTCTACTACTGTATCTTTTTATAACACTCCATTGTCATATTGCTTTCTAAGGGCTTTGTCAAATTATAAAGAATAACCAGAAGTGATTAATCGATAAATGGAATACAGCCAAGCTAAATTAACCTGACATTTGCTCTGGTAACAAAATTATTGCTGTTATTCATCATTCTGTCAGTATTAGGAAAGGGGTCAAAATGGGTTTCAGGTTATGCTTGGATTAGGTATAGTGTTGGTCCTGGTGTAAAGGTAGGAATTCGGTTAGTGTAGAAAATTAACGGAACAATCATCGCAGGAGCACGATTCGAACAACCAGCTACCTATTCAGCTGTAATAAGAGTTATGTGTTCAATTTGAGTCGATTAGCTCTATTTTAACTTAACAAGAGGAGGGAATAGGTTGTCACAGTTTCTCCCGATATTATAATAACGACACAACGCTAACTGACTTTTTATTTGTATGTTTGTTTGTTTTCTTTGGTCAACTTTTCTGCACAGACATCAAGGATTATGACGCGTATTTCGACACCGTGAGTGCGGATCAGTGTGGCAGTTCGTGTGACAGCCGTGCACTTTGCGCATGCGCTACCCGTAGCGGGTCGACCCTCTGTGTATGCGAAGCTGGCTTTACAGGAGACGGAGTTTCATGTCAAGGTAGTATTTTTGAAGTTTTGTTTCTTTTTCATGATTGTTAATATAAGAAAGCGCGTGTGTGTTAGTTGTAGGCAACCGGGGGTCCGACGGCTTTATGTCGACTCCGAGGAACTGGGTCATGAGGAGTTGTTGTTTTTATTTCCGTATGATAAAAAAATCAGATACAAATACAAATATACGGCTGGTTACCCATATTCAGCTGCAACTATAATTGTTGCTGCTGGTCTTCCATGGGGCCAGTTTACAATATACAAAATATACATAATGTTACAAATTAACAAAATAAATAATTACAAAGTATCAGTCGAAAACTTAATACAAATACTTAAAGGAAAAACAAAATACAAAACAAAACAAACAAAACAAACATCATATAAACATACATAAAGAGATACAACATCAAGGTGATTATAGTCTGTTTAGGTTAGACTTAAAGGTGGCAAAAGTGGGTAGTTGACGCAAATCAGGGGATAATTTATTATATTGAAAAGAAGCTCTGTACACAAAAGTTCTTTTACAATAATTAGTTCTTGGCTTAGGTAAAGAGAGGTTATGTGCATTACGGAGGGAGTATGGAGAGGGTTTAAACTCAAACATGTCTTTCAAATATTCAGGGGTCATGTTATGTAATGTTTTGTAAGTTAGGAGTAATAAATGGATTCGTTGCCTTTCACGTATCATTTGCCAACCAAGACAGCTATGAATTTGACTGGTAGAAGTATGCTAATAAGGGTTAACTTTTAGTATGATTCTACCGGCCCTATTTTGAATTTTTTGGAGTTGTATTAAACTGTTACTGCAGGCAGATTGCCATACTACAGTAATGCCTTACCAAAGGGAATGGGCGCATCGACTTGGTTTCGCGAACCGGGCACCTCCCGGTTATGAAATCATTAGGCTACTCTACCACTGAACCATCGCCAATATACATGCCATATGATCTAAGCATTTTATCATTGTCGACAGAACTATCTGAAGTATCATGAAATTGAAAAGTATGCTATGACCTGGACCATCATCTGCGCTGATCTCGCCCTTGACAGCACATATCTTATACGCCATTAATTCAAATAAAATGTTGGCATAGTTCATTATGTATTTATACTTTCTTCACGACAACAATCTCTTAATGATGCATCAAGTGCACACAAGTCGTTGAAGCAGCATCACGTTCGTAACTTGACACATCTTGTGCAACGTGCATAATCAATCAGTCAGTTTATCATTCAACCCTTTTATCAATCAAATAACCTTACAGTTTCAAATCAGGACCTACATGACGAATTATGGGGACGGGCCTTATACACCCTGGCCGCCTTATTTTATATATAACCTCATCTACAGTAGTTATACTAGATTGGACTGGCATCGCATCAATTGATCAATTAGCAAAACATTATTCAAATTAAAGTTTCAATTTATTAATTGAATTTACTCTATGAAACATTTCATTAGTGATTAGTCAATCATTTTTCGATCGAATCATCTTGCAGAGTTGTGTGTCAAAATTGTGACTTACAAAACTAAGTATGGGGACGGGCCTTTTACCCCTTGCCCATACCCCCATTTCTATAACTACATCTAAGAGGATTCGTAGTTTATCCGACTGCCAGTGCATCAGTTGAATCATTTACTAAATTAACAGATCAATAAGTTAATCGAATAGTCAAATTGATATCCGTGGACTTCAATCCACCAACCATTCAATATTGATCAATAATCAATTAATCGATTTTTTTTGTCGATCGAATCATCTTGCAGAGTGTCTAATTGGAACTTACAAGACGGCTTATGGGGACGGGCCTTGTACACCCTGCCCTACCCATTCTAGGACTTCATCTGTGAGGAGTCTTAGTCAATCGGAATGCCAGTGCCTGGATGGATACGAGGGGAACCCGGGTGAAGATGGAGGCACCTGCCAATGTAAGTTTTTTTTTTTTTTTTTTTTTTTGGGGGGGGGGGGGTTAAAAAAAACTTTGCTGGTTAGTTTGTTTTTAAAGTTTGTTTGTATCATCAATTTATTATTTTTGCGGTTGTTTTTTTGCTGTACATTGAATAATATAAGCGTCATATTCCGTCCAATGTAACGTAGTCATACAACAAAAGCGACTCGACTAGGGCAGGCTGCGTTTAAAGATAATATTGAGGTAAAGACAAAAAATGAATTCTCACAGATCAAATCCAACTCGAACTAAATTTACAAGACTTACCCCTAAAAAGACTGATTTAGCCCCCACCCCCCCCCCCCAAAAAAAATGAATAAATAAATAAATAAATAAATAAAAAATAAAATAATATAAATAAATAAAAAAAAAAAAAAAAAAAAAAATAATATTAATAATAATTTAAAAAAAAAAAATAATAATAATAATAATATAAAAATTTCAAAAAAGAAATTCTTCTGCGTCAAAAAAGAAATTATTCTTTTTATCAACCCTAAGTGGGATATTTCTTTGTTTTCACCCAAGATAGCTTCACTCACTTTTATGTACACGGTTAACGCATTTGGTAGAAAATTGCTGAAGGTTAATGTACGATCAAATCTTGGCGGGCAATTTTATGCCCGATATGAAAATATATTGCCTAATCTTGGTCAACTTGAATTCAAAATTTACCAGCATATCATCGATTTGAACATAATTATAAGTGCCCCCATGTAGATCTGTTACATGATTACCCTCGTGTAATGTAATTCTCCTCCGACATTGTTTACAGTGCATGGGAAAGATTAAATTTCACAACATATTTAATGCAATACCGGGTTTTTCTCTAACTTCTCAGAAATTTGTCTCCGTTAAAATTGATCTCCAGAGCCGACCCTTAATCTCCAAAGCCTGATGTTTGCTCGATGCGTCAATATCCTGTTTGCTAGCATTCTAAAACAAAGGGAGAATCGTCATTTTTCCATAGCTGAACTCGTAATTGTTGTGCAGAAGTTGTTTTGGCAGTATTTCAGCCAAAATAAGAAGAAGTTCTCCATCCCCAACCCTCCCCTCCCCTATGCAACTCTGTTCTTATGAATCTACCACTTCCATTGTGATCGACCGTGACAACACGTAATTGGTTTTCTACGTTAAACATACGTTATCGTTTTGAGAACAAAAAACTTTCACTTAACTTTTAGGATGATATATAGTTGCTTAGTGTGATAAAATGTGATTTCGGGGTGTGTTACTGTGTTCTGGGGGATTTCTAAAAGTGTTAACCATACGCACCTATATAGTGAAAAATGGAAATGACATTTAATGGTCTAATGTACTTTTTAGTTTATTTATCAATTTATTTCTTTTCATATTAAAAAAAAATCATCCTTTTATTTATTTGTCTGTTCGTTTATTTTTTCATTAATTTGTCTGGTTTTTGTTAATTTGTTTGTTTTTTGTTAATTCATTAGTTTGTTTGTTTATTTATTCATTTATTCATTTAATCAGTCAGTCATTCAGTCATTTCTTATTTTATGTATTCATTTAATTTATTTATATGTTTACTTTAATTATAACAATAACATGGAAATATCTTGGACGCATCATGCACAAGGCGCTCGTTTTGTTGTTGTTTGTATTCACATATATAAATAAATTAATTAATTTTGTTTAGTAATCTGGTGTCCAGATATGAATAATCCTATATTTGATATAAATGATATGATCATGGAGGAATGCGAAATAAGCTTCATTCATTTGTTATTTATTCATTTTTCATTTGTTTGTTAATTAATGTATTTAGTATCTATCTTTATTTCTTTTCTTTTTTGTTGTGGTAGCAATCCGATGTCCAGATCTGAATAACGTAGACATAAACAGTGTGATCATGGATGAGTGCGATACAACCTTCGGTTCTACCTGCCAATTCCAGTGCCGAGATGAGTACCGACCAATGGCAGGCCAAGAAACTATCACGTGCTTAGATACAAAACAATGGTCGGGAAACCCACTTCAGTGCGAAAGTATGTAACCATTATAATTATTTTGGTAGATTGATTTAGAAAGGAAAACAGATTAGCAAAACACAAAAAAAAAAAACAGAAAATGTGGACATCGTGATGTGCTGCTCAATCGTTAATAAGTATTAAAACGATGAAACAATGAGGATCTCGACCTGGGCATGAAAATACCGATCTAGGTTAATAAAGAGAAAGGTATTTGCAGATGTGAAGCAAACTGAAAATGATTTCATATACGATGTAAAATACAGTGTCTTGTCACAACTTTTAATGGTTCAGACATTTTTTGTTTTGTTCAAGAATGTTATATATTTAACGTTATTCCCTGTTATACGTCCTGCTTGATGAGGATCCTGAAAATCGTATACGTGGGGCTCTTACATTAAACCATGCTGGTCAAAGATGTGAATAGATGGAGATTATAAGTCCTCGTTGCCAATTCAGAAATTAAGGATGCCCGTTGCACATGATGCGTCATTAGGGACTTTTAGATTCTGCACAACGAGAACATGGACTGCCCTTTTAAGGCAATGTGACGTCACTGCCAGTGCCTTAAAAGGACGTCACATTGCCTTAAAATGGCAGTCCACGTTCTCGTCGTGCAGAATCTAAAAGTTCCTATTACCGACGCTAATCAAACCAATGGAAATTAGCGCAAGCGCCAGTAATCCAATATAATAGTTATACTATTTATATTAACTTCTTTTTTAATTCTCAACCTATTTCTCTCATTCATTGGCTCTAATTTCATATTTTCCTTTTCAGTAGTTTCTTCGTCATTTGATTGGGGGCACGTGCCCTTTGAAACTACGCCACTGAATAACGCATGACCTTTGCTATTTGTGTATCTCTTATCTACCCCGCTCAGAGATTACATGCGGTATACTGCCTGACCTAAACCACGCGGATCGTATCTACAGTAGCCCTGACCGCAGCATCGGTAGCGTGTGTGAACTGCGGTGCGAACCGGGGTATGAATTCAAGCGGGGTGCGATTACCAACGTCACATGCCAGAGGGGTAGTGAAATAAGTGCCCAGTGGTCCATTGAGGATGATGAACAAGATCCTTGCAAGAGTAAAGACATTTTAACAATTCTTTTGTTTTGTTTTGTTTTGATTTTTTCCCCTCATTTACTAATTAAATAATACTTACATTAAAAAATAAATAATCATAATGATTAAAAAGATTTTTTTTTCGAGTGGTAAATCTTCTGTTTTTCATTAATTAAAACGCCGATTTTATTAAATTGTATCATTATTTTCAGAGTTTTATTCACGTAATCATGGTCTTCTCATTTTCCTTTTGTGCAAATGTTAAAGTGAATCTAGTCATTTGGCAATCAAGTTGATAAAACAATTAATCCACACATGTCAAAATATCAATCCAGTTCTATAATGTTCATCGTACTTTAGATCTTCAACTAACATGTGTCAAATTTGACAATATGTAGTGCAAAACGAAACCGATTCATGTAATCGTATGTTTGTAGGAGAGAATGTTGGATATAGATTGTTATTAACCGAAATATATGCACAAACTAATAATGATATCTGGGTAGTATTGAAACTCTTCATGTGGGCCTTGAAATTATTCTTACCTCAGCAATTACCAGGTAACTATTTACACTTGGGTGGAGAGTGGCAAGTTTAGATTAACGTCCTGTTAAAAAAACGTTAGTTCTTGTCTTGAATTCAAACCCTCAACAATTGGATTGCGAGTCAAGTGAATAAAACACCATACCAAGACACTTCCACAAAGTGAAAACTGATTGAGAAACTTCGAAAATAAATAACCAAATACGAAATTGACAATGGGTTCTGTGAGATCACGAAATTTTGAGAAGAATTTGAATGATAAAAAAGTACTAGAATGAATGAAAAGAGTGTTAAAATGGATGAGAAAACCTAATCAAATAAGATATATACATTATATACTACGCTGAATACAGATTTTTTTTTCTTCATCTTTACTACTACTAAATACTACATTTGTTTTTTGTGTCACTGATAGCTTATGAAAACTGGTAAAATCAAATTCCATCAAATTTGGCACAAAAATACATAAATATATTACCATCTCAACTTGACTTATGAACCGTTCCTTCGCTTGTGACATCATTCAGGTGCCATTTTGTTACATTTAATCAAACGCCACAATGATAAATATAAAATATCACCTTTACTCCAATAACACAGAGGTATCTTGCCCAGTACTCTACGTCGACAACCCTAAGCGTATCGATCCGGCCGGCATCTGCTTGGAGATCCCCAAATTCGAACAGGTGTGTACCTACGACTGCAAGCGTGGCTACCAGGCTGAAGGAACTGTTGATAGTGTTACCTGCCTGGCTGACGGGACCTGGAGCATACCTGCTGCCGATATCACGTGCAGAGGTGAGGGGATCCTGCGTCAGTTCGCTTGAAATGGCTCTTTTCGAAATTCCAATTACCTTTTGATAATCCGTATGTGTTTGGTACTCCGATTTGTGTTTTCGATGACAAATGATCCGTGCTTTATCATGTTCATGGCGTCAAGGATATCAGGTTAGGGTCACTGTTGCATTGAGGTTGTAGGTGGGCTAAGGGTTGGGTAGAGTGTTGGGCCAATGCCTCCAGGGCTTAAGTTAGAAATTCTGTTTGTGCATGAAACTAATTGCGAGCAATTGTTGTCGGAGAATGTTTCATACAACCATTCAAAATAATTTGCTTTTAATAGTTTTGTTTTTTACCTGACTGCTCAAAAAGCATGCATTTGCTTCTAAGTAAGCAACCAGGGGACCAACGGATTTTTGGAGAGGACTTTGGTAAGAAGTCTTCTCCTATGGACTTATCAATGAGGATTAGTGCGTTAATACTAAAGTGGACTGGCGCATCCACTTGGTTCAAATTATTCAAAGGGTTCACAATATTTCTGCTCCTTGTTCTCTCTCATCGGTATCCAGACATCGAGCCTCCTACGTTAACCTGTCCAGAGGATATCAGTAACCCCACAGACATCTTCATGCCGATCAGCACCATCAACTGGGAAGTACCTGAAGCCACTGATAATACCCCTTTCCCGGTCAAGCTGCGGTCAACGCACTCGCCCCCGTACCGGTTTGACATCAATACCACGGTGGTGACGTACTCTGCCACCGACTTGGCTGGAAACGTGGCGACCTGCAGCTTCAACGTTACGGTCAGAGGTGAAGATTGGATGATCATGCTCTCCCCCTCCCTCTCTCTCCCTCTCTCTCTCTCTCTCTCTCTATTTTCCTTTCTTTCTCCACCTCTATCTCTCCACCTCTATCACTCACTTTCTCTCCCTCTCTGTCAGTCTAGTCTGTCTCTCCCCTCACTATTCCCCCTCTCTCCATGTCTTTCTCATTCTATCTATTCCTCTCTCTCTCTCTCTCTCTCTGGAGGGGGTGGAGGCACAAATCCAAAATGTTTTGGATTTTTCTTGTATGATAGGCAACAACAAAGAACACAAAAGCATCAAATATCCTTCAGAATTGTTTTCCTCCACACTCTTGGGCAAGTAACATATACAAGGGGGGACACGTAATTAGGGGCACATTTTTAAAAATCAATGTATATTCAAGGTATGCTAGTTTGGATTTTGTTCAACCCCATTCCATCCACCACTTATTAAATATGCATATAGATTTCAGGCTACGGTGTTCCTCCCAGCAGGAAATCCAATTTAGAATTTGTTTTACAACAATCAAAACCAACTTCACCTGAAAAGCTCGAGGCTAAAGCTTCATTAACTTAAGGGTACAAAAAAGACGTCCTTTATATTCTTGTAATTAAACCATACACACTAAGAAATAAAAGTTCAATTCTGCCTGAACAGCCAGCATCCTCTGCCAAATACGCGTAGGTGAATGCAAATCTGCACCCTAATCGCACCCTTGTTTCTTAGTGTGCATCTGTATCAGGTCTCTTCTGTTGACATCACAACTTTCCTTTTCATTACACCAGACGAGGAGCCACCGAGACTGACGAACTGCACCAGTGAGGTCACCTTCCAAGATATCGGGTTGGATCCTTTCGGAGACCTCGGCATTGACGAAGAGGAGTGGAATACCAGCCAGTTTAATGATAACTCGGGGACCTTGTCCAATGATGTTCTTGGTGTTCCATCAGGATCGAGGTTCCCGCTGGGTGACACAGAAGTCGTATCGAGAGCAACAGACCCGTCGGGTAACACGCAAGACTGTAACGTCACTATCAGGGTTTCTAGTAAGTCATATTTGTTTATGAATATGCTGAAAGGTGTTCATGAAGTTGAGAGGGTTCTTTGTATTTAACACAATAAGTTTGCTTTACCACTACTTAAATAGGCACAATTATGTGCAACTGCTGTTATCATGTTTGCTGTTGCCGATATGTAACAATATGTGTTGTTCGAATTAATTGAGTTGCTTTTGTTCATGACTAATTATATCATTGAAAGAAAAAAATTAATTGTTGATACCTTTGCAGACTTTCAAGGAATCAATTCAAAGGCACTTCAATACCCTATCACATATCTTATAGAAGTCATGTTCGGATTGCATGACGCGTCATTGTAATGCTCACACCTTTTAAATGATGCTGGACAAGGCTATTGAAATTGTCTAATGTTGAATTCTTGAAATTCTTTGTGATTGTGTTATTCGTGAAATAACTTCATTCTGTTTTGTCAGTAACGTGCAAGAAATAAAACATGTTTGGTAACTCATAAAATGAATATCTTCTTCTTATTTTTTAAAGTTACCACTGAATGATACTCATTTATGTTCCTAAATTATGAATCGTAAAATATTTTTCTTGTTTGAGTAAAGCATATCTTTGTAACATATACATGTTCATTTAAATCCTCAAGTTGGATCTTTAACTCATGTCTCTTTTACCTCTCAGAATACCACTGTGAGTACTACCCACCGCCATTGAATGGCGCAGTAGCATGCGTCGACTCGCCAGGTGGCCAGCTCTGTCGGATTTCTTGCCAAAAAACATTTCACTTCACTAAGGACAGAGTGGAAATTTACGCCTGCATTGCGAATGAAAGCGGTCAACATTTGTGGAGCCGATCCGACGGCGACCACGAGCCACTGGACATGCCCTGGCCGGACTGCGCAAGTAAGTACTGGGCGAGATACTACCAAAGATCTGTCCTATAAAGAGCTGCGATTGATTTGGACATATTGCAAATCAAGTGAAAAGTCCACCGTGATATTAAGTTCATTTTAATAGAAGAGGGTGTGGGGGGGGGGGACGACGAAAAAAAACAGATTATCGAAGGCTCGGGGGGGAAAAAAACTTAACATAAATGAAGTAAGCATGTTTGCCTAATTTTGTTTATTAATTTTTTTTTTTTTTAAATATGTTTTATTTATCAATATTCATTCATTCTTTCATTTCCTTTCATCACCTAGAACGTAGACGCGTTAGGAAAGCGAGCTTAAAAACTGGATTTCGCTACGACGGGACATGCTTTAACGAAACCTCACAAAAAAATATACGCGACGACTTCATCTCGGTGTTCGATTTCCTTCAAACCAGGGGAGATCTCGGTCCGTGCAGCCTGTCGGATACTCAGTGCAGCTTCGAGAACGTAAACGTGCAGTGCAGTCAGACTCAGAGGCGAAAGAGACGGCAAGTAATAGATGGAAGCGGGGGAATTGATGTCGTCGAGATAACATTTACACTGCTCGTAGAAATAACGGTAATGCTCCTTTCAATTTGGCTTAACCCCGTGCTATTTGTATGGTTAAGGGGCTTACTTTCGTTTTAATTTGGAGCAAGACAAAATGATCTTGAAAGTGAACTTAGCATCATTGAAAACGAGTGGCAGTTTCGTGGAAGATGTTTGGTGAATATGTAAACAAAATTTGAAATGTGTGAAAAATGTGTTTTCTGTTGACTAGCAATGATATTATTATATTATCAGAAAAAATGTTATTATCAGGTGTGAAATTAATCACTTCTATTGTTAAACGTCACTCTTAATACTCACCTTAAAGATAAACTCCAGTTCTGGTCAATAAAAAGAAAATTAATTCTCACAGAATCAAACGAAACTTACACTGACTGTTCAAGATTAAAAATAAATGACATGTGCCAAACAATTTTGGAAGAACATGTATACTGGCTGAGTAATGAGCATAGAAAGACAAGGAAATCAAGGTAGTACTAGCCCCGACACCATGTGTGTTGTCCCATATATAGCTTTCTGTGTACAGTGCTTGTTACTTTACCAAGACTCGGCCAAACTTATTATGATTTTGATGACTTCAAAACATTGCAGTGCACACCAATACTTACATGCTACATGATCAACTGTTTCTGATCCATTTCACACCTTTTCTTTCACAGTGCAGTCGCATTACCAGAACTCAACTTTATCTTTAAATGAAAAATATACTTCTTCGACATGCGTTTTGAAAAACAGAGTGCTTTTCTTCCAAATAGGAAACCGTGGGGCCAGATGTCAATGTACTGGATTATTTAGATGCAGCCGTTAACTCTGTTCAAGAAAGCGTTGCCAATGGTAACGTAACAATTAACGTGGATGGCATCGAATTGTCGCTCAGCGACGATCCAATTGTTCCTGAATCGGAATACTCAATCCTCTGTGATGTTGGGCATATACCATCAAACGGGAGCTGCGGTAACTTTTGTTTCCTTATCCTTGTTATATTTCATAAAAGGGTGTATATAATATTACCACCAAAGTCATATCCACGTTTACATGTAAGGTTTCGTTGTGGAAACGCATGATAAGACCGAAGCCCTCCAAATAATTGTAAAAGTACATCGTTGACTGCCCTCCCGAAGTGCTAGCCGACGATATTTGATCACATATCAATCTACTTCCTGGACCAAAAGATATATTTTTCTCAGTAAAATGATTTTTAATTCACAAGAACTGTGCCTGAATAATTGAAACTCCCCTCGAGAGAGTTCTTGACTCTCCTTAGTTTTGGGCGCAATGTATCGCAATTTAAAGAGAAAAATGACATTTGACGAATATAGTTTTCATAATGATTGATACAGTCATTTTACTTGTTTACTTGTTTGCATGGCATTCAATCAAAGGACAAAAAAGATAGATAGAGAAAGAGAGAGGAGAACAATTACTTGAAAAAAATCACATTCTTTCACCCAATGAGTAAGATCGGTGTCAATATATCTGAACACATCCTACGCCACCGTTATGTACCAATGAACTGTAATAATGGTGAGATGTTATCATTCCATTCCAGTGCCATGCGCCCCAGGAAATTTCGAGAACCAGGGTGTTTGTGAGAGGTGCCCAGTAGGAACCTATCAGGACGAGTACGGTAATACCACGTGTAAAGACTGCCCTCTTGACACGTCGACTGCCGCTCTGGGAGCCAGGTCTATCAATAAATGCAAAGGTGAGTTGTCACTGTGTCCTGTAGCTTACAGAAAAGTAGAGCCAAAGTGTGTTTTTTGGGAAGCCCCAACGAGCTTTTTGGTAGGTTTCGGTGCCCTTAGTATGTTTACAATTAGCAATAATATAACATTTCTCAGATATTCATAGACCATGGGACAGTGCTTTGTATCATTTGGAAATGGCACTGTATAAATTCAATTGTCATTAATATATAATATAATAGTTCGCTGTTTTTTATTTTACCATTTTAAGAGAAATAGTGGACTAAAAATATGATTTACATCCCTGGCCAAAATGAATATTTATGTGCCGTCATACTTTTATGTAAAACAAACTCCCAGCTGTTGTTTAAAAAAAACTTGTAATATGATCCTCCCTGAGACTGCTAGATTTGTGAGATCCCTCATTTTGACAGAATGGCACCTTTGGCCTTTCTTTGGAGATTCTTTCCGATGTATAACACTAAAATTAACTAGAAATCATGATCCAAATAACGAAAAATCTAGCAGGTGTATCTAATAATCCCAAGCCCATCAGCTGATTTTAATTGCTTGTTTTCACCTCACCAGCCCTGTGTCACCCTGGGACCTACTCTACGAGTGGTCTCGAATCCTGCAACGCGTGTCCACAAGGAACCTACGAACCCGGTCGCGGCTCAACATCATGTACGACGTGTCCAGACGGGTTGACGACATGGACAATAGGCAATAGCGATGTAGAACATTGCACAAGTAGGTCGCTTTAAGTTTGTAGAAAAATCACCAAATTATTGTATCATTTCAAGCAAACGAAGAGTAAGAGAGTTTTAATACAGTATAATTTGTATGATAAATGTTCATCTGACAAAATATGTCTAAACGCTTGATGTAATTCAATGAAAACACTTTATTGATGGAAGAAAACATAATATTCTAAGGAGCAAATTACTGAAACCATGTGAGTAATAAACATAAGAGCAACCAAGTTAAAGTAAATCCCTAACCTTTATAATCTTCCCAGCCATGTCACACCTTTCTCTTTCTTTTTATCGTAACGCATTATGAATAAATAAAAGTTCTCTGGTCATACAGTATAATCTTCATTATCTTTCTTATAGGATATTAGGTTGAATGAAAATATTAACAATCGGTTAAAAAACACTTCATTCACTCCATTTACATGAACGTAGTGTTCTATAAACAGTAGTGTTCTATGAACAGTAGTGTTCTATAAACACTGCTGAATTGGGCTATCCACCGATTTTTGTCTATGTACATGTATAAATATTTTACTTTGTATATTTTACTATGTATAATATTTTTATCTGATTTCGGAAATAAAAACAACAACAACAACAACAACGTGATTTTAAAACAGTTTTACATAATAACATCAACATAATGATAATAATGGACGCACTAATAATGCACCATCTTTTTAAAAACTATTCCAAAGCGCAACATTCATCAACGACGTTTTTTTTGTTAGGACCAAGACAAGTCATTGACGGTTGCTTCATTATATTTCTATATTTCTGTAAAACCATATCTAATCAATATTTACCTTAATTTCAATAAGCCACTTTGGAAGTCTTTTGTTGTCTTGTCGTACAGATTTATGTCCACGAGGTACATTTTCACCGACTGGCTTCGCTCCTTGTCAGGAGTGTCCCAAGGGTTCTTATCAACCTGCACCTAAGCAAACGTCCTGTACGCTGTGTCCAGGAGATTTGTACACCCATCACGAAGGAGCACATGCCATAGAGTATTGTCAGGGTAAGATGGAGTTCATATCAATTGATATCTTCTTTTAAGTAGTCTTTTGATGTTCTCGTTCACCTGAGGTGTTATGAAAGCAAATGTTAGATATAAAATGTTTGATATGAAGTCAGGGGGTTTGTCCATATATTATTTGTCATATTTCAACCTACGCCACTTTCATTCCATCTCTCTTTCTTCATTTCTCCCTATTTGTCTATATTTATCAACCTTTATTTATTTCCCTTTTACTTTTTCCACCTTTTATATTTGATACCCCCCTTCCTCCCTGGTGTACTTATTGTCCAGCTATATCTCCGATTCTGCTTGACTCTCGCCCCTCCCTCTCTGTCCGTCCGCCCTTAGCTAGTTTATTCCCCTTTCTCCTGTTTTTTTAAATATTTATTTATGTCTCTCTATGAATGCTTTTTATAATAGCCATTATATAAAATGTTATACAAATCGACACAATATAAAATTGTTTAACTTTCCAATTGGCATATCGTCCAATTTGCATTTTAATGCAATCATGGAGGCCCATTTTGCCCCCGAATAACCGTTATAGTTCTTGGGAGAATAGGCTAAAAGAACAGATAGCTTTTGTTTTAGTTTCATTTTGTATGTTGTTAGAACTAGAACAAGACTTTAAAAAAAATATATAATGACAAAACACAAAACACGTTGATCCTGTTCGAGTTAGTAGGGAGATGATAAACTAAAACGTACCCCTTGTCTACCGCCAGTCATCAACGAATGTGTGTCAAATCCCTGTGCGGATGGAGCGACTTGTGTGGACGTCACGCACGGGTATGACTGTGTCTGCCCTCCCGGCTTCGCTGGCGATGATTGCCAGTTGGACATCGATGAATGCTTCGGGAACGACGTTTGTTTAAACAATGCCACGTGTACCAACCTAGTCAATGCCTATGTGTGCGAGTGTGCGAATGGTTTTAAGGGAGAGAACTGTCAGATCAACATTGATGATTGTCTGACTGGTAAGTATTACAATAACAGTAATCATTTTTTAAAATTTTGTTTTAAGTTTGTTTTGTTTTATTTATTTAAAACATCTCATAAATAATACAAATAAAATGAAACACATTTATTTCAAATATATCATTATCATAATACAAAATGATGATAAATATAGTATGACTACAAACCGAAGTTATGGATAAAAAAACAAAGAAAAAAGACAGAACAACATAAAAGTAATCATCATAAAGTTTCATCATTGACAAAGTCGAAAACAAAAGTAATGAATGTAAATTTCTGACATTGTCAGCAGGTGGTATAGCAGAATTGGTAGGCCAATAAGTGACAACAGAAACAAAGACAATGTGCCATAATTTCAGGATAATACAGGGAATTTGACTGATTTAGAATTAAGTTAAAGTCGGGTTTATATTGGTCAATTCATGTTTCTCTCTGATTATCCTTAATTTTGCAGCATCCCCCTTAAGAATGGAGACAGTATAAAATAAGATTACGCATCTTTTCTACCAGCCCTTGTATTTAGCAGGAGAGGAGCGTAGAAACTTGGGGGGGGGGGGGGGTTGGGTTTCAATTGTCTATTTTTGTCTGTCTAGCAATTAACTATGACAAATGTATATTGCCCCCTCCAGTATGAAGATTATTTGACGCCTGTAAGTCACAACTCTTGACCATTCGATGCTGGTTGAATTTAAACCTTCTTTTCATAATACCGTCAATTTTAGCTGACTGCCGGTTTGGATCGATCTGCGTGGATGGGATAGCGTCTTATACCTGCGAATGCGCTGAAGGATTCGCGGGGGAGCACTGTGAGATTAACCTATACGACTGCGCATCGGATCCTTGTAGGAATGGAGCGTCTTGCATAGATCTAAAGTCCGTAAGTATCAGAGAAATTGATCTTAGCGTCTTTAAAAATACGTTAACAAACTGCAGGCTTTTTTTTATACAATGTTCATCTAGAAATGAAAAACATTATTCTGGAGAGTCAATGTGAGAAAATATATGCTTTAAAATGCTTTTAATTTTAGGATATTGATATGTTTGCTTAGGAAAAAGAGGAATTCGAAATACATGTGCAATGATAGGTTAAGCCCCTATCACACAAAAATTATTTTAGAACAATAATTGTATTATGGTAGCTAGACTATATCATTCGATATAGTGTTGCTGAACTGAAATACTTGAATATCACATTCTTGGTATCAGAAGAAAACAGAAAAACCATCTCCATCTCCAACGTAATCACTTCCATTTCAGAATTTTAGCTGCTGTTGTGCCCCTGGCTACACGGGGCGGTTATGCGAGCTGGACAGCAACCATTGCCAATCCTCCCCTTGCCATGGGGACGCCACCTGTAGAACCACCAGGAACAGTTACATTTGTACCTGTCCTTCAGGATTCCAGGGACGCAACTGCGAGATCAACGTCAACGAGTGTCTTGAGAGTGCGTACTGTCTTAATGGAGGCACCTGTCAGGATATGATCGATGGCTACAGGTGTATCTGTCCCCTTGGCTTCAATGGAGATCACTGCCAAACAGGTGCGTAAGGCCCACATTATCATGGGATGATATAACTCGAGTGAAATCCTGTAGGCATCCTTATGCCAACCCGGTTCCGTTAAGATGGTTGTTGTGTGACTGTGTAGGGCCAATAACGGGCCAATAATGAAATAACAGGAGAAGGGTATTAATACTCATGAGGCAACCCTGGGTAAACAAGGCATATTATCATCATTATTATTATTATTGTCATTACTTTTTAATCATTATAATTGTGTTCATAGAATTGTGACAGCGGTGTAATACGGCAATGAAGAAGATATTAGCTATAAGATGACTAACACAATTGGTCGCTCTACGAACGTATATTGGATTAGCAATGTTCTCTGCGAAACAATTGGGTTTCGGCCATCTTTCGTGTACATGTAAACAAAGACAACGTAGAATAATAAACACCCTCTTTCGCATTGCATGCTTTAAAACCCTAGTCATTGTAAATATGAATAAATACCTGTATACATGGGGAGCACGATATTTGGACTTTTATTTGTTTATTTATTTGGACTTATCATTTTATCATATCTTGGCATTACAGATAACGATGTCCATGTGGAAGTTATGTTTTTTGTCTCATTTTGCTCCTTTATCATTTATTCGTTTCTTTCTTTTGACATCTGAATTCAGAACTGCCGAAAAACTATGACTTGTCGTTTCCCACTGCACGAACGGCTGACAGGGTGGGGTTGGAAGGAGTATTGCCAGACCTCTATGAATTCACACTAGCCTTCTGGATGAAGACCTCTGATAAAACAAACTTTGGAACACCCATCTCATATGCGACAAGAGGGTCGGATGGCGCCAGCGATATGGACAACACCCTTACTCTTCAAGATTACAACAGTTTTGTCTTTTTCGTGAACGGGCAGTCAGCGTTTACATACGTGAGGGCTAACGGGTGGGTACACCACGATTTCCTTTGTACGTCTATCATCTGCTTTAAGGCTCCGAAGTTCATTTTCTTTAATGAATGATGCAAGAATTTTCAAAGAGTGTTTTTGTATAATTATATTGTAAGGAACCTGAATAATGGTAAATACCAAAGTAATTTCAAGGATATCACTTTATATTGAACATAGATGAAAATGTCAACAATTGAGACTTTAGTGTATATTCTCAATTCACTTTTGTCTAACTATCATTCCAATGGAAATATGATAATACATATTAGCGTGTATGGATGAGCAATTGGATTTGATGATCGTAGTAATATTAACTACAGTTTGAAACGTAGAAATAAGCGCCATTAAAATATGACTATTTTTATTATTTAGGCGTTCTGTTCAATCTTGTATTTGCAATAGTTATAAATGCAATACAATTGTTTTTTCCTTCAAAACTATTATTCTTCTATTTTATAGCACTAATCATCTCTTGATATTCCCTGTTCATGTGCAGAGACACCAACTGGCACTACATCTCAGTAGTCTGGACCAGTGAGACCGGTGAATGGGTGTTCTATCTCGATGGATCCCAAGCAGCATCAGGAACAGGTCTATCGACTGGAACCTTCGTGAAAGGAAGAGGAATGTTTGTTGTAGGCCAAGAACAAGATACTTATAACGGATCCTACGTGGTTAAGGAATCTTTCATCGGTAGCTTATCACAAGTGAGGTTTATTCCATTTTGTTACGCCTTCTGTGGATGTGAATATAGTTTTTGTGTTAATACATCCATGATATTTAATAATAGTCCTATGATCAAATCCCTCGTGAAGATCTGAAAACTGTCTTATAAATATAATTCGTTGAAGACTTCCTTTTACAGATCTTCTGGGCATCGTTACTGTGATCACAGATTTGACAATTCCATAATGCCTGCTTTATCCATGTATTACATCTGGGTCGAAAGAGAATGCCCTTCTGATTACATAAACACTTGGCTAGGATTCGAATCGTCAATCTTTTGCCTTTAACCCTAACCCTACCATCCGTCTTATATAACAGCAATGGTTGAAAGAAAGAATCTGTGATGACTTGCACTAAATCGAAGAGATGTAACCATTCTTAGTAAATCTATTCCCTTCTATAATCAGAAAATCAGTAAACATCATTCTAAATATATTTCTACTGATTTCATTTTCATTCTGCCATGATGTTTCTTTACATCTAGGTTAATATATGGGACTATTCAATGACTCGGGATGAGATTCAATCTTTACAGTCATGTTGCTCTAGTTCTGGTAACGCACTTTCTTGGGCTCAGCTGTCGACGGGTCTAAGAGGAGCTCTGAGACGGAGTGAAGGATCAGAGATTTGCAATGGTGAGTTTTCATTGTTGCATCACTCGTTTCAAGGTAATATCAGATTGAAATTCAGCTTTATAGCTTCTTGCTTGTACGATCGTCAGTGGTCATTTTCAAATACAGGGGAAGAGGGGGAGGGAGGAGGGAGCATCGATAAGGCCGTTGACAATATACCAGCAAGCAGTTTTAAAATAGAATGGTCATTTACTTTTTCGTTTCCGCTACTATTTAAAGAAAGCACAAGTCAGAACAAGATGCCACTTGGGTATGAACTGTTATCGGAATAGAAAAAGAAATTCGCTGGAAATGATGATATTTCTGCCAGGATATTATTCATAACTTTGAATTCTTTATTCTTTTATTGTTATTTGTTTAAATCTCAGGAGGAGCATGTCGGAATCAAGGTGACTGCCGTAACATCGAATGTCAACAAGGAGCTGTCTGTGGCATACAGAATGGACAACCTGTATGTCGGTGCCCCGATGGGTTCACTGGACGACTTTGCCAATTCGGTGAGTGTTTTTTAATACATAACATATAATTTTAAAAAGTATGTACCATTTGATAATGCTTGTTTCGAAGCCCTAAAACGCTTCTATTTTACACAAAATAGCTACTTATTCTATTTTACATCGAATAATTCAGGTTCACCATTACCTACATGTAATGTTTACATATGCTTTGACGGATGTAACTAGATAACAAGATGAAAGAGGAGAGATAAAAAGAGAGTGAGAGAGTGAACGGGTGAAAGAGAGACAGAGAGAGAGAGAGAGAGAGGGGAATCCTGACTTTAAATTTTGTATGAAATAGTATAAAAATGATATTCCGTTGGTAAAATTTCAGGCAAAAGGTGTTATTTGTAAAGGATTAGAACCAAAATGCGTGACGCGAAATTGTACTTCATGTTATAATAATGCAATTACTTTTTAATTAACGTTACGTGGCATCGTTTTGTGTTACACACATGTATGGTAGTGTGTAGTTTGGTTCAAGAGGCAAAAGTTGATTGTTTTATGAAGAAAAAAATGAATACAATTGTAGAATAATTTTACAGATATACTCTGAACTTTATACTTTTCTAAACATTATAAGTTTCGCTAATAAAAAAGTGTGATTAATTTCAAAAATACCCAGATATCAATGAGTGCTCGGTCAACAACGGAGGATGCGATCATCATTGTCAGAACACAGTGGGGTCATTCATCTGCTCCTGTCGCCAGGGTTATGCTCTTCAACTTGATCAGAAAACTTGCAACTGTAAGAAAATTCACATTATGCGTTTCAAAATCTGTTAATATTTATTTTGACCTGTTCAGTATTAAAACTCTTCTTTTTTTTTCCCCCGCAATTATCCCATCTCCTCCTGATAAAAGATATCCTAATTTAACTTGTATTGTATGAAGGTTACTTTCTTAAAGTCACCCTTTTGCTTCTTATACGCATAATACTTTTACATCGGTATCTATTAAATATTTGTTTTGAGAAAGAAAAGGAGGACATTATTCTTTTGGAATTACCAGCCTAAGATAACTCATAGGCCTCCGTTTGTACATGTATACATGTATTTTTTTAAAGAATGTATGTTTTCTTCCTCATACATGAGACTTGCAATGAAACTTAAATTCATCGATCCGTTTTCTACCCTTTTTCTGTTTTACAATTTATCTGCAGTTCTCAGTTACTAGTACCATTATGTTAGAACAATTTCGTAAAGGGCATATTGTGTTCATTGTATTCATCATTGAATCATACCATAAATGTGTACCCTATTGATAATCGCCATTATAGAATCTTTAAAAATTACCGCCTATTACCTGTCTGATACACTATTGAAGCCAATAACATTTGGTTTATTTGTTCCCTTTTTGTTTTATAGCTGTAAGCTTCTGCAAACACAATGGAAAATTCCATTCGGTAAGTAATAGTGAAATGCTGTTAATAAAAAAAAGTGTTAAAAACTTTGGGCGACACAGTACATGTAATATGTTGTTTTAAGAGTGAATGAAAGACAAATGAAATCGCTAACGGGATGACACGTTTATATCATTATTTACTTCCAAAGACATCAAAATCATTATTGCTTGGCGTTCTTAAATATGAACATAAGTTTGTGAATTATCAACTGACTGTTTATTTAAAACAGCTCCATTGCCCCTTTGCCTTGGATTTGTGTAAAGATTTAGTCTATGCGACCTGTAATTTTGATATTTCTTCAAACTGAATTTGTGTTCCTACAGGCCGAAGATAGTTGGGAAGAAGGATGTAATGCATGTGCTTGCCAAGACGGAAGAGCAGAATGTTCACCTAAACTATGTCCGGGACTAGACTGCCAAGGAGTGAGTAAATTTATGAGAAACGTGAAACAATATTTGATGACAAATAAGTAAAGCTTACGCCCTTCCCCTCCAATCCGTTTCTTTGATCGACCATATTAACATAGAACTATCTGCCAAGAAACTAATAGAAAAAAATAGGTCTCAAACAAGCGAAATAACTATCCTCACAGTTTTAAGTTTTAAAACGGGAGTTCAAAAATATATTGCTTCCAAAAAAGTCATCAGTCATGTCAGTTTGTCGATTAGCAAAATGGACTTAAAAGATTACAAATTAGCTCTAGAAACTCTTTTATCTTGGTGTCTCACCCTAGCCTCAGCCCCTCCTCCTCCTCAGCCCCCTCCTCCTCCTCACCCCACACTCATGGTATACTTGTATGTGCAATAGATACATTTTTTTTCTCTCTCTTGATTAGTCCTTTTATGCACTTTTTTCGCAGCTGGAAACAGAAGTAGTCTTGCCTGGTGATTGCTGTCCAGTTTGTTTGCCAGGTAAAACAGATTTTGAAAGTCATAGGACCTTAGCTAATAACGAGATTACCATTATAAACTTTGAAAGGGGCAATCTCAAAATGAATGAATAATCATTCAAAAGTCACGGAAGTGGTCAAAATTCGGCCTGCCAAATAGGCCTTTTCAATTTAGTATGATATTACCTAGGCTGACATCCATTATTTAGGAAAAACTTAATCAGTAATATTTGATGTCACACAGGAAATATTCATAAAGGAAGTACCTTTTCCGAAAGCAATAAGAAACCAAAGAAAATACGCAAATGAGAAGCTTTGATGGAAGAAGAAAAGACTTTCCAAAATTGTACCAATTCCGGTGTTCATACTGAATACTATCTTTGTAAAAATGTTATCCACCTTTATGTACTCATTCAATCCAAACAAAATGGAAACATGTCGTTGGTATGTATGACCGTTTTGCAGAAATGAAAACGTGTTCAGTCAGCAACGAAGGCCACTACGAAACGTTTGATGGGTACACCTATGATCAGCATGGCGAATGCCGATACGTACTCACACACGATTACAGCGGGACTTCTAATTTCGAAGTCCACATGGAGCACCAGTTCCTCAACGCCAATCAAACTCATCTCGGCGTCCGCGTCTTGGTCTACATCGACTGCTTGGAGGTCAAGATCGACGTCAACGGCCAGGTCTTTGTCCAGGATGAAGCCGTTGGGTTACCCTACGCGCACCGCAACCCGGCCAACGTTCGCATCGCCCACGTCGATGGCGGGCGCGACGTTGAGGTCTTCTCCAACAAGGGCTTGACGGTGACGTGGTCGCAGACGGGCGGAGTCAGCGTGAACCTGACGGTCACGCACGGTGCCGACGTCAAAGGGCTGTGCGGAAACATGAATGGGAACAAGAAGGATGATAAGATGACCAGACAGGGTATCAGGACGTCCAAAAATAAAGAACTGGTACACAGCTGGAAAGTAGATGGATACAAGTAAGATATCAAGATGCCTTTTGTCAATATTTTGTGTTCATTTTTATTTTTTCTTTGTCTGCTTTCTTTAGAAAGTTATTGAATTTTATATGTAACTTGGTGACATAAATCTAATTGTGACCGAGAATATGCTGCTAATTGAATGTTTGAAGATAGACAGTGGTCATATGTTCTAGCTAAAAGAGAGAAATTGAGGGAGAGAGAGGGGAGAGAGATGTAGAGAGACAGAGAGAGAGATGTCGAATGATGGAGAGAAAGGTAAACAAAAAGTTGTTCTAGACAATGAACTAGGCCCATCTTTTCATTGTGTTTCTTTAAAAATAGAAATGCGACCCCTAAACAATTCTCCCATACTACTGACGATTTCAAACTGATTGATAAATAATATTCCAATATTCCTATCTCAGGCATTGCAAGCAAAGGAACACTCGTCCTATGAAGTTCGGATACCTGAAAATTGGAAGATGTTCATCGGTCAGTTACAAAGACTTTGGTCTTGCCTTCAGAAAATGTCGTGTTTTCTTTAAAAATAACTTCAAGCGTTGCGTAAGTGAGGTAGATCCGAAGCCATACATCACAAATTGTATTGAGGATACTTGTACGTGTGGCGTTCGTCAGCCATGTCACTGCGAGGCGATATCATCGTACGTCAACGAGTGTCGACGCCATCTTGGTGAGGATATTGAAGACTGGAGAAGCCTATCTAATTGTGGTAAGATTGTTCTTCCTCTTACCATGCTTACAGAGCAAGATTCAAATACATTTTTGGTAATATGGTGACAAGGCTTCAGCATTTCAAAGTCAGCCCCAAGGAAATTTGGAGGAGGGGTTGGGGGTCACAGTCACCCCTCCACCTAGAGACGTCATTGGTCATGTAGTAGGGTTAATGTATTTTTTCCTCCAGAAAACTCCTTTTCTTAATTGCAAACGCAAATGGTATATCTTGTCTTTTCTTTGTCTTTTGTGCGAGGACCAATGCGTATCCCCTTGACATCTTTTAATTCATTTTACTTCGTCTGTTTAAAATGTATAAGAAGCATTTATCTTCTGTTTTCATCACTTAATGATTATGCATTATTTTTTCAAATTGTTTATTACTTTGTCGTTACGTCCCCGAAATAAAATGGGATGTCCGATTTGATCATGATTAACAAAGTTGTTTCAAATTTCGATAATAGAAGGAAAGAAGTTACTATCAATATTGTCTTATATTTTACCTCTATTTACAGCTTTACAATGCCCACCTACCATGTCCTATGACGAGTGTGGTCCGCCGTGTCTACCGACGTGCGAGGACCCCGATGGTCAGCGATGCACAGGCACCACGGCCTGCGTGGCTGGGTGCCTATGCTTTGCTGGGCAAGTGTTTCATAATGGCGCCTGCATCAGTAGAAGTTTGTGCTGAGGAATAGATTCCTGATCTCGGGGTGTCTTGGAATGACTGTTTTTTTTTTAATAGGGGGTGCTCAAACAGAATGAATTGCCAATTTGGGTGTAGTCCTTATTCATGGACGGCCATCTGTTTAGTCAATGAACTGGGGTTGTAAAGCCTCTTGAGCAAGCTTGATCCCCCCCCCCCCCATCCCTTCTACCTTAGACCCTAAATCTCCCATTCTTTGGACATATTGGAGCTTTCATCTCAACCTTCCCACTTTTGTTTTCTCTCGTTCTTGTTCCTCTCTGTGTGTCTTCTTCTCTCTCTCTCTCTTTATCTCTAACTGTCTCTCTCACCCTTCCTCTCCATGGGTGTCCAACACTCATATTATTCACACACCCATTTAGTTTTTCTTTTGTCTTTTTTCCTCCTTTTATTTTCTTCCTATGTCTCTGTCTCTGTCTCTCTCCATCTGTCCTACGTATCTTCCTCTACAACCTCCTTTCCTCCCCATTGTCCTCTTCCATCATCTGATAGCCCGAATTTCAATCTTCCCTCTCTCTCTCTCTCTCTCTCTCTCTCTCTATCTTACTATCTATCTATAATTATGCTTGACTTACTCTCTCACTGTACTCTCTGTAGCTTATACACAGAACTGTCACAATGTTGTATGTGAAAGTTTGATTACATTACTAAACTAATGTTGTTACGTATTCTTAATCTTGAAAGTTGAAAATGTAATTGTATGTAAATATAATGTACTTTACAACATTGTGTTAAATACATCTTTATGTATCATTGCCAGTCTGTCAAAGAATTTCATTCAAAATGTTGTTAATTGTTTATAAATCATTGAGTGGTCAAGCTCCTAGTTATATAACACAATTACTTCAACTCAAAGTCCAGTCACACAGTCGTACCCTTCGCAGTTCCACAGATAAATTATTGTTCCAGATTCCCCATGTAAAAACTAAAGTAACTCTCGGGTACGGTGCTTTTGCTATTGCTGCCCCCAAACTATAGAATAGCTTGCCAATAGAAATATGAAGCTCTCCATCTCTCAATGTCTTCAAATCCATATTAAAAACATATTTGTTCAATTGAGAGATCCTATTTTGTAGAATTTAGTAAAAAGTAGCTCTGAACCAGCGCAGCTAAATATATTTTGTATAAAAGCTGCGCTATATAAATGTATTATTATTATCATGCACCAAGCTTTAATTGGAAAGACTTTTTAATTCAATAACAAAACCTTTATTTTCTAATGAGGGAAAATCATAGCCGAGAAGGTAAAACTTGCATTTGGTTAAAAATTTATAACAGGGGAACAGTAACTTTTTTATTTAAAAATACTAAAATATAGCGGTTGAAAAATCTATTATTTTATACGAAACCCTCACCCAAGAACAGCACTTTATTTATGCAATTTGCGTTCTGGCAGTTGACTACAAAGGATAATAGCAGGTGAATGAAATGCTTCAACACTACAAACACCTGGGAAGAAAGCATCCATAAATTTAGAGAGAGACTGTACTTTATTTTGCTTTAAGCCTTTCTCATACACTTTGGTGGGGAGTCTTGTAGATTGATCGGAAAGAATGCAATAAATCTCGCAGAACAACTGAAGTTATTCTTTGGGGTTAGTTCTCCTTTAACCAAGATTTGAGCATTAAATTCGATTGCATTACTAAAATGGCCACTTCTGACTTTTGAAATACAATTATCTGTAACTGTAATAACACTTGAATTAAATCATTCGTAAAGAGCTAGGCACTTAATAAAAATACATGCATTGAATACGATTACATTATAAAAATGGCCTATAGAGTACCGAAGTTAACGTCATGTTCGTTTGTTGTCCAGGTTACTAGTTCTTAACAACAGAGCATGTGCATGAGGTTCACCGTGAAATCATCCAAGCAACGGGCAGCATGATCAGGGTAAATTAAGTGTTAGAGGTTTATTGCTACGGTCACAAAGGTTCGTACGAACGATAATTTCGTACGAATCTTCCTCTTTTTCCATTGTCTTCCCGAATTTCCATTGTCTGAAAATCGTTCGTACGGCGTTCGTAGCAGTTCGTAATGGCATTTGTGACCGAGGCTTTATAGTCATCGACACACCCATTGCTTCAAACAAAATTGTTGGGAGCCAGCAATCTTGACAACTAGGCCAGTATAACGTCACACTATAGTACCAAAATCTGACTACTGAAATACAACTATTCATAACCACTGATAACAGGTGAAAGAAATAATTCGTAAGGCACTAGATAAAATCCCTTGCATTAATTGCTTCATATCTATGATTTATAAATTTAAATAAATATATTGATACTTCGGCATATATAATTCAACCTTCAAATGCAGCTTATAAATTTGTACTGAAAACATGTAAATAAATTCACTTTGTTAAAATGAATTATAACTTGCTATGGTTCGTGTTAATGTGCCATTATTCCAGAGAGATGGGGAGAGAGGGTATTAAGAGGGCGAACAAAGAGAGATAGAGAATGCGAGAGATAAAGAGAGGAAGAGGAAGAGGAGAGAAGGGGAGGAGAAGAGAAGTATTTTAACTAATGATGGGGCTACCCTGTTTAAATAAAACGAAATAAATAAATAAAGAAGAGATTTTAATTAGAGCCATAGTTGATTTGATTTAGAAAATGGAGGCACATAAATAAATTCATCTCTTCTAAAAATGAAGTAATTATGATGATTCTTGTAAGTTGTAGCTAAGGTCACCGAAAAATAATCACTGAAAATGTGAGAAAAGGTGGCATGAGAAATTTTCTCAAACCTGTCCTTTGTAGAAAATCACGGGGAACAGGGGGCACGTAGGCCTCGCAACCCAATCTAATCATTTGAAGACAAAAACATCAACCTGCACGGTACATTATACTGCTTACCAAAGCGTGCCCCCTAAATTCTATAGGCCTACACCAGCAGCGATTTCAGCCCAAACACCAACCACTCCTCATGCATCCGAAAATATCAAAATTCTTGTCTTGTTTACTTCTGGCGAAATTTGGGACTATAAAAACGCACCCCCCCCCCCCCCCCCTCCTGCTAGAGCTAGAGGATCATAGATATAGATCCACCACTGCACTACACACTTACTTTCAAGATTCTGCATTCATATCAGGATACCCAACTTTTTTTTCAAAGCTCTGAATTTAATCTCGCACAACCACCCTCCTAAAATTATGGATTTTTTGGTGATAAGATTTTCCCAGGAGCTGCTTAGGAATTTTGTCCCCATCATTATTTTGATGAAATTTTGAAGAAAAAAAACAACAAACATTGACGCAATTAATCGAGACGCAGCTATTAATATCATCAAAAACCATTGGTCTTATCATGATAAATGAAGTATAATGCCTTTGCAATTTAAGGAATTCAAACTATGCCATGATACCATAAGAGGTACTTGAGAGATATAAAGGAAATAGACGGATTAAGAAGGGGATAAACTAAGGAAGAAAGAAAGGAACTAACAAGCTCTCAAGTAAGGAAATACAGAAATAGTAATTGTCAAGAAATCAGCAAAGTACGAAAGAAAAAGGAGAAAAGGGGAAGAAATGGGAGGAGGCACGCGGGGTGAAGAAGAGTCAATAAAATCTGCGATAAGCCAAAACGCAGGCAGAAAGGCAAGTTATTCCATTGTATACAAAGCCTGAGGGTTAGAGCCCTCTTTATCATAACAAAGGCCATAAGAGGCTTGTTGCCTAGAGCCCGCTACGCTACTTCGCTCCACCTGTATACAATAATACCACTCGGTATCATGATATAGCGTGGTATAAGAGAATTCGTACAGGTGAACGCAATGGGCGCAAGAAAATGTTATGACATTTTATTGTTTCGTTGAACATGTGAAGTCGTCTGATTTATTTCCGAAGTGAAAAAATTGCGTACTTTTCTGTCTAAATATCGGGTTTGAAACCAGATTCTAAAAATGGCAACTGGACACATTCTACCGGGTTTTAGGAACCCTGTGTCGCGATACCGGTCCAAATCGGCCGACCCAACCATGACGGGCTACCGGTACAGAACTCCGGGCGCTACGGGTCTGGACGCGCCGGAGTTCCTGGCGATCAAAGCCGAGGCGATGAATGCCTGGACTGAAGATAAAATTGACTGGAATAAAACACCAAACAAGAAGCCCACAACATACGGACACAGTTTTTACAGGAAAGAGAATGTGACTGAAGAAAAGCTGGCAGAAATGAGACCCACGTCCTCTCTCAGAAGAAATAAACCCCATCCTAAAAAGTAAGTAAATTATCACTCAAGTGCAGTTCAAACTTCAACTTCAAGGTTATCTGTAAGTGTTTCTTTGCAAGATTAGATAACATTTTTGAAATATTGATATAAACTCATGTCATGATAGATATATGTGTATATGTATTTTACGTATATTATTACCATTCAAATGTCATTGTGTCAAGTTGAAATAGTAAAATACAAATGTCATCTGTGACAGACTGTGATAATTTTATAACACTTTGGAGCATCAGACTATTTTGACTCCTACTATACCATTTGTACTCTGTAGCTGCAAGTAGGCCTTTAATATTTGTTGATATTCTGTATTATTTGTTACTTCCATATACAGCTAGATTTATTGATTTTCATTGTGACTAAAAGTTGAGTGCCTCCAAAAAAAAAATTGAATTGAGATCAGTGCGGGTTTGTGTGATCCTCGTCTGTAATTATAAATTCTTGTAATTATTGTAACTCTGTAGTCTGTAGCCCAATAGGTGACTGTATTTCTGTGATTGAGGGAATTGAAACCACTGCAAACATTCTTCTACTAAGACATTTACAAATGTATGTTTAGAGTAAGATATTATCACTGTCGTTATTTTGGTTGTATCACACGTGCATACTCTACATGAAGGTTTTTTTTTTTTTTTTGGGGGGGGGGGGGGTTAAGTGGTATTTCACATTTTCACTTTTACTTTGTTTGGGGTACTCAAAAGTTATTCAAAAAATACTATTGAATACATGGATTCCACAACAATTTTGAATAGATTCAAGTTCAAGGGCTGCAATGTAATATGACTCCTAAAAATAAGTTGACTCCCACTCCTGCTTAAAAATTATGTGCATGTACAAGTACATGTATGTGTACATGTATATTGCATTTTACAACTACAATCTCGACTTGGATTTTTAATGGATTTCATTGTTCATTATCAGACTTTTTATGCACACCCCAATCAGGCCGAGTATACGGCATCTGCAAGAATCTTCAGTATTGAAGGAGGCAGATTATCTTGAAGAAGAAGAAGAACAATAATGTGATTAATCATGATGAGTGACCTTTAAACTACAATAGTACAAAGTTGTTTTATTCAAAGATACACCTATTTTTATATCTCTAACTGGTTGATATTTACAGAGTAACCTCAGAAACGTGTATCCCTAAAAAAATGATGGTTGATAAAACTGAACAAAATACATGTATGTTCATTGTTGCTTGACTTGCCCTCTAGTACTCAGATTAATGATCGGTACTAAAAAAAACAAAATGGACATTACGTTTCTATGAGTGGACATTTCATGAAGGCTACACCTGTGTATTATCATAGTAAAGGATACGGTAGTATGTGCGCAACTGCACATACACTTTAGTAATTAATTACAAGGCTTTAGGCCCACATGAATTATTGCTCAATGGGGAGGGGCTTAGTTCTATAGCCAATTTTCACTAAATAATAAACTGTCCTTCATTCATTGTGTGACAAGGCATTGAGTTACATGTATAAGCTTTCCTACACGACATGTAAGCCTTTGGTGAATGCAACTCAATTTCGAAGCTGTCTTCAAAAGTGCTGTTAACAATTGATACAAATGTATGGACTGTTCATCCTAGAGGCGAGAAACCTTCGTGATGCAGACGTTCTATTCTCCCCTTCTTTATGATACTATTTGTGTTGATTGATTGGAATCAACCTTCATTTAATAGTTCTTGCTTAATACCTTAGTCATACCTTAGTCACACCAATAAGACCACACCAGACCGAACAGGAACTGTCATTACCCCCAAATGGCTGTCGGTTTGAAGTCAGTGTAGAGTTGGTTTGGCAGTGTGACTGAGGCACTGTAGTATTTGGCAAGCCTCTGGTATTAGAGCTTCCAGATCACCAAGAGTAGCTTTTGTTCAAGATGTCAATACAATTGTACATATATGTTTATGAGCGATTCTATGCAATATCCATTATGACATGTCACATGGGGTACATATCCATCATTTATTTCTTGAATTACTTTCAAAATTACCATTTAATGGTTCTTTCTGATATGTGTTCATGTAATTCTATTAAGTGGTCAAGTCAAGATATATATTGTTTTTTTAATGAAATAAATTGAACAAAATACATATTTTGTACAGGACACATTCCATAGAAGTTTCCCTACACTTGTCATAAGTAAACCAGTCTAGTTCTGTCTTAATAGCAAGCCATGACTCTTCTTTTCAAAAGATGAAATCAATGTTGTTGTGATGCGGTTCTGGCCTTATTTTTCATCAACAAGTTTACCAAGCAAGGTGGATCGAGATTATATAAGACAGCATCCAAGGAGAGGCATGCCTTGAGGGGAGGAAATTATTGATCACTCACTTGGGGGTAGTAAGGTTGGAATGGAATAATAGATCTTGAAAAGTTCATTCTAACAATCTCTTGTTTCCCCCGTGAGATCAATAGAAAGTAAAGAGAAGGAGGGTTACAAAGAAGAAGTGATATTGTCATATTAGGCCCATTTACACTACCAAACACCATTCTTCATAAAACATCATTTTATTTTACTGTCACTAAACACTACTAGAAAACCCCATTAGAATTAAAATATATATTTGGTGCCAAAATCTCATCGTTTTTCCTAGAGCTGCTTCTTCCTTTTGAATCTTGGGAGGGGACTTATATTAGTGACAATAAACCAGTTGTGAATGACAATATTTGGAATCCAGTCTGCATACATTATTTGTTGCTATGTCTTGCAGGCCTTCAGGTTGTCAAGAACAACCTTTGTTGAAACATTGGGCATGAAATTGGAAATGTACATGTAAATAAACTGGTCTATTGTGTTCAAATATGATGCATGCCCAGGGCTACATATACTGTTTCGTACTATTACATACAGTATGTAACTTGTCAACAGAGCACAAACTATTGTCTGCAATTTGCATTCTTACTATTAAAAAGAACTTTTGATGTTGTACATGTAGGTCTAGATGAATGCATTTTTGTCCATTCTTTGGGGAAGAAGCATCCATGAATGTGGCTCTAACTTCTAAGAGGCGCATGGGTGGAGCATTGAAGACATTCATTATAATACATCAAGGTTCTGTATACTGGTAGGTGCTGCAGAAATGTTTAAAGCTTTCTAACAGCACCATAAAAGAAAGAAGCATCCATGTATTTAGCTTTATTATTAATACAAGATATGGAGTTTGGGAGAAAAAGACGGGCTTTGTTACAACAAACTCTTTATGACCTTGTTATAAGAGTTTACTGTACATGATTGTGATTGTGATGCAGTTCATGGTATATCCAAGGTAGGGAATAAATGTCTAAGCTCCTTCGTATATCTCTCTCACATTATTGGTCTGTAGCAGTATCCAAATATATCTTGTGCATTTTACGCTTTTACTGTATGTACATGTACCTGTAGCCTCTTACAATTACATCCATTTTTAATCAGATGTACATGTACGTGTAAAGTCATTGTACTTTTTCACTAAATTAGGAAGTTCATTATGCAGTACCCGGTACATATAAGTGTGAAAAACTAATTGCCTGTGTTCAATTGAGCATATACACCTGAATAGCAATGTATATATTCATCAGTTATTCATCTCTTTCATTACAGTAATATCACGCTTATCTTGTAAAAGTACATTGTATATGTACCTGTCCGTCTGGGCATTACTAGGGAAAATGATTGAGAGGTGTCGGGAAATATTAATTGTTATCTACACATTTTTGTTTTCTTTGTACTGTTTTTTTTCCCCTTCTTTTTCTCTTCTGCAAGTGCAAAGTTACAATGTAATCTTTGTATGGAAATGAATCAATTTGAGTTGAGCATTCTTTAAGAACATACTTGTTATCAGCAAACTTCTGAATTTAAACACCGTTTATACTCTTTCAGTCCGAATATTTGACAATTTTTGTTGTGTTTTAAATTGATTTAAATTTCAGCAACTTATAAGGCAAATTATTGCCCCCTCCCCTGTTCCTCTACACTGTAGGCCTATCAGTACTGTTGCATAATTTATAGCATGAATGCAATTAGGCGTCCATGTAGCTACATATAGCATACTCAGGGTTGTTTTGTTTATGACGTTAGCTTGAGATTGGAAAAACCATCTAGACTCAAAGACTGCCTAGCAACCAGTGTTGTCCCGAACAACCCATACATGTATGTGGTTTAATATCAAACAATTGATCGTTGTGTCTTTGATGCATGGAAGATACATACATGTTCTAATATAGATTTTCTTTTGAAACCACAATAATGGATATATACCAAGGTCACCTCGTTCATGTGTATACATGTACATGTACATGTACATTGCTCTTCGTCACACAGCTTGTCGCAGTTGAAAATGTTTGTTAATTCTTTGTAAAATAGTTGCGTATATTGTATGGGTATGTGTTTTATTTACTAAATATTATCACAGAGTATAACCATCTACCCTACCAGTCTGGGAGTTTATTTTTTATTTCATTTTTAAAAGTGCTGCATTATCCTAAATATATAAAGCTTATAAAAAATATTCCAAAAGTAATTAAGATTTTTTTTTTTGAGAAAAAAAGTTGTTGGTATCAATTTGCGAAATCTTAATCTTAATTCATGAATTATAGAGCTATCAAAATGTAACTCAAATATAAATTTTGTTTGTTTTTTGTTGAAACAACCTATGCTCTTCTGTAAAAACTTTGAACTACAAACTTTGTGTTAAATTTTAACTTTCAGGGGATGTAAGAGTTCTTGGAAAGACATTAACCTTCATGAAAAAATTCTTAATTCTTTTAAATAGCAGCCTGGTTTGGGCATAAAGCAGCAAATATGAAACTCTCCTTTATGGTCCAGGTTCAAAAGCTAAGGGAATCTTTCTATTCATGAAGTGCTTGTAACTGTGAGGGTTACCGGTATATGTACAGGTGTATATAAGAAGTATCATCATTATTTAAAACCCTTTTTCTCCTTTTTTCAGTGTGTTCCTGACCTGTAATCTTAAGACGGTACCTGGTTACCATGATGCCCATTCAGCGATGGGAAAAGAACTAGGAACGGTTCATGGCTTTCAGAATCCTGATACAACTATTCAAGAAGAAGTTTATCAAGGTAAGTTTAGAAATGAAACACAATCAGTTAAAAAGGGGAGGGAGTTGGGGGCACACTTGACACATTTCTTTTTACTATGAACAGTCCAGCATTTTCAAAATCCTGATTCAACTACTACTAGAAAAGATGTCTATCAAGGTTAACTGTGTTAAACAAGGAAGGAGACCCTGATATCTAGTTGGTTTTAATGAAAGTAGAAACATGAAATAAACAGATGGATGAAATTTTGAGCAAGATCTGATAAAAAAAGTTAGAGAATTTTTGAAAATGTATTTAATTTTAATCGGTTAACGCTTCCAAAAAATCACAACTTCCTCATCTTTTATCGGATTCTGCTGAATTTTCCACATATCTGTTTTTCTCATTACTGCTTCTATCAAAACCAGCTTTATATCAAGTTAGACTTGGACTTCTCCTTTAAAAAAAGAAAGAAGTATATTGGAGGGGGGCTTCTAGAAATGTGTGTTGACTTCTAGGTAGGATATATATATATATATATATATATATATATGGCTTGCCCTACCTGACAACACATAATACATGCAATGTGCATTATGAGTATTGAAATAGAATTATTCATAACAGGTGAATTGAATTATTTGTTACAGGCACTTCACAAAGACTTACATGTATGCATACATACATTACAAAAAATTACAACATAATGTATGTACACCTGTATACAAAGGGGAACAATCTGTTCATTTGTTTTTATTTGAGTACCCATTCACCTATAGTGTGTAGAATAGATGTTGTAGTGCAACTGCATCTCACCCAGGTGATTCTTGTGAGCATCTTTATAGGTCTTTTGCATTCTTCTGAATACTTATAAGAGCTTTTTCTGACCAAGCAACACCTTCTGCATGCCAAGAGTTGCTTAAGAAAGGAAATCGTCAACTGTTTGAAACATCTGAACCAAATATCTTGTCACTATTGATGGTGAGGGAATTGAAAATCTGCTCCTTTGATTGCATTACCAAAGTAGTCTATTCTGAGGAAGGCCAGTATGAAGGAATCTGTACCATGCAGGGGCAGCAGGGCACGTCCTTATGTACCCTACATTGTACATACATTAAGCAGCTACTAGCTTGTAGTGCCAATGTTGAGGAGTTGAAGAGACATTTTTTTCCAGTTTGCCCCATTCTAACGGTTCTACGACATCAGCGAGATGCTGCGTGGTGCCATATAGTAGCTCATAAGTTGTTGCTATGCTAACATTTCCGAGGAAAAGGCAAACTTTGACTTTGGGAAGGTATTTGCCCTTACAAGTACTACCGGAACAACTTTAAAATACCCCACAGCTAAAATTGACCAAATGCTTGTAGGGTACCAAATACTTCACCAATGAAGCTAAATTTCAAGACTTAAGCTTATTAAGTAACACTATATATATAAAACCTAACCCTAGGTCTTCAATGTTAAATGTACATTAGCCCCATTGGTGGGGTATTCTAAAGTTAAGCCGTACTACCATCAGTATAAGAATAAGAAATATTCCAATATTTTTAGAAGACACTTCATTTTTCATTGACTTTGGGGGAAATTTCAGCTCTATTCCTTAAATTGACTCTTCTTACTCCTACCAGCAATAAAAGAAGAGAAATTTCAATATTATTGGAACAAAACATCCTCATAATTTTGCATTTTGTATTTAGACTTCAGATATGTTCAGTAAATCAGTCGACCTCTGCTAGGAATTCCTAATTCCCATTTTCAAATGTTGGCAGGTATGGTAATGTAATGTCTTCAATATCAGTCTTAATCATTTTAATTCTTTCTTAATTTTCACAGTGGATTCACTATGTTCACCAGCAGAGCAGAGAGATAGATCCCATCTCAGACACAAGTACATGCCTAGACCACGCACAGCCAATGTACTAACCTACCACACTGACTCGGTAAGTTAAAAGATGTGAATATGTACCAGTAATTCTTCTTCAGGCTCATTTATATGTATAAGGAAAGTCTTTCCTGGTATTTGGATGGTTTGGGTAAAAGCAGAAAATGAAAGAGACAGATCAGTAATAGTTTGAGCAAATCAGTTCAAACAAATCAGTTGAAAGTAAGAAAGTTATGAATATAGTTGTAATTAAAACACAAATTGACAATGATGTGAGATATCTTGTAAGGTCCTCTACCATTAGCTCCGGACAGAAAAATCATAAATTTTGATTAACTTAGTTTGTTGATGATTGTTTAAAGGCCCACTGCACCACTTGTAGCTACTTGCGCCCTCTCTATATTAAACAATGCCTAATCGGTGACCATCCCCCATGATCCTCTTTTTCTTATGTTAACTGAAAGCTGAGTTGATGAGATAACCACCATAACAACATTAAGGACAGATTGGAAAACAGTATTAATTTTATAAGGACGAGTATTTCACTCTTCATGTATACCTTACTATTTCAATTATTAAGTAGAATTCTCAACTGGTGACAGAAAATTGAATTGGTGCCAAAACTGATAATTGTTTGTGTCAGGTTAATTAGGAGGAAGAGTTCTGAAGATGTTATCAACTCAACAAAGGCCTATTTCCTTTCAAACGGACCATACCCTTAGGCTGGAGAATGGAATCAGACAATAGCTTGCTTCTAAGGTGTAAAAAGATATCATTTTGAATGGCCAATCAATATACTTTCTCTTCAGGCCTTATTGTACGGCTTGTTTGCCCAGAGTTAGCGTGTGGCAGTAAATAGCCCTAGAGTTTGCTCTTAATCAATGTTGCTAAGCACAGCTCTCAAATATAGCTTTTGGGAATGGTATCAGTTGTATGAATGTAGGCATTAACAAGATGGTCGCATTTGGTGGACATTTGTCGGAAAGGGTGATATTCTTCTGAAAGATGTGTGATGGTAATGGATCTGTAGCAAAATATCATAATGGATATTTACCAGATACACAGGTAAGATTTATCTTCAAGTAATTTCAAGTAGAAGTATTTCTTTCTTTCTGCCGAGTTCCATTGAGGTATTCTAGAGAGCTCATTTGGATTTCTTCAGTCATGGATTTTTGTTGTTGTTGTTTTCCAGAGCTATAAATTTGATCTCACATACCGGTACATGTATTTTGATGGACATTTTCTTCCTGAGTATTTGTATGTGTAAATGTAAATCAACAGTCTAAAGGACTGCAATGCGTCACATTTTTGATGTAATGTACACTGTACATGTATCTTTAAAATTTGTGGTGGTGACATTTCTCAAAGCCAACTTTGATTAAAAAAAAAATGTTAGTAGTATTTTGGATTAGAATAGGTTATTTTTTGCTTTGATCCATCAATCAGGAAATCACATATCATTGAAAGTGTTTCTAATAATAAATATTTTACCTGTTGCTTAGTAAATCACAAGCATTTAATACTGGATAGAATAAAACTATTTATTTTCTTTTTTCTCTCAGAGTACGAGGAGAGTTATCAATGATCCTTGGTCAGCACAAGCAGCTGAAGCCTGGATGAAACTAGCCAATGAGAGAGGTAAGAAGAAAACAATTATCAAATGTTTCAACTAATGTAGATCATATTCACATTTGGGGAAAATTATGTTACAGTACATGATTAGCAACAGATTGTTAAATGATAATGACTGACTTTATATGTAGCTGACTTCAGTCTTTAATGAATTGAATTGAATAACAATATTTATTATTTATGAGTGCTAAAAACAAAGAGTACCATACATATTTACCAAAATCACAGAACTTGAAGAAAAACATAAAATGGGTATAGTTTTGTAAATGATATGATATTACCGAGGGAAAAAATATATTTCAAGGGATCTTTTGAAAGTGGCAAAATGGGTCAATTCTTTTGTAGAAAAAGTGTATTTTGTTTTTTGAAGCAGCCACATTAAAACGTCTTTATAAGTCATATATAGGTACATTTACAAGAGAAGAGGTCGGTTTTGAGATTCAATATTTTCACACAATCAAGAAGGGTGTTTATTTAAATTGTAGGAACTTTGGTCTAATTATGAGGAGCCATGGATTTAAATAATTTGAAGATGAAGACCAGTTATGGTCATGCAAATGAATTGTGAAAGAAACATGAAATCGATCAGAAAAGGTTGATCATCTAGCATAGATGTACTGCAAGGTTCTGGAATCATCAAAATGATAGGAAATTTTGCCCAGTCTTTATAAAGTTACACGCACTGTACACAGAAAGATGTATACGCACACATGTGTTTTTATGCCTCCGTTACGAAGTAGCCGGAGGCATTATGTTTTCGGGTTGTCCGTCCGTACGTCCCGTTCTCGTGATCGCGTTTTCTGAAGAACCGATTGATGGATTCCTGCCAAACTTTGGTCATGTACATGTATGTATCTTACAGAGCCGATGAACTGATTAGATTTTGGGGTCACGAGGTCAAAGGTCAAAGGGCTCATTATGTATGCAAAAACAGCTCGTGATCGCGTTATCTGAAGAACCGATTGATGGATTCCTGCCAAACTTAGGTCATGTATGTATCTTGCAGAGACTATGAACTGATTAGATTTTGGGGTCACGAGGTCAAAGGTCAAAGGTCACAGGGCTCATTATGTATGCTGAAACAGCTCGTGATCGCGTTATCTCAAGAACCGATTGATGGATTCCTGCCAAACTTAGGTCATGTATGTTACTTGCAGAGCCGATGAACTGATTAAATGTTGGGGTCATGAGGTCAAGGTCAAAGGTCATGTGGCTCATTATGCATGCAAAAATAGCTTGTGATCGCATTATCATTAGAACAGATTGATGGATTCCTCCCAAACTTAGATCATGTATGTATCTTGCAGAGCCAATGAACTGAGTAGATTCTTGGGTCATGAGGTCAAAGGTCAAAGGTCATGGGCTCATTATGTATGCAAAAATAGCTTGTGAACGCATTCTCATTAGAACTGACAGATGGATTACTATTTAACTCTGGACATCTTGCAGAGCCAATGAACTGAGTAGATGTTAGGGTCATGTGGTCAAAGATCAAAGGGTCATATACATGTATGTATATGAGAAATTGCTTGTAATCACGATATTCTGAGAACCTGTAAATGGATTACAATTGAACTTGAATTTGAACAATTTCTTCTGTTTTGGTTTGTAAAATTGCTCTATGACGGAGGCATCATTTCGACTGCGCGCAGTCGAAGTTCCATCTAGTTATCTCTCACACACCAATAGATAAACTAATTGACAAAATATATCAATTAGTAGGCGGTTTCCTTGCAAAATTATTATCATCATGTATTATTCAAAACATATTCTTTCACCTGATTGGTAATAAAAGCTTCCATTTCATTTTTTTGTTATTGGAGCATTTCCAATACTGGTCTTTACCTTTAAATCGGTCTATATTCAGACAGGATCAACAAATGGAGTGTAAAAAATGTCATTGTTTCAGGAAAGGAGAGGGGACCGTCTGTATACTTTTATTTTTAGCTTTCTTTCCTTTTCGACAACTGCAATATCAGAATTGCTATAAAAAAATAGACTGAGGTTATTCAACTACTTCCTTTTAACACATTGCATCAAGCGTTAATGTAATGATTATTCTCAAATTATTCTTTCATGGTGAAAATTACAAGTTCCCAGCTTTGAATAATTATGTAAATGTAATATTCATGTATGCAATTTCCTGATTGATATCTTATTTAGATCGCAAGGCAGTGCGTAACATGTTAGAGCGTGCGAGCGTGCGGGGTCTTCAGATCAGTCATCGAGGAGACCACAGAGAACCCATCCCAAACAAAGCTTCATCACATCGGTTCCTCAAGGCAGCCGGAGCAGGGGGTAAGAAAAAATTGAGAAGCAGATTGGTGTCAGTTTGATCAATTAGAGAGTTATGAATTTGGCCGTATCAGTAGTGTTTCTTTGTGAAGTTAAAGGCTAAAGCAATGACGTCACAGACTCATGAGTGAGTTGCCAACTTTTATTGTGATTTTCATAACTTTCTTATAAGTTATCCGATTTCGCTCAAACTGTTTTTGATTGGTTTGTCTGCTTCTATGGATGCAAGTCATTTTTGGAGTGGACTTGCCTTTTAAGTGGCAGACAACTCTACTATTTGTTAGGAGAACAGAAATTATTCAAAGTATGTTTTACACAACAAATGGGAGAGTTGTGACTACAATCGACTGACTAAATTGTCAGTTTGAGATTTCAAATATAACTTTTGCCATTCTGTTTCTCTCATTTCTTTACTTTCATAAAAAAAATAAACTCAATCTCAATTGCTTAAAGTCTAAGATCACCAATACACTACTAATCTAATGTGATATTTATGGTGTAGCCTTTTGATGAAGGGTCATTGACTGCCTTTTGTATCAGGATTTTTTTAACCATGCATGGGCAGACACTTTCAAGTGATCTTGAAAACTTTTGCAAATGGGTGTAGAATATTATTCCTTAAATATGAGTTGCTGAAGAGGCCTACATGTATCTCAAGAATATTTGTTTGATTTGATCATGGAAAAACTGTGTTCTATCAGTTGCCCCCCCCCCCCCCCTTTGATATATTATGTTTGTTTAAATGTCTATTTATATATATCTATATCATATTTTTATTATGAATAAATAAAATTGGGATCAGTTGCATGGAACAGAAATGAGTGCCCAAGGTCACTGATGCAATCTTTCTCCCACCCCCCCTCCCCATGACCATATGGTATAATCTCAGCAAAAGAATATTGTAATTTATGTAATATCATATTAACTTAAATTATTTCCTCCTTTCATATGGTTGCACACACAGAAGCCAAGTCTGTTGATCGTTTGATGCAGACCCTGAACACCAAGCCTAAATCGGTTCCCATGAGTGGACCTCACTATCACATCACCGACTACAGTAATCTAGAGGTCCCCAACTATGTCAGGGTCAACCCTAAGCATTGTCGAACAGACTATGTTATACATCCACAGTTTGTTCCGTGATTATGTATGGCTTGTGCAAAAATATTCAATACTTTCAAGCTTAATCAGGTGCATTTGCAATGTTAAAAGTAGAGCACTCTCATTGGCAATAGCACTTTGTAGGTTTCATGTGCAAGTTGAGAATTTAAAGAGTACTTGTATATTTTCCTGTGACTGCAACTTGCAGAAATATATAAATAGTATAGAAGAAATGTATGTTGTAATATATTTATGAATGTTGGTGCAACAATTGACCATTTGTAGGTGTTTTTTCTGCTTGTAGGTGTTATTCTGCTGTGTAGACAATACATTTACATAGATTGATTAAATTAGCTGTGCAAAGAAACGTCACAAAAATGTGCAAATCCCCCCATATCGATCCTGCTACTGTGAAAGCCACCAAAATATTAGGAGTCATTATTCAGAATGACTTAAAATGGATCAAAACATAAATAATATCATAAAGAGAAACCAGTAAAATTCATATGCTTAGACTATTAAAACGTCATGGTCTACCCTATGATGACTTGTTGACCATAAGGCCTGTCATTGAATATGCAGCCCCCACCAGCTTAGAAAGAGAGTGATTATCAACTTATGACACTGCCCTAGATGAATTGAAAATAGAATCTCTATTTGATAGAAGGAAGAGCGTGTGCGCACTCTGATCAAATAACACAGTATTCCCTCTGGAAATTATGTGCCTCATACATTTTAGCCTAGTTTTACCATATTGAATCTGTCATGACAATAGTTTATCATCCCTTGTGGCATATTTCTTTTCCGTATCCTCCTATATGAATTTTTTCATTGTCACTTTTCTCTCAGCCTTTTAATATCCCCATAAGTTACTGTCTCTCTTCCATCTGATTTGTGTTAATATACTGTATAAATAAAACCATGAATATAGAATACTTGATTTTCAATAGTAGTTTTTATTTTGACAATATTGTTACATGCATGTGCTACAGTGCGTCCCAGAAATCTTTAATGCAATAACGGACACATATTTGTAAAGCTTAAATTCTCCTTTCATATTGTATGAGTGAGATGTCAGAGAGAAAAGGAAATGTGATTTTCCTGTTTTAGATACTGTTCACCAAATCACTCGCATATCATGAAATTAAAGATTAAAGCTTTACAAATATGTCTCATTCAGTTATGATAAAACATCAATAGTTCTTGGTTTTGGGAAAAACCTAAATTTATAATACCATGACTGAGCAGGTATTGTTGCTATGTAGCTGAACACTAATTGCAAACTGAGCCTTTCTGGGACACCCTGTATACACCAAGTACTGTTTTTATCAAAATTTTATTGTTTATAAAGTACTGTAATTTGTTTTAAACTATCATTATTTGGAATTTATTGAAAGTTATAATGGCAAGTTTAAGATAGCAATTTCAGATTTGGGGTTGTCTTATAGTTTAGTGTGGAAAGAAGTAAATTGGTCACAAGGGGTTAAGAATCACAGGGACCAATCACCTTCCATGTTGGCGAATTTGGTAATGCCCCTTTAATATTTCTTCATAGTTGCATGTACACAATAATCCCTTCAGCATGAATGTACATTATCAACTTAACATATACTGTATCTCCTGGGTAGTAACATAATCATGCTATGTAACGGTTGGACACTTGACCACTTTCTTTAAAGGTTTCATTCTATTTTCACCTTTTTGTTCAACCTAAAATTCACTGTAGGTTTACCATAATTTGTCCCTACTGCTATCTATATTTTACTTCCATTAGCCAGTTACACTTGTTGTCATATCTAATAGTGCTCCCTTTCATACTATTAAAGTCTACATGTGAAAATAAAAAAATGCATTCTGCAAAATCAATTGGTCGATAATCTACACAGCCTGCTGTATATGTGTGCTTATACTATTTACAGCATTCATAACTACAATCATTATCTGCACTATACATGATGAGTATGCTACATAATAAACAGTGGATTATGAGATAAGGTAAAACAAACATTCCCATCTTGTTCAATACCTTATATTGCATTTTCACATATACATGTATTGTATACAAATCATTTCATTTATTTGGTCCTTACTCCAATATAGTTTAATTTATAAAAAGATACATGTAAGGAAGTTTTGAAAAAGGGTAATATATGATTACAAAGTCTCTGGATATAACATTTCAATTTTTACACATGAATAAGAGGATTATATTACTCATATTGTTAAATAACATGGCATGAGGCAAGTATATACATATTTTTGTTACAATTTACAGAGACAGTCCTCACAAAATGAAGTCGTACATACATGGATCTGCTAAATACGTGCCCCCGTATAACCTTGATATCACTATAAACATTATAAACATTTTTATTCCAATAAAATGTACTTCAAAGAGGAACACTTGACTCGTCATTTGGCTATGTACATGTACGTGAAAAATAATACTCCCATCTCTAAAAGTGTTGCAACCATAATTTTTGATAAATAGGAACCTCAATTTCTACATATTCAATCTTATCCCAGTGTGGATGTTGTCTTGAATATTCAGCATCAGAAATCTAGTGTCTAATACATTTATATAACTCTTCAGGTCTGTGATTTCACATGCACATATTCAAATGCAAAATGTGTTGACTCACACTGTTGGATAGAAAAGTGTTTAAAAAAAAACATATATAAAATATTGCCTTCAATTTGAAAACAAGGCATTTGTGTACTATTGAATTTCTTTTTTTTGTAGGCACATTTTTATTATTGCTTGTCTTTGAACGTTTCTAGAGTACAAGTTTACATTAGAGTTGTAATACATGCAACTTGCATCACACAACACTGGTACTATGTCACTCTAGAATACCTTTTTTTATACCAAAACATTAACAAAAGACATAGGTATCATTTCATCAAAACTATAAATGTATAAAAAAGCATAAGCATAATAAAAATATTTGTAAATGAATAAGCCCCTAAAGTTTGCTTAACCTTTGCTAAAGCTGGGTATACCAATGCCAGCACCACAAGTCTACATGTAGCACCTTCCTTTCAATTCAAAGAAAAGCATTTGAGATAAATTTTGCATCTACAACCATTTCATTTACCATGTGGAAGAATTCATATAGAATATTACTTGTATGTATATCATTCAAAAACATGCCTCTTTATGTTGAGAAGTGCTAATACCATTTTATCTGAGTATAAATAATAAGTTTCATGTTTTTTTCTTCTGCCCTTTTGAGCAGATTGCAGCAGTCAAATTCATTAAACCAAATCATGATAGATCTTCTCTTATGACACATACAAATATGAGTTGCTTACAAGTGTTATCGTATGATTTCATGCATTTGAACAGACATGTACGTTACACACGTGATGACACATCCTAAATCATCTTGATATCATTTCAATTTCAAACTACATTCCCCCTGTGGAGGCAAGTGCAGTGAAAAACATTTAACATTTACGAAGCGCCTCCCCATTCCTGAGACTTGCGATGTATCCTGCAGAATTGTATTGCGACCCGATACAGAAACCATCTGATCCTCTGGCTATGCATTAAATGAGACTTCAACTCCGAAGAAACTACATTATCTCGTGGAAACAAAGATCTCCAAATGGAGTACTCATGAAATGTTTGCTGTCATAGTTACAGCATGGTGTCCGCCTCCAAGGAGTAGCATCATCACCATGACAACTGGACCGCATCATTCTTAACCCTTACTGTACTGGGGGGGGGGGCCTGGGAGGCCCCCCCCTCGACATTTTCGGAGTTTGCGCCCCAACCGCTTGGAATTTTGAATTGTCGTTTCATGACTTTTTTCCCTCAAGTCTCACGCACATTTTGATACCATTTTCGTCGAAATCGGATATACCTGTAAGGCGTTACATAACAATTAGTATGCGCATGTCATCAAAAAAAAAAAAAAAAAAAAAAAATTGCATCAAAATTTGCATAAATTATCATTATTAATTACATTAAATTAACTTTTTTGAGTTAAAAAAGAAGTTTCATATGAATAATGAGTTTCAACATTCAAAAAGTGGAGTTTGAAACGTTTTCTGTAAAATGCATAAAATTAGCATTTTTGCATAATTAATTAGGCTAACAACAAAAATTTGCATATTCGGAAAAAACTAATTATACCATCTTGTTCCTTACGTAAATATCTACAAACGTGCAAATTTTCGTGTTCATCGGACAATCGACGGCCGAGATTATAGGGGGGGGCCTCCCAGGCCCCCCCCAGTCAGTGGGTGCTCAAAATAGCCCAGTACAGTAAGGGTTAAAGGCATGTGATGAGTTTAGAAGAATGCAGCGGGTTCAGTCGGTAATCGAGTTGTGTCGTTTCCACGGCACCTTGAGCTTAATCTGTATATCAAAGAACATTTGGGGTTTCTATAAAAATGTTTCTCTTCAGGGCCAAAATGGTAGATATCTTTTAATTACGCATGATGATCAGGTGATGCTTGTTACTGTTAGCGGTATGAAGGCGTGCTTGTGTAAATAGTTTAGTGGGTGGGTGGGTGGGTGGGTGGGGTCATTCGTTGCTTGATGGTAGCCGATGCTTAATTGACCAGCTAAAGCCACGCCCTTTCTGTATATTAGAAAGATATACATGTAGAGGGAAACAAAGTTGGATACAGGAAAGATGGGGAAATAGTGAAAAGAAAGGATGAAAACAAAAGTAATTTATGGGTAAGGGTAATATACGTTATTTTTAAGTAATGAAGCTGGTGAATTTAACAAAATTTATTATCCTTAACTAGCATGAATAGCTAGAATGAAGAAAAAAATGAGTTATCCAAATCTGATAGAATCTACGGAAATCTATGATTGGCCACATCTCCATTAACTCCACAGGGAATTAAAACGGTTGGTTAAATCATGAGCATTAATATATATATAGTCAAAATGAGAAAGAAACATACACACTTGTGTTGTGTTTTATAAGTACATAATCCATCCACTGCATATCAAGACAACTAGTCAAAGGTCTAACAAAAGTGACCCTTGGGATAAACAACCCTTCCAACAACAAACCCCCTCCTCCCCTTCTCTCTCAGGTTTGAGTACCCAGTGACAACAACCCCCTCTACCCCAGATCAATTTCAACACAATCTACAGTGAACATTTATACCCCCCCCCCCCCCAGGTGCAGAGGGGGGGGGGGTATACATTTATTGAGCCTTTAAATTCAAAAGAGTTCCATGTCATGTAGTAATGCTGTAGGGTGGGAATAAACTTAATTTTTTATGATAAACATAAAAATGGCAGTCCATTATTTATGGTAAACATTATGGATGAAATCAGCATTGTGACATGTTGCAAGTGGATTTTTGAATCATCATGTAGATATATGCTTGTGTTATGGCGAGATATATGAATAAAGTGAGAACAAATATTGAATTGCCATAAAATGAGCATTATGTGATGAGTGATAATTGAAGATTTCCAAATTACAAAAGCCAAATTTTGAAAATTATGTTATCTTTTATGATAGTGAAAAGTAGATCATTTGTCATTAAAAATAAAAAGTTGAAATTGTGCAGATGCCAACCTAAACTGTATGTATTATTACAATGAATCAATGCTAATGTCTGATATGCAAATCATAATATTGAAAATTACATTTGACAGGATGTCATGAGTGAGTTCTACTAGCAAAAATAGCTAGAATATGATGGTTGAAGAACAAAACACACAGCCTTCTCCGATGAAAAAATATACTCTCATTTCATTTACAGTTCGTCATTTTACATCATAATAATCTTATAATACAGTATCTGTATATAATGACTTCATCATGCAGAGGGAGGGGGGAGGTATATGGAATTGACTACCACCTACAATATTATCACAAAGTTCATTACATGAGGTTTTCGCTCAAATTCTTGGTTTTGTGATATAAGAATTACACATAAAATATCAAATGGGACACAATTCATAAAATGCATCATGGACGATATGGAAAATATAATTTGCAAATCAAGCATGATACAGTGTATGTTGATATAATGTATATGTAGCGCTGTTAAAATGTGTTTAGTGAGATACAAATTACATGAATATCAAGGTTATCAGACATTGACACAGATGTTTACAAAGAGAGCTTTTATCAACAGATGGGATGTATTCTTTTAAGTTTTAATCTTCTTATGCACGTCAATGTAAGATCGACGGCTGGCTTCCTCTTTTTAACCACATTTGGACTACACTATCCTCGGACATATTGAGAATGTTCTCTGTTTTGTCCTCACAACCATGTTTTGAAGGGAAAAAAAAGATTTCTACAAAAGTAATCTAAATCATGGTTTTATTAGTATTTTTTTTAAATGTCCATACATCTCAAAAAAAAGTCCGATCAAACAAGTTTGGAAAAGTAAAAACACATGACTATATGAGCACAATAGTGATTCAAGATTACTTGTCCCAATGCAGTACCCCAAAATAGAGTCAACAAAAGATAACATGATCCATAACATTGGTGGAGAGACATACTGTAATGATTGTGAATGTACATGCTTTCAGCAGTATTTATCCTTCATTTGCTTCTGGATGGTGCTCTTGCAAGTAAAATTCACATTTTTGGGGATTGTACTTACGCTGCTCGATTGTTTTATCATAGAGAGCCTATTTCCTCGAGATAATGTAAACATCTGAAGATAATTTGAGAAAATTTAAAGACGGAGTAGTTTTCTCTTCTTTTTTTTCTCTCAGAAAATATCTGCTCAGAGCCATAAAGGGCATTAACTCATATAATTTCACCCTGAATTAGCGGGCTTTGGGGTTCAAAATAGTCAGTACCTTATGCTCAGGCTTCTTAACAATGTTAAATCTGAGATGCACGGCCCTACATGTTATCAGTGCCTGTGATATGGTGTAATATTGAAGCCCTTAAAAAAATTGCGCTCCAAAATGATCAAAAGTGCCTCAAAAAAGTAAAAATCTTTGAGTGACCAGTTTTACCATACCGGTACTTGTTTTCCCCAATAGACTCCAGTGTTATGAATACCGTTAGGAAAACGCAAAATTTGTTTTCAATTTCCAATCATAAATATCTTGATAATCAGGCGGTCGGCATGTAAAAGTCAGGGGTTCCTGACTGACCTAAATGTTTATAATTATCATTGAAGCATGAGCTAAACCCAGGATTTCGTTTCAGAATCTGAGACAAAGTTACTGGATCCCTTTAACTATTACTTCTCACTTTTGCTCTTTCATTCAGACAAAAAATGAAGGGATCATTATTTTAGTACGCAAGATGAGCTGTTAAAATTTGATAAAGATGAAGCATTATTTACTCAAAAACACTCAACATGCAAGATAAAAAAAGTTGGTTTAAAGTGAATTAAAGCTCCCTTTCCACCTGCAGATTGCGACTATCAAACACAACTATTTTTATCATTTAAAACACTGCTGACTATAAATGTCTCATCACATATTGATTCTAGTAGTATAGAAAGTTAGAAGCATGTTGTTAAAGTCTTTGACAGAAATGGCTCAAAGGACACTTACGTTGTCTCTCAACACTCCAAACTGATTCAAAACAAGAGAAATGTGATGGAAACATTTGACTATAAATAACCATGTGAAAGAAGGAAAATACCCTCTAATTGGCTTATGGGATGAAGAGAGCATTTAATTTAATTCAGTACAAAGATTAAGCTATTATTCTACTTAGCGTTTGGCTTGGCTAAGTAAGATTTCTTTACTTCGTATTCAGATCATATCCAAGCATTTTACTTAGGCAAGCGTACTTTATGGCAAAACACTTACTCATAAGCATTGTGACATCACATAGTCAGTCCAAAATAATGCACAATAAAGCAAATGGGCACCGATATAATTGTGCGCATTGGCTTAAACCTGCTAGGGAGCTGTTTTTAACTAGAGTAAAATACTTAACTGAAAGCTTCAACTGACTACCGAAGTCGACTCAAGTATTGTATCTAAGCCGAAGACTGAGTTAAATCTTCATTAAGTACTGAATTGAATACCAGCCCAGCTCTCTATCTAGTTTTGAAATTCTAAATTTAATTGGAGGAAGCCATGACCGTGTACTGAGTTAAGATCTGGAAACCTCCCAAATACTTTCTTAAGAAATATACACAAGAACAGAATGAATTATTAAGATTTGAAATGCTAGATGTAGCTCTCGATGGTTTCAAATAGAAAAGACCTCTGAAAATTACATACTGTGTACTGTATATTATCCACCTCTTCATATGAGAAAAAAATAAGTTCATACGCCATACATTTTATCAACCAATTTGTCATCCTGTACAGCAACTTGACAATGCATGTTTCATATGGTATTGAACAATATATGGTTGTGTAAAGTGAAACCGGTATAGAGGTCGGCTGAATCAGTTGAGTGGTGCAGAGTCTATGGATCTATATATGAAACCTATTTTGTGATCTGTCTAGCTACCGGTACTGATTTTTTTGTTATTTACTGTTTATATTACAACAAAAGAAATGTGTCCTCAATGGATCTGAAATGGGTAAGGTGGTGGAATCTTGATTAGGTTACTCCTAGTGATCTGCATGTAGAGCTCTAATCTTTCTAGCTTCATGTTTTGATGATTTTACTACCAGATACTTCTTTTGAAATGATAACATGAACCACAATGATATTTGATATGTACATTTGTGCATGTGAAGCCTACATGTATTTCTGTCAATTTTTCTATTTCTATTTCCACTACCAGACATTTCTTTGTGTATAAAGTGGATTTCTAAATGAATATCTATGTGGCCCGTGTTCTATCTTAAATATTTCAATAAGTGAGCATTCTCAATATAAAGTTTTAACAAAGTGTATATCAATTTTTCAAAGGAAATCTTTACTTTCAGTAGTGTATATTTCACTTCATTAAAATATCTGAAAATGTTTTTGAATAGTCTGTTCAGGAGTGAATAAAGTAGGCAAATATGTTTAATGGATCCTTTTGTACTAGGCAAAATGTGAATAAAAATGTAAACTTACTGAAAGTCCATAAAGTCTATATTGTACATGAATAAGTACAAACAGCAAAGTGCACACATAGGAAAACTTATTAAATAAATCCAACAGCCCCAAATACATTTGACCTTTTCTTTTTTTATTAATCAATTAATCGATTACTGTATATTTTCTATCATATTTTGTCTGATGAAAATAGTTTCTTAGCACTTTTGAGGGATTCCAATGAAGATTTTTGCTTACATTCTTTACCAGAACTTTAAAAAAAAACTTAGTCATATGTTCTTTATATTTTGTTATTCCTACTGGATTCAGAGGTAAATCTATTGGGTGGTATTCCGGTAGCACATTCTAAGTTGGCGCATACTAAGTTAGTCCACACTTTTATGGAGTGCCAGTTGCCAACTCATTTACAGTGTACAGATTATTTTACTCCTTCAATGAAAAGTGTCCAAAAAAAATAATTTTGCAATGAAATGGGAAGAAAAAGATACTATGATTATGAACTGAATTTTAACAAAGTCTTTGGTAGATTATCTTTGTCATGAATATTGAAGGAGGAAGATGAAACCTAGCATTCCATAGAAGTGTGAACTAAAATTCTTGTTTAGTTTGGACTTAGTCCCGGCTTAATTTATGAGAATAACAACCATTATCTGTGATCTATAAATATTTTCATGTACTTACACTTGATGTTCTGTCTCTTATGGACGATGCTTGCTCGAGCTGAGAGAGGGGAGATTTTTTTGGTTCTTGAAACTGCGTGGTGAAAATAAATAAGCAAATTACATTTATAAACTTAATTAAAGTCTGTTAATCAATATCATAATCATACACTGTAGGCTTACTGCTCTAAGGACTACTACAAATGGAACCTACATGTATCATACATTTTTTTTTGTACACTATACATGTACATTCCACATTTTCCATATTTGGATTATTTATAATTTAAAGCTATTACAAAAATTATCAAAAATTAAATGGTATATGTAGTGTTGCCTATTTTACATGCATAAAAACATGCACATCTGCTGAGCAGCAAAAGGGCTCAAAATCATCTTGGCAATGCATGTATTTTTACAAAGGACATTGTACAATAATTCATTTTTTAGACTGAGCATCTATTCATTTTAAGATAAACATAGACAAAACAAATAATCTCTCTTACATCATTTATAATATCTTAATCATTGTTAAAACTAGAAGAATTTTTTTTCCCCCTATGTACATATGTATATATCATAGATTTAGATATTTTTAATAACAAAATATGAGTTGTATGCAGTCCTGCACATCACCAGGAATGTAACTTTTTACATGCAAGTCACGGAGATAATAGCTACTTTTTTCATGCAAGAACAGAATGTAAATGATAAACATGCATTTAATTTGATTACTTTCATTTACATCTACATTATGTATAGGGACTTGAACATGGAGAGAAAGAATCAGATACTGGTTTGAATTAATTTTATTTGTGAGCAAAATTATTCAGTACTTTGCTGTTATATCTTTTTTTTTTCCCCCAAAGATTGACAAATGTAGTATGCTACTACTGCAAACACCATTGACAGTTAAAGCCAAACAAAAAGCATTCTTTTTATGGCTTGAGGAAATTAACAATAAAAAGAAACTAGTAAATGTTGTTGATCATTCTAAAGCGAAAGTCAAGTAACAATATCACTAAAACAAGTAGAAAATGTAGCATAGGTTAATGACACCTAAGTAAATACATACACATTATGTTAGAAAAAAATAAACCAATAAGAGTTTTGTACATGTATGGAAATCAAATATCTGGAAATTTAAAAAAAAATAGAATTGTGTGAAGAACAAATTATTTGCTTACAAAAATAATATCTGGCAATTTCCCTTCTCCTAATATTAAAAAAAAATAACTTATTTAACATATGTATAAACTTTTGTACATTTCATTTCCAGTAAGCACATCTTTCTCTCCCTCGCACTCTCTCTCTTTCCCTCTCCCTCTCCCTCTTTTCAGGGAACAAAACGTATACAAATCTTGTGCAAGACAATAGTCAACTTCATTAAAGAAAGAATAGGGCATGACTAAGTCGTTATATTAAATTTCTACCTATTTTACATAGATTAATCCACCATTAAAGATGCGAGGTATTGATTTCTTCTCCACATGCTCCCCCTCCCCAATAAATATAGGTTAGAAATCTGTTTAAACTAAAATAAAGACCTGCACAACAAATGCATACATGGACCATTCACCAAATTCTGTTTTTCTGTCTGTTTCTATCAACATTTTTACATAGCAACCATGCAAAAAAAAATAACACCTTTCATAGTACTTATACATATCCAGATCTAATCTCAGGTTAAACTCACCACCTACTGAAATATAATTCATTTGACAGCACTTATTAATGTACTGTAACACCCAAATAGACCAGTTCATAGATGTAGCACATGGTAAAATGACCCCACATGCTCACAGATCTTTTAAACATGGAGGGATGTCACTCCCAAAGTAATGGAGGTGTTGCATGAATAACCTCTATTTCCCTTTGAACAGAATGCTTCCACCTGTGCATCATGGTATGTACTTTGGTGCATTAAAGACCGCCATTTTGTCTTGGTGTGTTTGACAATAAACCTGTTTACCAAATACCGTAATAAACCTGCTATACCACTTCTTGCACAAAGGTTTCCTTTGACAACTCAAAGCTTGCTATTTTTTAGCAACAGCTGATGTATGCAAATTGAATTTTATCCACAGGAATGCCACTTTGCATAACAGATGCATCAATTAGTAACCAGGGGTCCTGGAGAGAAGCATGCATAAATTAATGTATGCAATTCACATTCTGACTATTGAAACACAATTATTTGTAACAGGTGAATGAAATCATTTATAACATGGCACTTTAATAACAAAAATTATAAATGCATTAAACTTGCAGAGCTGCCAACCCTATGCGACCAAAAAAGAAACCATGATGGCAAAAAAAGGAATTTCAAGCAAAAAAAAAGATTCATTAAAACAAAATTTACAACCACACGCGCGCACACTTTCAATGCAGAAATGTCCATTCCTCATGCATTTTTTCCATATTAGGACCTACAGTTTATTTACAAGTAGGTATTTTGTTGTTGTTATTTTGGTATTATCGGTGTTTCATTCTTTTCGAGAATATTTTCTCTTCAAGTATGTTTTAACCTTAGTTTTCTATTGACTTTGTGATCAATATAACATTTTAGGGCAGTTGTTTCACAACAGTATGTTAAAAAAAAAAAAGGAAAAAAAATTATACAAATTATTTAAATGTAATTTGAATGAAAAAAATAGAATAATTCCGGCAAACAGTTCTATTGGCCATTTCTGTAATGAATTGAAATTCTAATGCACACATCTTTATCAAGTACCTTGACAAACTACAATATATTTCATCCATCTGTCGCAAATAACTGTATTTCAATAGTCCAAATGTAAATTGCCTACATAGCATGCTGCTATGTCATACATGTCATAAGTTGGTCCAACATGGCACTAACAACAACATAACCCCAATTTTTAGTGACGTTTTTGTGCATTCCAAATTGCAAAATGAATAGTACCAAGTGCAAAACTGGGCTTAGTGCAGTCCAATACTTGTATATTACTAGTAAATATGTGACTTTATTCAAATATAATAAAACTTAATACATGATAAAAGATTAAATAATTTCTCCACAAATTACAAAAGTATTCTTGATACTACATGTGAATGATACATTTTTATAACATGAAAATTACAGTATCATCAGATGCCTACTTAAGTAACTCTGTGTATTTATAAGAAATGTACATAAACATATATACACTTGTTTAAGAAATGTATTATGAATTGGTGCATTTTTTCCCAATATAACCATAACATACATCTTAAAGACCGTCAATACTACTGGGCCAGAAGGGATTAGACCACACAGCGAGGACGCTGACAGGTGGCTATCTCATTTACTCAGCTCTCAACTAACATAAGAAAAAGAGGATCATGGGGGACCAACAGGCACCGATTGGGGAAGTTTTCTATATAGAGGGAGCAAGTAGGTACAAGTAGGACAGTGGGGCTTTAAACTATACTTTAACCGAATAAGAGGAGTTCATGAAAAGGGTTTGTCTATTCTTTCTAAACATTTAAGAAAGAAGAGCATGCATTAACTGCAAGTTTGTGCACAGAGCTTCGTTGTGCCACTTTTCTGAACTGCAAAATAAAAAAAGCAATTGAAATTGTGCTCACTAAAATTACACGCACATCTTTCTAATTTATATTTATTTTACAAAGGGGGTCCTTTATCAGTATCAACCATGCCTTTACATGCGACATATATAGTTCAGAATTTCTAATAAAGTGTTGAAACTTTTATAAGCCCCCCCCCCCCCCACCCAAATGAAAACAAAAAACGACTGAGTCATTCCCCCCCTTTGAATGTTTTTCTTCTAGTTATCTGGAAGTAATTGTCCAGGTGTGGTATTCCAGTAAGAATAAAACTTTGCCACATGATAACAATTTTAAAAACGGTCAACGCATATTAGGTGGTTTACACCTTTCTACGTTAAGGTTACTGGAACACACTTCACACTTACGTTTTGCGAAACTGAGCGGAGAATAAAGATAGATATTGCAAAGAAGCAAAGGGAAAGAACACAAAAAAACAAGACTGTGTTAGAAAAGCCTCGCCAACTATTAATATACATGTAAAAGTAAATAAACATCAAGTAGTATAATCATCCACAGCAAACAAGCTACATGTCTAACCGCTAGGAAAGAGGAGAAACAAAGCAAGGGTTGTTAGTACATGGAGGTTTATACAAACATGCATGCCAGTAACACTTTCAAAGCAAGTTCCCTAGCGATATACACATACACATGTTCATTATCCACTCCAAAGTTATCCAAAAAAGGGTGTCTACGTATTCTTTTTTGTTTCTAGTATTAAAAGACAGTCTTATTTAACCCTCAAAGTTGAACCTATACCCAACTTTATATGTCGATAGCTAAACACATGTACCGATACATGTAATTACAGTTTTTTCTTTTATTGACACAGAAAATATGAATATTTCTTGTTTTTAATAATATTTAATGTGCATCTCTTCATAACTGCACTATGAAGAATTTTAAATCAAATTATGATCAGTGAAGAGAAAGAAAATAATTCCCCCCCCCCCCACAATTCTTCTATTATCAATATGGAAAATCAAACCAAATTATCAAGCTAGAAGGTATAATGCTCAGCTCAAAACAGTATTTTTTTTAGGAGTCCCTCCCCCATAAAAGCAACGATTACTGTCAGAAAAAATAGTTGTTTTTAATATTTAATGACAGTGCCCAATGGGTCTATGATAAATAAAATGTCATACCTGAATTAAGCGCAAAAGTAATCAAATGATTAACAAGCAAATCATAGCGAGTGTTGGATATATATATAGCACAGAAGATGTAGCGTAAGCCATCCCATAATGCATTGCTTGAAGTGGATAGTGTGTGATGGTGTACCTCAAGGTTGTCTCTTTTCTCCTGGCAGTGCTCTAATACTCAGCCCAAAATATCAGAGGCTGGGGTCCGAGGCAAATATATGTTATACCAAATAAAATTTCATCCATCAGTAGCATCACACAGCTAGAAAAGATAAACTAAAGATCCTGTTCTAACAATAAGTCTGCGGAAAAGTGTTACAACTTTCGCCTTTTTTTCCGCCTCAACTTAGGAAAGTTTGATTTATGTTTATGAACGATAAAAGCAATTGGAATAGAAAAAAGTATTGACACTAGTATTCTATTTCTAATCAAGAATAACAGAACACAATTGCATTTTTTTTTTTTTGACGATCAAAGAATTCTAAGAATGATTTTACATGTTTATCAGACCAGAAATAGTTACAGTTTGAACTAACTACATTGCTGGAAAGAGAGCACTGCCAGAATAGAGAGCTTTACTTTGAAAGTGATAGCACATGACGGTTATATAGAGGGCGGCAGTCAAGAAACAATCACAAGCAGTAAAGAAGTCGTCATCATCATCATCTCGGATACCTACTCTTAGATTGGAAGCATACGCTGCTGCACCGGCCAGCTATAAGGAGGAAAAGCATAATCAACATGGCATACAAAATGGTTCTTAAAATCAATCTATGTAAAAATATGTTAAGAACGAGGGATAATGATAATGCTTACAATGATCATTAAAGGAAAGTGCTAATCAATAATGGTGATGATGATAATAAAAAAAAATTCATTATGACAAGAATAGTAACACTCATAAGTATATCCATACAACATGAGAGCTCCATATTCAGAACTTTGTCTAAAGATTTTTTTCCAATCGTAACAATTTTAATTTTTTTCTTAAAAAATCAATAATTTGAAAGCAACTTCAATATTACTTACATAAATACCTGTAAACCTTAAACTTTTTTCTTTAAATTAGATTTTAGCACATGTCAGTGTTAAAAGTGTCCACATGTACTCTTTAAGTGCTTCAGCTGGTAGAAATTAATCTGGTGTTAAGTCAATCTTTTAGGGTGTACATCCCCCGTCCGTTGTTCCACCATAGGACTTACCTTACACCTGAAGAGTCCTGCTAACCACATGGTCCGAACACTCTCAGAGTCAAAGCATAGACACCTACAAAAGAAAATAATGAACAAATAAAATGAGGGAAATAATGTATGTACAGTGTATATCAACAACAATATTATAGTATTATATTCTACTTTTACAGTTAATGTATTTTTTGCCGTTATTACACATTACTATGGAAGTAGTCAAGTGTATAAATGGTATTTTATAATACAAAAAAACAGAGGTTAAATATTAAAATTGATTAAAATATGATTAATTGAATGTCTTTAACTGCGTGTTTACTGGACTCAATTTTCAGAGTGAATATCTTTTTATATTTCTTACTTGTAATCCTTTTCTCCAGGAGAGAGGAATGTAATGGCCCATCTGTTGATAAAAAGATGAAATAAAAAACAAAGTTAAAATGATTTCTGATTAAAGAAAATATTCAGTTCTGGTAAAGGTGAGAAAAAAATTGGTCAGCTTTATAATTCCATGTGACAACAAAATCATACACCCTGTAGTTGCAATTTCCTATGAAAATATTGCTCTCTATGTACAGATATGTATGTTCTCATATACCATGGAATTAGGCCAAATTTTGATGCCAGATGTGTGCGTGGTCCCATATACCTTTATCTGTGATTGGTGCCTTTCTATATATAACAATTTTTCAGAAAGATTGTAAATATGTTTTTTCAATGATACCAAAACCTCACAATGTACAATCATTCTTCCAGTAGTACCTATTCAATCAGTTCCGAATAACTTCTAGACAGTTTTATTCACAATACAATAACATGAACTGTGCCCTACCTTATAAACCCCTGCAATTCAAATCAATCACAACTCTGTACATAGAGATTGCGAGTTTGTAAATTTGCAACTGACTGAAAGACTTGCGGACGATCTGAATCCATTAAGATTATTATACATTAAAGGCTGACTGTACTAGTTTGGACAGAAGGGATTAGACCACCCATCAAGGTCACTGACAGGTGGCTATCTCATCAACTCAGCTCTCATTTAACATAAGAAAAAGGGGATCGTGGGGGACCAACAGGCACCGATCAGGCATTGTTTGCAATATAGAGGGCAGAGTAGCTATAAGTAGTGCAGTGGGGCGTTAAGATCTAGAACTGCACAAAATCTTACCTCGAGGGGGCGCTCTTCTTGAACTTGGCTCCAATACCCATGTAGATCCTGAGAGGGACGATATCCCAATTGCTGATGGGGTTCCCGCTGGCCCTGTTCCCGGTCCTGCAGAAACGCATGGTGTTGGCCTGGATCTCAAAGTAGTAGTCCTTGAACTTCTTGGAGCTATCGGCATACTTGATGGTGGCACTGGAAGTCACACTCTTCAAGAACTAAGAATAATAAAGGTCAAAGTTAAAGCGATGTCATTATCAGAATATTCAAGGTAAAATTTCTGTGTCAACTCTTCAATCTTCATTATAATATCATCTCTTCCTTCATTCTCATCATCATCATCATCATCGTCATTTTTTTGTCGTCATCATCAACATCATCCACAGCATCATCCTCATCTGTATTGTCAATATCGTCTTTCTTATGATGGGGCGTTGGCCTCAAATTTGATGATTTTTGTTTACATGTTGTAAATCTGAAATTTCAAAAGCTACAGAGTTTTTCTTATACAGTAGGCTTGCGGGTGCACCATGTGAGAGAGAGAGGGAGGGTTGAGGAGTCCTGGAAAGGACTCTGACTTGGTAATCTTTCTTGGGGGTGTGTAGTCCTGAAAAGGACTGTTTGTTATATTTCTTAGCTTATAGTTCTAAAGAGAACTATAGCGCTTGGAGAGGATGAGTGGCTCGACGTTTCAAACAGGTTGACTATCCGTCGTCAGGAGTTTTTCTTGGATTGAAATGTTGGACATCAAGGGTTTTTAAGATCAAAACACAAGTTTAAATTTACTGACAAAAGGAGTATCCCGATAAGAACTTTTAGAGCTTGAGAAAGAGTTACAGAGTTTCAAGTATAACAGTCATACTCTGTGCAAAAGAGTTATGACATTTTTATGCTTGCTGTAAAAGTAAAAATGAAAAGAAAAAATATTAAAATAAGGCAGAAAAAGGAAAATAAAGGACAGAGGAAGAATATAAAAAGAAAAGGTAAGAAAGAGGTAGAGAGAGAGGTAGTAAGAGAGATTGAAAGAGAGGAGAAGTAACAGAGCATGTACGAGAGAGGAATATGGATGCAAATTGAATAAAAAATAAGAGAGAGAGATAGTCTTGTACATGAAATGAATAAAAAGAAAGATATAGATTGAGAGGTATTAAGATAGATATAATGGAAAGCAAGAAGAAAGATGGAGTGAGAAATAGTAAGAAAGACATGGGAGTGGGAGATAGTACGAAAGAGAGAGAGATAGAAAGACATATAAATGTTGAAACCTACCACTTCCATGCTATGTAACAAGCTGTTCTGTTTGATGCATAGATAGTTATTTGCTGCTGACGCTGGATCCCATGCTCCAACTTCAGTTAGAACATTCTCATAGTCAAACATCATTCTCTCTACATGATAAATAAAACATCAAAAGAAAAGTATGAAAGTAGTTTTTGTTTAAATAGTTTTAGTATTATGGCTTCATGTACAGCGTAGTCAAACATCATGCAGTATAAACAAACATGAACAAGAAAAAAGTGTTTAATAGATCATTCTTCTTCTTTTTTTCAGTTTTAGTTAGAACAACATCATGATCAAACAACATTCTCTGTGTAAAACAAAACAGTAATAGATCATTTTTGTTTAGAACATTCTATGAGGAGGACATTAAATGGAGGCAAAACACCTCTGCACGCTAAGTACCCACTGCACTATTCAAATAGGACCCATCAACATACAAAAAGAAAAAGTTCTGGACTTACCTAACTCTCCATTCTCTATCACCTCAAACAACCCCCATGGTTTCCCATCAAGGGTCGGTAAGTTGTGCTTCTTCACGACGCTCTCTACAACCTCCTTGGCTGTCATAGACTCTTGCACCTTCACAACGAAAACAAACAATAATCAGAAATCAACAATTTATCTCTATATCAATTTAAATATATTTATATATTATATTTGTATAAGGTTCTTTGAGCTGACCAAGAAATCAGTACAACTTGTGTGCTAAATGTAAATGTTACCTGAATAGCAGTGCATGCTTGTCTATTTGATTAAAACTATATATGCAGAAGATATATTACTTCTTCTTCTTCTTCTTCTTCTTCTTCAGGATAATCTGCCTCCTTCACTGCTGAACATTCTTGCAGATGTGTAAGTGCGTGTGTGTAGCGACACAGAGATGCCAAGGTGCGCAGGTGAAAGGTGTATATATATATATATGCATAGTGCTAGTTAAAATGTTGCCTACTGAATTCATTCATTGCCTAGGCTTAAAACAGGGGCCATGCTGTTCCAGTAGGCAAGGGGTTAAGAGACACACAAAAAAAAATCTAAGAGATTTGCATACAAAAAACAAAATATGGTTTGGGCAAGTTTTCTACATGATAAATTGATCAATTATAGCAACATACATTTTTAAAATCAAAACCCAAAGAAATATTTACAATAAATTGCCTTAAAATAATATTTAAACACTCACCGGAAGGGTTATGCTGTTTCCTTCATTCTTATTCCTGATGTAGAAGGGCATCACAATTGCATTTGATTGCTATAGAAGAAAGAAATACATTTACATGTGTAACTAAGTATGTCATATTATACGAATTGTGAACTTCAAGGTACACTGTAGATACATGAAACTACTCTTAAAACATGATGGACATTGAAATAGGAACAATGCTAAAAAAAACTTTTCTCATGACACAGAGTTCCTTTTATTTATATTTATATGTATTTCTAGAATATTGTGTATGATTCTTCTTAATTTGTATGATGTTTTCAATGTTTTAAATTCTGTAAATTCACTTGTAATTTAGCTTTTGGCTACAATGAGTGAATAAAATACATTGAATTGAAGAAGAAAAAAAAGTTGCCTTTTTTTTCCACACAGGTTAATAAACTAACAGGCCCTGTGGGGGTCAAATACAGTTCAATAGGTCAACTTCAAAATGGCTGAACTTTGAGATACTGTTCTACTGACCTTGGGTTTGGCATTGAAGAGTTGATGGATCTCGGTCAGTTTCTTGACCTTCTTCTCCTCCTCTGCCCATTCCTTCTCACTCACGTCAAACAGCCACATGAAGTAGGTCATAAGGTCACCGATCACGGCGATCTCCTTCTCAGCATTGCCGAAGGTAGACTGCACCAAAAGAGAATACATGTATAGCATGCTAATTGATGGTCTTCAGAAATCATTTAGAAAATATAAATTCATTCTGCACACAATCACCCAGATGTATTTTGCTGCAATGACAGTTTCTTGGCTGTTCTCTTTGAATAGTATTTTTAAGTACTTGTGTTTTGTTTCGTTCATTTATTCCTGGTATATCTATAATACATTTTATGTTGCATAATCATTTGTTTCAAGATATTCTCATTACCCTTTACCCTAAAAAAAAAAATGAAGGGGTATTCTGATGGTGTTCCAGCTGGGAAGGGAATCTGTGCCCCCCCCCCCTTTCCCATCTTTAATCCGTTGCCAAATGACATGTTATGAAATTTGGCATGAGGAGAGTTATCTCCTTAAAAATAAGCTGAAGAAGTTCATAGCAACATCTCTTAATTTTGGGAACTCCCACAATTTTTTCATACTTTCTTTCTTGAATTACTTGATGGTATGCCCACAATTATACAATTTCCATACAACTACGCCAGGAGTGTCATTTTTGACAGACATGGCGCATTATAAATGTTCACTATTATTATTATATTCATGCATGACACTGGTACCCATCTTTTATTTGTGGAGAAACTATAGTCGTGAAGCTCTCAATGGGAGGTTTTTCTTCGCACAAACAAATTGGGGATATGTAAAAGAAAGGCAATCTTACATCTGGAAGTGCCATGAGAGTAGGTCCAAAGACTGATGCCAGGTTCTTCTCCGTCATCTTGTTGATCCGTTCCTTCTCCTTCACTCTGAAGATATCAATAAGAGAAAAGATGAGAAAAGAAGAAAAACGGAATTAAAGTTTGCAGAGAAGATAAATTTAATGATAATCTATGTTGAGGGTTCTCTTATAAAGCGCCCCCATGCGGCCCTGCAGGTACCTTCTCCACTTTTATATTAATGAATAAGGAAATGAATAATTGTTTAATGCCAGAAGTTTTCTGGGTGGAATGGCAAGAGAGGATAGGATGCAATCAGCTGGTAAGACCATACTATTCAACTTTACTTGCTCATGAACCTATCTGTCTCTGTACCTTTTGCAAACTGGACAAAGGAAACAAAAGCAAGCAAAAGGTGCACATTTCAATTAGAGGAAAAAATAGAACATAAACAAGTTAAAGATCCATTTCAAATCACTAGCATACGGAAGAACAGAGGCAAAGGAAATGAGTCGTTAAAGGTTATTCATGGAATCACTGGGAAGTATTTAAACTTTACAGTAAAGCACACAGCTACATGTATAGTGTACATGCATGACTGATTTTCTAATGAATAACAAATCTACAATATTTCAAAACTAACACAAATATCCACAATAAGCGCTTTGAAGATGGCTACAGTACAAGAAGAAATTACACCATAAAAAAACATCTCAATTACTGTCTAGTGGTATTATCATTGTGTGTTAAAATGAACACTAAAAACCAAACTTATATTAGAACACGCTCCAATTAGATTTGTGAACACTAAAACTAAACTCTGCACAAGAATGTTCAGTGCAGCTTATTAAAGTGTTATCATTTTGGTGTTTAAATGCACACTAAAGCCAAAGTCTACACTAGAACTAAGACTGTACCTAATGAGATGTGCAATGATGGTCTTGAGTGTATAGTAGTGAACCTTTGGTAAGCAGCTCAGTATGTGCTTGTACCACTCCAGCTTGACAGAATGGTCTGTGTAATCTGCAAAAGGAGAACAAAAACATAATGAGCATTATAGTAACAAAAGATGTCCACTGTATGTCATTACAAAAAGCATTGATATTCAATTACTCATTTATCTCCCCCACAGAATAGGCATACTAATATTTCCTGCTGATTTGCAGACTTGATTCTTGTAGTTGTAGATCGGGTGGAGAGTTTGCTGAATAGGTAAAGTGTCTGACAGTCTAACCATATATCGCAGGTTTGCATCTACATACGGATCCGTCTGCATCGCGTGCTAACACGCCCCTACCCTTTTCCATCCAAACAGGTCCGGTACCTGGGGAAACACTCTCTTTGGAATCTTGAGTGTAGGAGAGTTACATATTTGCATGTTAAGAACCTCACTCTTTGTAAAGAGTAGAGTACAGGGAACCCTGGTGTAGTGGTAAACCTGCACATCCCAATGAGTTACATTATACTAGAAGGACAAACTCAATGGATTAAAGGCCCACTGTACTACTTGTAGCTACTTGCTCCCTCTATATAGAAAACAATGCCGAATCGGAAACCATTGGTCCCCCATGATCCTCTTTTTCTTATGTTAATTGAGAGCTGATTTGATGAGATAACCACCTGTCCAGGGACCTTGCAGGGTGGTCTAATCCCTCCTGTACACTAGTACAGATGGGCTTTAAGGTAGGTTTCCTCTGTAAGGCACGAGAGACTCTGAATAACATAACAAGCCACATCTTACCCGCCACCTCGATCCACTTAGAGTACCACTCCTTGGTGAGTACCGGGTCTGGGAGCTCTCGGAAGTATTTCTTAAGCGCCCCGGTCACATCGTTCACCTCAAACTCTTCTCTGCTTATCCTGACGGCCCTCGGGTTGGTCCTGAACATCTCACGCACCCGTTGAATCTTGGATGCTGTTCCGCTCAGTCTGTAGATGCCTTGCTGTTCGAGACCTGTTCAAAGAAGGTGCACAATAAAAGTAACAATGACAGTGAATGTGGCAAGGACAAAGACAATACAGAATCTTGGAGGCTGTTCCGCTCAGTCTTTAGGTTGTTCAAGCACCATTTATAGATAATACATACCGGTAGTGGCAAATGACAAGATTGGTATGTCAAATGATGGACAATGACAATGACCAAGTTAGAATGGAAATAGAACTGGAACTCACTTTTCAATTGTATTCTTAAATCAGTTGCATGGCTCATGCTCCGGTAATAATTACTCTGAGGTCAATATCATACATTAACCAAATGTTCAACTTTTGACCCAACCTTAATCATAACCCAATATGTTTTACTTTCTAATTTTATCAATGTGCCTCGCCGAAAGGCACTGACAATCATATAGTTTAAACTTTCCAAGAATCTGTTCCCAACTGCATCATACTGCGATGTTTTAGTAAAGATACACTGTATATCTTTTATCAATCAACTTTACAAAATCAAATCATTCCAAGTTATATTACATTAAATCAAATTAGTTATTTCAACCAAAAACAAATATACTCAATACAATATTAAATTGCAGTTGGTAAATTTCCTACCTTCATGTATGTAGACAAATTCAATACACTCTTTGATGATGTGAGGTATATGTTCTTCCGTTAAAAGCTGATCCTCTAACTCAGGTCCGATTTGCTGTATCAACAAAACAAAAAACATTTTAATGATCAGGTCATCTTGAAATGATCTCACTTTAATAGAACATCCTTTTTCTCGCCTGGGTATGAAAATTAATGTTTGGCTACAGATGCAAGTTAAAAAAGAAAATGGTATCGAGAATTTCAAACCCTCCAACCCCCTCACAAAAAGAAGTACACTGTACCAAATGTTACGGATTGAATAATATTAATAATAATAGCTCACATAATATGCACATTCTCCTTTCACCTTTGAACACCTCATACATGTGCATCTCAACTGAAATATTCTCACCATTTGAATCCAGAACCTCTATATAACTTCTACATAACATCTCCACAAAAAATCCAACTAAAGAATGATGGAGTGAAGCACTCACCGATGAGCTCTTTTGAAGAGCACCCATCCAGGCATCACTAATTGTCTGCTTGTCTGCTCGGAGGTAGATTGTTCTGGGGATAGAAACAAAATTGATTTGTAATGAGCAAATTATACAATTGAGCAAAGGAAAGAAACAAACATATTTGGATTGGGTCAATCTATAAATAGTTAATTCTTTGTCAGAATATACAGAGATTACAAGCTTCTTGTTTCTTATCATTTGTGCTATTTATCCTTTGAAAAGTAGACAATTTTATTTTTACTGAAAAAAAAAATCATGAAATGAATAATCTTGTTATCATCTAGAATACAAATTTGTGTAAAACTTCACAACTTTCAACAATTGGTTTCTGTGTTTTCCTGTATTAGATCAATGCATGATTATTAAATGGGGGGGGGGGTATATTTTTGTTTATCTTTGAGAGAATAAAGATAAAGACTAACCTTCCTTCAATGACAATAGCAATGTCCTTGATCTGTTCACTGCTCTCGTCGTCATGGTCTTGACCTGTAAAAGGGTACAAAACAAAGCCAAATGATACCAGTCTTCACACTTATTATGTTAGTATCTTGTATTCTATAGGAAATTTGCTTTAAAAGAAAACAGATTTATTGCTATTATCATCCTCATTGTATGATGAAAACAAATACAAAGACCATTGACACTTGACCATTTCTAGAGGTGTCGCTTGAAATTTCAATGCCCATGATTCACTCAACAAATAAAGAGAATGTTATTTACAAAATTACAACAAAAAAATTTGGGGGGTAAGAACGTTATTCTATGGAACAAATAACGAATAACAAATCCATTTTCGCATGATGCAACAAAACCTTTTTTTCTTCAAAACCAGCAGCAAGGACACGTTACCAGATTTGTGTAGGGAAATGAAAATGTTCTTGTTCTTTGTGAAGGTCTACATGGCGATTATATAGGTCATCCTAAAAGTTCATAGGTCAATTCACTTACTGATCTCCTTTGCTTTCCTCAGATCAATGATCTCCATGCCATCTTTCTCCGCTGAGTAGAAGGAGAGGAGTTTGCCTTTTAGTAGAAACCATAACCTGTGCCATGCCGTCTGAAAATGTAAACAAGCCAAAATATAGGGCGAGTCCATATCGAAAGGGCATTTTGAGAATATTTTGAAGCATTATAAATGGCCTTGGGACAGCTATATGAATTGATATTATTCTTTTTAAATCTTCACACCAGAGGTAAACAAGCATAAATGCAGGCTATTTCTTTTTCTTTCAGAGATATTTGGGTGGGGGTGGGCAGGGATAAAAGTGGAGAAAAACAGACTACATACCGTCGATAGACCAACTTTCTTCCTCAAGAATCCTGCGTACTCATAATCATCACAGTCCTTCCACATGCATTCTGGGGTCTGGAACTAGAAAGAAATGACATAACAAACATATTATTAGTATATAATATACTACATGCACCAACTTAACTACCTTAACTCTGTACCAGTCTCCTCAAACCCCCACAGTTTTTAACTTTTCATGAGAATCTCTTGAAGCAGTGTACATTATACATCTGAAATGTATGAACATAGCTGTTTTTGTAGCTATTAGAATCATTCATAAAATGTTGTGCTAATATAAATACACATGAACTGAACACATTAGAAAATAAAAGCATGGAACATATCAATAAAGTCATAATAATACTACAGCATTTATTATGCGCCATCATCGATATAGTAAACTATTTTGAGGCGCAGAGGGATATTATTACCCTGGCTTTAGCATGGCTGCCGTTATCGGCAACTCTAGCATTTCAAGAAATTAATGCCTGCCAGGTACCCATTACATCACCTGGGTTGAGTGTGGCAAATGTAGATCAATGTCTATATACACTTGTTTGAAAATTGCCTAAAATCTAATTAGCATAAATTGATTTCAGGTCGAAAACGCAGCCCACTAGCATCACCCATTTATACCAGCGAAAAAAGGCTGGCATAAATAGATAATAACAAGGCCAGTAATACAGTATAAAAGTTAGCTAGGGTTATGGTATGTTGTTTCAAGGAGTTACCAAAACTCCTTGGTTGTATGTTGAATAGTATTGTGTATGTTGTATAGTGTTTGCGAATGTGTTGTGAATGTTTTTTGTTATGTACATGTGATGACATTCATCACTTGTACACATTTCTATTAAATGTATCACTGTACACTGGCCTTGCTCGCTCACTGCCTCTGTTCTATCAGTGAGCAAGCCCTCACTTATATACCCGACCAGCAAACATGTACAACTTTAGACAGTTAGCAAATCGAACTTCCAAAACCACCACCCCAAAGATGAATTTGATGGAGTTCATTGAATAAACATTGTATCATGAATATATGAATACTAAACAACAGTCTAACCACCTAAACCTAAGACAATTTCTTTAGCATGCATTTATGAACAAGCATTAAGTATTCAATGATACACCTGCCCTCAAATGTGCTTGACTTCAAATAGACTAGCTCACAAAAGATATTCAAATTGTAAGCATGCTTCTACCAACAATGGTTGCTACTAGCAGCGACCACCCTAAAGCTTCCCCAACAAAGCAACAACTAATGTATGCAACCTGCATTCTGACTATTGAAATTCAATGACATGAAGTAACAGGTGAAAGTTATTCATTTGGGTCTGTCTATTTATGGAACTTCTGTCTTTGTATGTGAGTACTGATTCGCCCATGTGTTTGTAACCTCCCTCCAGGACTTGTCTTGCAATAGTGATGCAAACTTCAGTTGTTGCTAGGTCAGACAATAGACAGGTTTACTAACATATTCAAATTTGATGCATACTTTTTAAACAAAGGTTGTTCTTGACGACCCCAAAACTTGCCTCAGGCTTGCCCGATATATCAACATGTAATTATATATGGGATTCTGAGTATTGTAGTTCATTTATCAATAACAGGTTACTGGAATAATTCGTCACTAGGTCCCCAGGATATAAACATCCACAAATTTGAATATGTTAGTGAGCCGGTCTATTGGGTTCAATATTATCAAGGTAAATAAGTATATACATATAATTTGAATACATTGTACACAAAGCCAACTGTAGTGTTCACACACTGATTTGTGTTTGGTTTGAAGTTTAACTAATTTTTCTGTTCCTGTTCATGTATCTCACTTGATCAATTACAACTATTAAAATTCATCAACTTTCTCATCTGTTGCCCCCCCCCCCCTTTTTTTTCTTTAAAAATATGTTTCTCACATTTTTTTCAAGAAGGGGCACAATTCAGAAGAAAAAAATTATGGCATGCAAATTAAATTTTTTTAAATTAAAAAAGAAAGAGGACAGGTCATAATCTTCTCTGGGTGCCTGTTTAGTAATAATTCTGCCAAAAAGAAAGAAAGAAGGAAATCACTTTTAAAAGAGGGTGCACAATTTTGGTAATGTATTTCTAACTTGAAGTTCACCACTCAAGTTTTTAAGGGGGGCATGAACCGGATGTGCCCCCCCCCCCCCCCTTAAAAAAACAAAATGCTGAAGAACGGATTATTACCTTGACGAGGGCGTACATCCAGTTTTTCCTGTCAGCTTCATCTTCAGCAGCAAAGAGGTAGAGTCTTCCTTCCATCGTCGTTCCGATCTCAAAGCAATACTCATGGCTGGTTCGGAACAAGCATAGTGTGATAGTTAAGACGTCTTATATTACAGCCATAGCAAAACATCACATTTCAAGGTTTTTTGTTTTTTTTACAGCACTAAAATCAAAATAGTCTCCTCAAATTGCCACAAATGTCGGAGCAATACTCGTGGCTGTTCAGAACAAGAATAGTGTGATATTCAAGACATCTTATATTACAGCCATAGCAGAAAATCACTTTTCAAACCTTTTTTTTTTATGTATTAAAATCAGAATAGTCTCCTCAAAATCGGAATAAATAATATGTATATTCTTTCAATTTTGCCTTCATTCATAAGACAAATATAAATAAATTATTATAATGAATATTACATACAAGTAATGCAATAAAAATAATACTAATATTATTCTGGAAAAAACAGTGATTTATATTATATGTTGCCAACTCAAAGATCTGACTGCTCCTCCCCCCCCCCCCCCCTTTAGAATAATCTAAATCATGCAACACAAAGTACATGGAAGAACAATAATTACTATGAAATACTCGTATTATGGTAAATTTTTGAAAGAAAGAAAAGTATCTGACAACAACTCACCCTTGTTTTGAAGGAGCATTGGCTAAATACACAATCTCTGTCCCTTCAATCTGCTTCTTACTCTGGTTAGTCTGTTATAAAAGAACATATAAGATAATATAGGGAGATATTGTGTGCCCATGCCTTGAGCCATAATGCATGGCTGTACAGAGGATTTTTATATTTTGGGGACGGGGGGGGGGGGGGGGGGGAATTCAATGAAATATTGATAATTTATTGCATATTCTTCTTTTCTTTTTGTGGCAACTGCCCTCTACCCTAGCCCCCGCTGCGTACAGTCGTGGTTCAGTGGCAAAGCAATGGCCTCGTAACTGTGAGGCCTCAGGATCAAAACTGTGTCGATGTGCCACATAGTGCCCTTTTGTGGGGCATTAATCCTCATTACTGTAATTTATGACTTAAGGGCATAGGTCCCCTAGTTGATAAGCATAGTAGCATACACATTGATAATTTATTGCATATTCTTCTTATCTTTTTGTGGCAACTGCCCTCTACCCTAGCCCCCGCTGCGTACAGTCGTGGTTCAGTGGCAAAGCAATGGCCTCGTAACTGTGAGGCCTCAGGATCAAAACTGTGTCGATGTGCCATATTAGTGCCCTTTTGTGGGGCATTAATCCTCATTACTGTAATTTATGACTTAAGGGCGTAGGTCCCCTAGTTGATAAGCATAGTAGCATACACATGCGTTGGCAGTCACTCAGAACAAACACTGGCAAATTATTATTCAATAAAATCTGAGAATGTATACTATTATCTAGATCTATTAGGAATAAATCATTGTCAAAATAATTCCATAAATTGGGGTTTAAAAAAAATATTCCAACTATATGAGCGACAGTGTATATCTCCCTACAAACTTGAAGACATTACAACATACACATGTTTGATTGAGTGTCATAATAAATGTTATAACAATCTTTACATATCTGTTATTTGTATTCACTGATGGTTTATTTATGTCACTAAAATTTTAGTCAATAAATTTGTTCCCCCTGCTTCTCCTAAATGGAGGAATAGTAAATGAACATACAAATATTCTTATTTCATTTCTCTATAAATACACACACACGGTGTCAAGTATGACAGATACATGTATGAGCACTATACAAAAACCCACTATTATTATTATTATTATTATTATCATTATACAGACCTAACAGGATGTACAATGCATGTATCACTACGATACGGTACATATAATGCATGAGTATAGCAATCAAACCATATTTACTATTTATTGATGGTTTTTTTACATGTTGTATTTACACTGGTAGAAACCAGAACAAATGACTGTGCCAAGGTCAAACCATAACTGATCTGATTCAATGATCTTTATTTGCTTTTTTTGTTTTATCTTGCCATTCACCATTAACCTACATGTCCTCGTACATTGATTTATATTCATTGAGTAACATACTGAAGTATAAACGATTCTTGACTTGATGCAAAGTATCAATACTGGTACAAATTCCCTAATCATGGTTCGTTTTCTGTTCTTTAAATTTCATAAAATGCATTTTATATGTTCAAACTGCGCAATTAAAAATTCAGTTATGTTTTTAATAATCCACAAATACATGTATTACATTGAACTGTACATCATATTCAGAATGGATGGAACAATGTACATGTGCACTGTATATCGACACACTGTTCACACAGAGACCTATGACAATGAATAGACAACTATGCACCAGACTTACCTTCTCGTCCTGATAGTAACTGAATGTTCCATGTTCCAAAACACAGTATCGTCGTAAGAAATCTGGAGAAAAAAAAGGTAATACTTAGTAAAAATACCAGGTTACAGGACTCCTCCTCCTCATCATAATCATAGGAATGAATTAATAGCATTATTGCTATTATCAATAATAATCACCATCATCGTTACCATCACCACTGTCACCACCACCACCACCACCACCACCACCACCACCATCACCACTACCCACACAGCACCAGCTTCTCACCTCTCCTATTGCTGCCGGTCTTGTACAGATACCCCGCTTTCCTGATCTGCTCCTGGATGCTGCCCACACTGCTTATCATCTCCTCGGCAGGTGGGGCATTCTTGGGGGGCGGGGGTGCCTTCCTCGCCGGCAATTTGGGGGACACATCGCTGCTTGCTGGGTCAATGGGCTGTCTCCTGGGTGAGGGTAAGGGGACAGGAGAATCCCGTGAAGCCGGTTGCTGTTGTGGTTGTTGTTGTGGTGCTGGAATATCAGAGTCTAACGTGGCGTATGCAGCCTGGGTCATCAGTTCTTGCTGGTGCTGTGAGTAGTGCTTATTTTGCTCTAGAAGCTCCTGAAAAATTATTGTATTAAAATAATTTTGGAAGAAAAAAATATTTAAACAATTTAAAAAAAAGTAAATAAGTAATCAAAAGAATCACAGTGGTATTTCTATTGTGAACACATAAAATTTAAGGTTCCAAAAGAATACTGTCCCTTCAAAGCTATGAATAATACCCAACATATACATGTACAAGACAAACTTTTCAAAGAAATAAATTTAAAAATCCATCAATATGTCATTGGTGTACAAATCAACTTAAATCAAACAATATCAGATATATTCTGGTTACCATAACCCATTATATAACATGAATTTCAATAGAATCAAGGACAAGTCATCTAGGCATTCTACACCTGCAACAGCCTGAAAACAATGGGTCGTACTGTTCACACACTGAAAAACAAGATTTTGTAATCAAGATAACCAAATTGTTAAATTCACATCGAGTGGCAACTACATGTTTTTCTTTAAAGGAGACATAGCATTTTACAAGCAAATACATTCACATGTACATGTATACTAAAACACACTGTCAGTATCAAATCACTGGATCCACTACGTTGGGGATAACAATGTGTGCACCATCTTTACACACATTGGAAAGAATTCCAATCTTGAACATTTGCATGTCGTAGTTACCAGTTCATCCTCGCTTAATACACTGGGTGACTCTGACGACTGAACTTCCTTCTCTATGGTACAAGACATATAACTGCTGTACGCCTCACTCATCAGATACAATGTACTGGATGTGTCCATATTCAGTCTAGCACTTCAATATTAAAGTTATTTGTCCAATGGCTCAGACATGAAGACCATACACAATGACCCATCCGTCTACAGCCGTAAGTAACATATACATGACAGTCAAGGTTTTCGTCCAGCCAACAACAAATTCCAACCTTGAACAACCCAACCTTCAACAACTATAATATACATGTACACAGCTTATACTATGCTTCTAGTCAGTGACAATCTGGAACTAGAACAAATATGGTTTATAAACCAAATACAGGAAGTTTGATCCTAAAACTTTGATTAAAGGTCAGCTTTTGTCCTGGTTCTACCACTGAATTTCTAAAGAACTGTCTAAATATCATTCTACATTATTGATTAAATAGTGAGTACCGGTAGTTAGAATTGTTATACTTCATTGATTTGCTTACACAAGCAAAAATATGTCATCAAAGTAAACAACAATAACAACAACAACCTGGCAAAATCAACAATATGTTCAGTGAAAAGTAACATGGATATGTACATACAGTTGTAAGGGACAACCCACAGTTTAAATCTATGTTCTGTACAGTATAGCCCTAACATATCCCAATGTTATCCCCTTCCTTTGCTTACACAGTCAAACCTGTCTATAGCGAATGCCGAAAGGAAACACATAAAGTGGTCTTTGTAGACAGGTTCCTTTAGTACATGTTTCAAAGAGAAACCATTTTCAAGGGAAACAAAAAATGCGGTCTTTGTAGACAGGTGGTCACTAAAGCAGGTTTGACTGTTCATGTACATTGATAAGCATCAAACATTTTTTTGAGGGGGGGGTAGATGTTTATTTTATATTTTAATATTAAGTGAAAATCTCAATTTATTGCTAAAAAATGTTCCCCTTTTTTTCAATATCGAAATTTCAATATCATAGGTGTACACATACACAGTGTGCCTTTAATGTCTAATGAAACACATTCACGTATACATAAATCAATACCATAGGAGACCTTTGAGCTCAGATTACCCTCAATAACTGAGCCATATCTATCAATATACGGTCATAACTTATTCCTTGGATCACATTAAATACAGTGCTGGAGGATTATTTGATATGATCCGCCCACTCAGGCTGCGGTATGCAGCAAATCAAATCATATTTAATTTGAAAGGCATAAATAAAACAAGTAAAGTAACACATTCACTTCTGCATGAAAATGCAATCTGCTGCAGCAACTATTTGTTTTAATTTAAATCTCTTTATTTGCACATCCAGCCTCTTTTTAACAGAAATTGCCTGTTTGACAAATGCGATACTTAATGCTGTACACATCTTATCATATCCTTTTTCCCGACCCGAATCTGAACAAACACTGTGTTCATCAAACATTATGTAATGCATATGTATACATGTATGTACATTAGAAAAATACTACAACTACACGCATTCTTCAGCTTGTAATTCATGTAATAAGGTTGAACTACATGCTGGGTTAATTTCAGTCTATGAATGGTGGGCCTCACAAAGCAACAATTCAGGCCTTGGTATAAATAAACTTAACTTGTGATAAAAGATTAAGATCGAGATTTAATGATGATGATAATAATAATATTAAACCATTCTTGTATAGAGCATAGCTCACTACATTAAAGGGCCCCTGAAAGGCCACTGTTTTATTTCTAATATCACTTACTTTGATAACTAGTGAGTTCTCGTGTCCATAGCATATCTCTTTTGCTGTTAAGAAATCACACACAAAAACAAGGACAAGTTAAAATACAGACAAATTAAACCAGTTCCAATCAAAGTGCATGTACATGTAAATTTATTAGCTTTCACTAAAGGTATAAAAACAGGGGGAAAAAAATCATGTCCAAATTACAATCTTGTTTCTACTGTATTTGAATGAAGGAGCTCATCTTTCTTCCTTCCTTAATTACACCAGTATACGGTTACATCAGTGCACATGCGCAGACAGGCTGACCTCGGGTCATTGACTTTGAAACAAAGCCAATGACCTGAGGTCAGTGGTATTTATGCGTAAATTAAGATTGCGCCCATGCAAATGATGATTTGCACGCACAACGCAGTGCACAGGCAGTGATGTCATCATAATTTGCATGGGCGCAATCTTAATTTACGCATAAATACCTGACCTCTAGGTCATTGGCTTTGTTTAAAATGGCGCACACAACCGTAAACTGGTGTATTAGAAATGACTTCATGAATTGTGACCTCTGACCCTATGGGACATTATTTACAAGGAAACTAACAATGTGGAAATGGAAATTTGTCTGAGGATATCCTGTTTGTATACAAAATGGTCTAACCATCTTGCACCAAAAAAATAATAAATGAGCAAGTATACATAGTTGATATGTTCAAAAATTTGTCTGCTGCTTGATAAACAACTGAGACTTGAAGACAGTTTCTATCAAAATGCAATGTCATTAAATCCAAAACACTAACATGATTTATGTGAAGGGGCACTTCCTGTGAATATAATATGTCATACCTGATTTTCCATCTTTATTTACAGCATCAACCTGAAAAAGGGAACAGATAAAAGAAAACTTTAAAATATGATTTACAATGTAAAGAATTCACAGTGACCTACAAACTATTTGTGTAAAGGGGCTATTTATGAAAAAATAGTAAAAACATGTATATACAGTATTTATTGAAAACGGACCATTACATAACACATTCCAATTAAGCACATGGAAGGAAAAACGATTTCACATCATGGTCCCTATTTAAACAGAAGTTGAAGTTGACTTATTGCTAAATAAACTGCTGTGCACTGTGCATGCAGATGTATCAACTACATGTAATGTAGTCTAGCCATTTTTAACTTTTTCTATATTATATTTTCAATATTATATTTTCAATATCTCCTTACAACCGGAACTTTAGGAGCTGATATTCTTTGAGAGTTGATATTCTTTGGGAGCTGATATTCTGAATGTAGTGTACTGGCAAAGAACCAAAAACATGCAGAGAAAAATATTTCTTTAAGGTACATTACCAAAATATGATACTGCATTTTACTAGTCAATGCTTAAAAGACACTCACATTGGCACCAGAGAAGATAAACCTCGCGCAATCCCTCAATGCTCCACTCTCCACAGCCTTCAGGAGCTCCTGTGTAAATATACAGACATAGCAGAATAGAGAAATATATTTAGCATCTTTTTGATTAGAAAATATTATCGTTATAAAATACTGGAATGATAAAGTATGGATATAATAAAAGATAGATAATGAGAATACAAGTGTCAGATCGTGCAATATACATGTCGCAGTTTAGTAATACATGATGATTCTGTCCAAATCCCCCCCCCCCCCACCCCTTAGCCGAGAAAAACGAACAAATGCCTTAATAAAAAGAAGTCCTCTACAATTGAAGGCAACCTAGTTCAAAGCCACTTCTTTCTGATTTATTTCTCAACATGGAAGAATCATACTGGATAGTCTACAACTCAAGGTGAAGGATTGCATTCTTTTGAACAGAGGACAATGAAATGAGCAGAAAGTGATGTAATAGAACAGGAATTTTACCTTATCGAGTATCTCTTTCTCCCATAGAATCTGCTCACAGAACTGTCTGTCTCTGTACTTCTTCTCTATAAACAACTTCCGCTGCTCTCTATAGAATAAAAACAAAATAATAATGATTTAGCCATCAAAGAACAACGCTTATTTTCATTTAATATAAACTAGCACTTGAAGAAAGTGGTGACATTTAAGACTATGCCACGAGCTCATGTCCTCTATACAAGACATGTTACCTGTTAGTGTCTCTCTTTGCCCAGGTGTACAAAATGGATACTTGTAGGATTTGTATTGAAATATAAGTTATTGATAATAGGTGACATGTAAAGTGAGATATTTTCATCATCACAATCGCTACCATCATCATCATTACTATCCTAAACATTTTCTTCTTGACCATCATCATCATCAATGATCATCATCGTCCTCGGCGGTGTCCCGTCATCATCATCATCTTCACTTTCATCACCACCATTATCATCATTTTCATCATCATCATCATCATCATCATCATCATCATCATCATCATCATCATCATCATCATCATCATCATCATCATCATCATCATCATCATCATCATCATCATCATCATCATCATCATCATCATCATCATCATCATCATCATCATCATCACTATCAACATTATTCCAACTACCTTCATCACTTCAATTATCATCATCATTGTCATTGTCATCTTCCTCATCATCAACATTAGCGAGGTACTACCAACCTGGTAGGAGCATAAGATTGAAACTTTCCACAGGTAGAGAAGCTTTTGCTCATCCTGTTACATTCATCATTATAATCATCTCCATTATCAACATCAAAACCATCATCATTGATATCATTGATATAGCTCAGTCAGTAGAGCAGTGGTCTCGTAATCTTGCGACCCGGGTTCGAAAACAAGAAGATGCACTCGTGTCCTTTGGTAAAGCATTAATCCTCATTACCAGGTCTCTCGGAGAGGACCTTAAGCCGTCTGGTCTGTCCTCTGGTTGCTTTACTAACAAGCATTTATGCTTTCTTCGCAGGCAGGTAAAATAACCACCACAACTACAATTAATAGCCATTACGATTTCTTTAATCATCACTATCATCATCCTCATTATCCCATAATCAAAATCATAATAATCATCATCATCTTCACTATCACCATGACGACTTACATGCTATCATCTGGCATGGGTTTGACACCATCGTTAGGGTCCAGCTCCTTCTCCAGCTTCTCCTCCCAAAAGTTGTTACTCATCTTGTTACCAATGACAAGGAACACCTCCAGGGCAGAGTCCGTGAAGGCTTTGACATCCATCTTGAGAGATCTGACCTTTGACACATGCACTCCGAGGTCACGATGAATGCCTAGTCAAAGTAAGTGAATTAATTTGTGAGACTGTACTTTCTTCCGAACTACCGCAGATAGGTCACACTAAAAAAGCAGCAAAAATGCCTTGAACTAGTCTACCCTAGTTAGACCCCCCCCCCCCCAAATCAACTTTAAAATACTTGATGATTAAACAAATAATTCAATCACACGTGTACAGGTACATCTAATTTAATATCAATAAAGAAATATATCTACAAGTACATGTACATGTGCCTCGTTCAACTTTTATGATATATACATGTATTTCCATTTGTATTTCATTTGTTATACTCATTTTTATAAAGTACAGGAACATTAAAATGTATCCCCTCATCTGCATGAATGGACATGTTCTCTACTTTGAAAATTGTATTGTCAACTTACCAGCGCAGTTCTTGCACACCACTATTCCAAAGTTCAGTGAACACCAATCAGGATCTGAGGGTAATAAAAAATTAAATATTCTTTTAATCTTCTAGCAAAGATGAAGCACTTTGAGAATTAAAACTGAATCAAATTGGTTTATACAAATCCTCATTCAAATCTTGTTCACACTTCAGCATTCATTCCCACTATCACTGTATCATCTTGTCTCCTCCTCTCTTCTCTCCCTCCTCCTCCCCTCTCTCTCTCTCACTTTCTCTCTTTCTCTCTTTCTCTAGCTCATTTCTTTCCCTTTGTCCCTCTCTTTTATCTTTTATTTCTTTGTCATTGTTTCTCTCTTTTATCCTTGTTACATGTTTGTCTCTCTGTTGCTCTCTCCCTGTCTCTTTCTCTACATCTCTTTTTATCATTCTCTTTAAATCTTTAACTCTCTCTCTCTCTCTCTGTCTCCCTTAATCTCTTCCTCTCTATGTATCTCCCTTTCTTTATCTCTACCTATGACCCCCTCCCCCTTCCTTGCAATTTTCTTTACCGTCTCATTGGTTCTCCATCCCTTCCTTGCTCCTGCTTTCTCTCTCAACTCTCAAACACTTACTTTTCGCCCACTCATAAGAGTATCTGTCTATAAGTCAAATTAACAATGATTTGGTACCAGTATTGTAGAGAATCCTTTTGGGGGATACTACGGGTGGAATGGGTTGAAAGGTTAGGTCAAAGGTCACATTGAAACCTACCTGGCATACTACAGTCAGCACAGTATTTGTTGGCCTCGTTTTCCCAGGCTTTGTGAAGATACTGGATGGGAAAACACAAATACAGGTCAGTAAATGTATGACTACTACAAACAAGTTTAATACACGGTCAATTTCCTATGCTGACCCAATTCCTAAGTAAAATCCTGGACCAAAATCTGTACCTAAACCCATTAAAGCCTCACTGCACTACCTAGAGCTACTTGCGCCCTCTATATAGCAAACAATGTCTAATCAGTGACCATTGGTCCCCCATGATCCTCTTTTTCTTATGTTAATTGAGAGCTGACTTGATGAGATAACCACCTGTCAGAGACCATGCAGGAAGGTCTAATCCTCCTGGCCAAACTAGTGTACATAGGCTTTAAACCTTATACCTTATTGTAACAATGATCCTACACGTATATTAATATTCAACAGAATAAAGCATGGAGTGATGATCACCGGAGAAAATGTTAGATTACTGCTTTAATCTCTGAGGCCTACTCGACATTTGCACACAAAAAATGAAAACCAAAGCATCATCAAAATACTGGTACCCTCTTAATCATGCAGTTACACATGAACGATATTACTAAGATGATTTTCAAGGACACAGAGCATTCATAAACAGTTTCAGTTGTTGCAAGTACTTTGTTTCTTGAGAATTTGAGAATATACAAGTAGAATACATGCATACATTGCAAAATAGACTGCAAAACCATAAACTATTGTGACATAAAACTTTCACAAATTGTTTAAGGACAGCCACTTTCACAGAAGAAACTTGTAGCAAATCTGAACCACTAACGAAATTCTCAAACATTTTGTGCATGCAAAAATTTAGTTTTTTACAGTAGTCTCCACGGAAAGATGATTTTCGGGTTCACATGAAGAACAGCACGCTTTCGTTAACATTGTACCCTTCGGCATGAATAACAAATAACAACATTATAAAGAAACTACAACAAACACTTAAATCAATCCCAGCATTGAGGCATCAAAATACATCTTTAAAGCCCCACTGTACTACTTGCTCCCTCTATATAAAAAACAATGCCTAATCGGTGACCGTTGGTTCCCCATGATCCCCATTGAGAGCTGAGTTGACGAGATAGCCATCTGTCAGTGACCACGCTGGGTGGTCTAATCCCTCCTGGCCAAACTAGTACAGACGTGCTTTAAGATTAGAGTTACAATATTGTAGAGGTTAATTACCAGTTTGTCGGAAAGTCCTTCAGAAACAGCATTCATCATGGCATTGACCCATTCCTTAGCTTCTTCTGGTGATTCTGCAGTGAAACTGGATTCAGAAGAAAAAAAGGGAAAGTAAAACGATGAAAATGTACTTGTTGTGGTGGCAGGTACACTGTATGACGACGATGATGATGATGATGGTGGTTGTGGTTGTGGTTGTCATGGTGATAGTGATGGTAATAGTGATGGTGGTTTAATGATGGATGGTGGTGATGATGGCGATGATAATTAAGATGATGATGATGGTGGTGGTTGTGGTGATGGTGGGGGTTGTGGTTGTGGTTTCTGGTATATCATGTTTACTATTCACTATTTAATGATGTTTTCATGTATATGTATGTCTTTATATATATTTTTATGTTATGCAGGGCCCCCAAGTATAACAGTATTTTAACTACTGATGGGGCTACCCTGTTGAAATAAAACGAAATAATAAAAAATTAAAAAAAAGTGGGGATGATAATTATGATGATGATGATGGTGGTGGTAGTAACAATGATGATGATGTTGATGGTGGCAGTGATAATATTGATAGTGTTGATGGTGCTGGCTGTGGTAGTGATGGTGACGGTAATGGTGATGAGAATAGTGATGGCGGTGGAAATGTAGCTTTGACACGCTGGTTTACAATCATGTACTTACTGGTATGTTGTACTGGGCGTGGTTAGAACGACCCTATCTGGTTTCTGTGGATTCACTCTACCATTAGCTAACATCATCTGAATATCGGAGATCGGCACAGCAGCCTCAAAATCCTGTAAAAAAATGCAACCAAATGTGAAACATGATATCAGTTCAAGGGGTACTAATAAATTAAAGAAGATATGTTATTCACTTCAAATATGGCCAAACATCTATTTAAAATATCTTCTGTCATTGCTTTCACACTTGTTAAAATACCAAACAATGAACATTTTTTTCCTGATAGAATAAAAAAGAAAATTTCAATTCACTACACAGTCCATTCACATGTGGTGCAGAATCTTTGAAAGTGTAGAACATCAATAAACTTGCTATTTCTATTTCTATTTCTATTTCTAATGTAAAAAAAGAAAGTTAATGTCAAAAGAGTGAAAAATAAGGATGGGATATAGTAAATAACAGAGGATCAGCATGGTAGTCAATGTCTTTAGTGTTTCTTAGAAATTAATTAATTTTCCTAGTTCTTGGTTCTTCAAATAAATGTCGAGGATGAAGAAGCTCCTACAGAGTAAACATTGCAAGAGCTGTGGTGGGGAGCACCCCCCCCCCCCCAACAAAAATAAAATATAAACTTACCCTTTCTGTTGTATAAAAACACAGCATCTCTCCTTTAATGGCCAGGTATCTGAGTTATAACATAAACATAAAATATATTAAAAACATAAAAGGAATTTAATCAATTAAAGTAGCTATTAAAAGCCAATTTGTCTGGATAATATGCTTTACCTCAAGCAGTCATTGCTGCCTGTTACAACAGAATAACACTGTAGTTATCATTAATACACAAATATTTTTGTGATGCTACTACAATCTTGATCTATGGAGAATGACTAGTAAAGGTTCCTCCATGCTAAGGTAGACACAAGGACGATGAAGATGTTACTCCTTCTAAAATGTTCATATAGTCCTTTTTTTTCCTATGAATTATTTGCACTTACCTTTTTTGATTGCATCCTTCCATTTTGAGATATCCCTGAAAAAGAAATATTTAACCATCATCATCTTACTACTTACTTTTACAGTACAAGTTATCTAGACAGTAATAAGAACAACATACATCTTTTTTGTTTCAATAAAGTTTTAATGAATTACATTACTAAACAGGCATTATAATTATGAAATTATGTAACTATTGTGTACATTTTAACTTAATTCCCCATGAATTATATCACACCTGAGTTTAATTCAACCATTGTTCTTCAGATAGTTGAACACCTTTTCATCCTTTTTATTTTTTAATCCCATACTGAACTAAACCAACCATTTACTAGATACACAAACTAGAAACAGAACATAAATGCTTGTATGATAACCCAACACAGCACTATTACCTTTGTTTTAGTTGAAATGTAATGACATAGTTGTACACGTCACATTAAGCATGCTACCCATAGGTTTATTTGAAGTAATATTACATTCTTGCAACTCATCTTAAAATCTTTATTGTATTTATTTTGGTCATATCATTGAGTGAAAACAAAACTGAAAACATAAATTATGTAAACAAGCAAGTGTATACATATACATACTTGTTTATCAGGACAGCTCATGTCCCCACCCTTTGGAAAGCCGCCAGGAGGAGGCTAAATAAAGAAACAAAAGAGTTGGGAAAATATAATCGAAAGTGTGAGAGAATACTTGTATCTCATGGGATACTTGCTTATTTGGGACTTTACACAAGAAGCCTGATAATTACTTGCACTTTACCATGGAAATACCTCAAGACATATACTTTTTCGGAAAGACTAGTAAATATATGTAAGTAAAACTGTCTGCACCTCTTATTGCTAAGGTTATACAAAAATGATGGTTTATATATCTCCTCCTAAAAAAAAAAGCTGACCATAATCACCAGCCTGCAAAATGATGAGGACAAAAGGAGGTTAGACATTTGCTGGAAGACTACACTGCTGTATGTGTCATTGAATCATCTATGCTGAAAGTTCTGAAAATGATGCTTGATTACATTTGCAAGTTTCCTTGTTACAAATTATAATTAACCCACAACTGATGACTTGCAGAAATAAAATCAAAGAGGATCCTTAAAATTAAAGACAAAAAATGGTCAGTAAATCTATTTAAAGTCTGTAGGTGAATCATCTGAGCAAATTATTGTATTCCATTATGTTTTCTCTGATTTTGTATGGTTATCTGGAATCTGAATTAATCCGTCACCAGGCTTGTCCTGCAATGCAATTACATCAGTAATAACCATCAATTTGAATCCCTGATTTTGAATGAATTCTCCAGATACTAGTTGTAACTGTACGTGTGATGGCAATGTTGTGGGTTCAACTTCAATCTGAATGTACTGCTACAGCAGTAACCTATGACATTTCAAGGTATATTTGTAATTCTTCATGAAATTTTCATGCTAACAATCCATAAATCCATGTACAAGCACAAGTTGCTTCTTAGAGGTCCTGGCCTATTCTTTATTCTGTATTTATGATTTGTAATGTTTTTTATGATGCTAAACTGATACTGAACAGAAACTAAAACTTAAATTAATATCAAAGATCAAATCATATCAATGAGGAGATAATACTCTATGTATTCTAGATTTGCTTGTATTTTTTCTTCTTCAAATGTACACATGTATCATACCTTTTTTATTGAGAAATCTTTCAAAGCAGTTTAACAGCATTGTCTTATAAAGGCAGATTCTGTGCAATGTGTCCTCTATGACATCACAACACTTGACTCTTTCATATTTTTCATCCATGAATTCTGACGTCCTGAGGTGATTTTAACCACCATGGCAGTGATATATGAAATTGCCACTATTCAATGGTCAAATCAAGAAATTCTTCTTTTGGATGAAATATGTTTGTCGTATTGAATACATTGAACAGAATAGCCGTCAAATCTGCTCGTCATCTTCAAGAACAAATGCTGTAAAAATAGCATCCTGGATGTAAATTTCTTTTCCTCATTGCCATATTTAGGCATATATGTTAATTTCATCGCCAATTTGTGCTCCACTTGTTTAATAGGGCTAGATCAAAGTCCATGAACTCTATTGTATGAATAAACCTGAACGAATTGTGACGCACATGAACAAAACATCCAATGCCATGCGAACCAAAATAGAATACACCGGGAAGGCAATAAAATACAGACTTGTTATCACTACCATCACGATTCAAATTCTGATACTTTTTTTAAGCAATGGGCATATAGCTTCAACTACAAATAGAGAAATCCCTGGGGCTGAATCGTGATGTTTGTATCTGTTAGATTCATTTGAAAACGCTGACTGTAATGACATCATCCTGGCTGTTTTTCAGATACTAATTTTTTTTTTGGCCATTTGCACTATATTCTTATGGTATTTCCTAAAAAAATAGACTATTTTAGCTTATTTTTTTTTCTTATGGCAAAAGAGAAAAGAGAAATCTGGAACATTTGGAACAAAAATAGATGAAAATTATATTTCATTGTTGAAGTAGTCAAAAACATATCTTCTGTGCTGTCTTTTTATTTGTGACTCTTTTTGAATAAATTTAGACTATTTGAGTTTGACTAGGGTACATATATCATTTGTTTGGAGGCCGCAGATGGGTGATACATCTGCATTATAGTATATGAGTGAATGCCCTTCTAGCTCCAAACTGGAGATACATAGAACAGCTCATGATACCATAGAACAGTGAACTACTAACAAACTTGTACCGCCAGGGGAAAATAAGGAGAAAATAACACTTGATCATGTGTTATCAATATACATGGACCATGAATTTTTACTGATGCTTGCCTAAATTAAAAACCTGTATGATCCTGCAAACTTCATTCATCATAAAGAAAGAAAACCATCATGCACATTTATCTGTAAAAAGCCATGATACTAAACATAGACTAGAGAGATACATCCAAACAAAATAGATAATAACCATCTAATAAACATGATGTAGAGAGCATGACAACATTTCACTAAAGGACAAAAACTTTGCAACAAATTTATTTAGCACCCCATGAAACATTCCCATGAAGAAAAATGTATATATTTTCAATTACTTTACCAGTGCATGCAAAACATAATTCAGGCTACAAAACAAGGAACTATTCAATATAATGAAAGAAATCAACAATATTCTACTCACTCCAAACAAAAAAATAATACACAAAGAACACTAAATGCAATTCACTGTGGGGAGAGAACCAAGAAATGATTTCTAAACAACAAAAAAGGCAATTTCTCCCCCCCCCCCCTTTTTTTTTTAAACATGTTTTTGTTTTCATCAAAGTTGCTCTAGATCCCACGATAAAAGAGCAATCTCGACTACCACAAGCATATTGTATTCTTGAAAATAAGCAAAATAACAATATCCCAGGAACATAAAATGTGGTCTATCATGCAACAATCCACAATACTCCAATACAACTCTCTCTGAAAGATAATCTCAAGTTCTAGAAATACATTGTAACATTAAAAATAAGATTTTATATGAAATTTATGCGAAAAATTTGTGCAAATAAAGTTCAGGATATACATGTATTTCATGCTAATCATATTTTGTAGAAAATCTTTGAATTCTGAGAAATAAACAAATGATATGCAAATATACTTTCTCCATATTAAAGAGTATGCATCTTCCTTTAGATGTTTTTTAGTGCAATAGATAGATAGGGTTGTTTTCTTTTCCAAATTTTTCTTTAGAACTTTTCACTTCTTGAAAATATTTTGCTTATCCAAACAACCCAATATGGGGTTTCTTTCTTTTACATCATTCCACCACCCCCCCCCCCCCCCAAAAAAAAAAATTCTTTGAAGCACTTTTTCTCAACAACAAAAAAGGCAATTTCATTGCCAATTACCAGAACAAAGAGGATTATCTTTCGAGGGAAGTTGTAAATGTGCAAGCAATCGGTGCTGTACGTGTGCTATTGCATGCCCCTACACTCACCACGGCACCATGATAGCTATTGTTGTTGGTAGACTTCAGGTTTAATAGTGCGGGGGGAAATTAGAGGAAGGGGTGGATAAGTACGAGGTAAAAGTGAGGCAGCAAAACAGTTCTATTCCTAGTGCCCCGTTCAGATATGACGCGGCAGAACCACTGATTTTGTTTCCTTCAAGATGACGTAAAGTTTCTGTATCTTATAATTCAGTAAGTAGTACTAAGTACGCAATAGATCTTTGTTGCATGCAGTTGCACGCAGCAGCTTTTTTTGCAGGGAAAAAATTAATATTTATTTTTCGGGGGCTACTTTTCAAGCTTACCTGACTAAAAATAACATTCTAAAATTTGTTTTGCATTGAACTCTATGTAAATTTATGGGGGCTCTTTTCTGATTTTCGGGGGCTCTTTTGGGCATTTTGGGGGCTATTTCGCCCTGAGCCCCCGTGTATTTTTTTCACTGTTTTTTTGCAGCAGTTTATTGCGTCATATCTGAACAAGCTTTAAAAGAACATCAAGATGATGGGCATTGCCAGAGAAAAGAATGTCAAACTATATTATTTGTACCAAGCAATACACATCCCACTTTATTTCAGTTCATGCATTTTCTTATATTTCACAATATGTTTACATAAACAGAAGTATTCTGTTTTCCACCTCCCAGCATTCAAAACAAAACAGCATGATGGTGCAGAAAAACCCCTCAATTCAATTGTGCATAAAAGCGCCACCCGCAGTTCAATCCAGGCAGTATTTAAATATTAACTAGAGTAAAGAGAAGATTAAATTCATCTAAAGAGCCCATGCATATATACAGGTATAAAGCCTATATGATGAAGAACTGCAAAACATGCTCAGTGCTTCTACACCCTTGTTTCTTTTCTTTCTATAGAGAATTAAATAAACTCTCCCTGTCCTGGGAATACTACATGTACATCCATATTACAACTATTGTATTCAAGATGGAAAATATACCAATTCAAAGCCAAATCAAAGTTACAATTTAATGAACACTTTAACAAGTACACAAAGAGACACAAAGTCAATGAAAAGCAAGTATGATACTTAAGCAATGGAGTGAATCAGAATCAATTCAAATACATTGTTTCCTCCACATTTACATGGAATCAACATTTTTGTTATTGTTTCAGTTACTATTTTCTTCGAAATATTCAATTCTGTGATGAGCAAGCAATTAAAAAGTTAAAGCGTGGGTATAACTTTGGTATCAATTACAAATTTAATGATAACTGTTAATGATCATTGTTTACAGTTTACATGCACTTTCTTTTTCCTCTCTTACCTGAAATCCCAAGATTGCTTGCATCAAAATGTTGGCCCATATTGTACCTTCATCTAAAAAAGAGAGAGAGAGATGAATAATAATATAATCTAATAATAATCTTTTTAAGTCCACTCCAAATTTTATTACGTTAAACCGAAACGGAAATTCTTTTTGCCCAATTCATCGTGAGCCCGGCAGCCACTGAGCATCGCCAGATCGACGTTGCTCTATCCCTTATTGTTGAACGCCAAACAAGATAGCAGCAACTCCCATCTTTTAACGTCTTTAGGTATGACGCGGCCGGGATTCGAACCCACGACCTCCCGGTTGTGAGGCGGACGCTCTACTGACTGAGCCTACACTCCGGTATAATGAAAATCACTTATAACATGAGTTGTCATCATTTATAGAGGATACCAACCAAGATACAGAATTTAGATAAAAATAACAATCAAAATGGATAAAATTAAACAGATGCCACCCTTATTCTACCTTTATGCTAATAATGCTACAAACCATTATTTTAAATATTTTGTACTGTGGATAAACTAACAGTGATGAGAATGATCACTTCATCCCTTTCATGACCCCAAATCAGGAAAATAGGTGAATAATTGAGAAAGTAGAGGCAACAAAAAAATTGGTGTGTGATGTAAGACACTCCCCCCCCCCCCCATTCCCCCTCCCCAAACCACATTTAAAATTTTTAACTACTTGACTGGTATTATCTCCTTTATTACTAAAATGACATGTAAATTAAAGTTAAAGTAAATCAATTTCGAGAAATTTAATAATCAAAATTTACTGGTGTTCCCGGTAAATTTCAAATATTTCAAATGGTGCTAAGGCCATAATACATGGTAGCTGCGACCATGGAAATCTCAGAACATGCAGTTCTGATATATCATTTCCAAACAGGAAAAGAAAATCGTTGATTATAATCAAGAAACATTGTTTTAAAGCTAAAGTAATATCAATTTTGAGAGGGAGCTATACAACATAAAGAATTTATTATTTACAATTTCATAACTTTAGACTCGATTTCAACCGCGACAACAATCATTAAATATTGTAAAATCGCATATGCTTCCAATATCTTAATTTTTACCAAATTCATGACCCCATACCAAAACTTTGTATTACCTTTAATACAATGTTTAAAGACAATATTTCTTCCCTTATTGTGATGGATCAAAGAGGAAAAAATCAGAGATCTCAATAAAAACAAGGAAATACAGTTCAGTGGTTTTGAATTGCACATCAGGGATATCATTTTGTGAATACAAGCTAGTACCGGTTTCCTTTAATAAATAGCCATATATATCTATAGATGTGTCTCACCTCTGTGGTCTTACTTGAGTTTAAAAAAAGTTAATTTTAGACAAATCAGACACTGAATCATCTTTATTCCTCTACAATTTTTCTCTCCTTGATGATCCAACATGTACTCAAGGCATTGTCATTATCAAAGATAGTTGTACGGTTAAGTGTTTAAAGATAGGTTAGGTATAATTTTACATGTAGGTACAAGGTTGAATTCAGGAAGTTGATTGATAGTGTAATTATCACAGGAGCATGTGTCAAATATATCTCAAACTCGCCAGACGATGAAAAAGGAAAAACAAAATACAAAAATAATAAAAGTATAGGATCCCTCAATAACTTCTCTTTCTTCTTCTTCTTTTTCTTTATTATCAAATGTAATCTTGAGGTTGAGTATTGACATAAAATTGAAGTCTCCTGTGATAAATACAAGATTTGCCTGAATATTAAAAAACTGATAAATAATATCTGACAAACAATTTTGTTTCGCAAGGTTTGATAGCCGATTAAACAGCAAGATGAGATAAGGATATGGAGTAGGTTTGTCCTGACCATGCTTCATCCATGCAGTCTCTTTGAGCATCTGTCAGTTGTGCTCTTCAGTTAATATGATTTCCAGTACTTTCTTGAGGTTTCAATTACAAAATTTCTGGTCTAACGACCAATCTTCTGTATGATTATGACAGTTCATCAATACTATTACCAAGTTTCTCTCAAAGTATGATGCCATAATTACAAATCAAGGTCAGCTTTAAAAAGTACTTATGGCAATGATATTCAAGAGGGATTAATTTTGAAATTACATGTAGTCTCCTTTTCAAGAGGCATTTACTTACCGCCATTATCAGTAGCTAAGTAGTAAGTCCTCGCGTTGGTGTCCAGTTCAATCCGGCTCTTCTTGTCCAAGATCTATTAGTGGAAAGGAAGAGAAAGAAATTAATAAACTGTTACAATGGCAAATAATGATTCTCTCCATGGTTGGTTATAACATTATTAATCTCAGGGGGAAAAGGAAAAGAGAATGAAAATTTAATATCAATTTGGTGGTGTTAGGAATAGGAGTCGAGATAACTTAGAGAGGAAAAAAAAAGTAAATAAAAAAAAATATTATGTTATGATCCTAAATGTAAAGATTAAAAGACATAACAAGAATTGCATCAATAAATAAATAATATAGGAAATTTTGGGGGTGGGGGGGGGGGGGTCGACAGTTTAATACATACAAAATATTGATCATAAATCAAAATCTATAATCAAGGATTCCATGATTCAAGATTTGTTAAAACATATCTTCACAGCTTACGAAAATAATACATGTACATAACAAAAATAACAAAAAATGTATCATTAGAAACTGGCTCAATTATTATTTTACATCACCGCTAGAAAATACCAGAATTGAATACTTTTACATTTCAAATTCTTAATTTGAACACCAATTCATTTGTTAAAGGGAGAGTAGTTTGACAAATACTGGTTAAAGCCATCTACGTCTTCTTGTGGACAACTGCATGTAAAAAAATGAACTTGATTAACAGTAGTCAGCGACTTAATCTCTACATGGTCAGTGTTCGCGAAACACCAAAGTTTTCCTCACACATCGGTTTCGCGTATGTTGCACACACATGAAAAACACGTAGTCTTGTCAGTCTACACTCCCTTTAATTTTTTTCTTCTGAAGAAGACAAGAATATCTCCTGCACTATCACAGAGACAAGACTCTTCAAAGTTCAAGCTGTCTGCAATCTATGATTATTCACAGTTGCATAGGTAATGATAGTAACGGATGACGTCTTTCGTCTAATGAGCATGATCTAAGGGGTAAATTCTGGGGTTCTGATGAGGCCACCATCGATATAATCCCTGGAAATATCATCTTCATAATCAAATTTCATTGGCTAAGAGGATACAGAATTATGAACGAATCTCACAAAACATATGTAAGCACATATGGAAAAAATCATCATGTCTTCCTTCCAGCTAAGCCATGGCCACTGCGGTTCTAATAAAAGGTCGTTCGTCCTCATAATACCGAGAAAGCTAGTTATGAAGTATTGTAATACATGTAGGGGAAGGGTGTGGTGGTGATTCACTCTATTAAAATAGGCCCATTTACACAGCCCCCCAAAAACCATTTTGAAAAAATTATATATTTTTTTTTGTTGCCATTTTTGCCATTTACACTACTGACAAACCCATACAAAATGTTGGAGTTTGCTCATTCCAATATTTTGGTGGGTAGTGCGCATGCGCAAATTGTTGCTGCCCTGCATGCGATCACACAGAAGCAAGGAGAGTCATGTGACCAAAAATGGAATCATACCGAAGTTTCGAGAGCAGGCATTTACATTGCAAAACTCTGTGAAATTTCAGAGGGCGTTTCAAAAAACCAATCCAGAGGAGGATTTGTTTTATTTCGGTTTTTCGTCGCTTTTGCCTTTGTTAGCAAACATTCTCAGAGCAATGTGAGGAAAATCAACAATATTTGCTTGCATTGTACATGTAAATGTAGCTAAGAGCACTGCTCCTTGTTTTAAACTGAGAATAACTGATTGAACGAGCACAGACACTGACGTGTGTAACATGGGAGCGTCTGTCTGTCTGACATAAGATAAGGGCAAGCTAACTTGCATTTTGACTTAAGCGAACTTTAATGACTTTAGTCTGATGTTTTGAACTTTGAAGTCTGCATTAAACAAGTACTCCAAAATAACAATTAAGAAAATGAAAACCACATAGAAATGCACAACCATGGAATTATGCACATGGAACAAGGAAGTGTACCCAGTAGTCATAATTAAAAGGTCATATCAAAGATGCCATTCATCACAATTAAATTTAAGTCTCCAACCAAAATCAATTAATCAAAAGTCAGAGCACATTTACATGGCAATTGGTCCAGGATTTCAGATTAACTGCAACTCTTCGTTAGACATTGCACAGATACCTAAATATTTCTTTGTTGACTTCACAGTTCATGATACATCTTCTACATAATGTACATGTGCTTCTCAAATAACTAACAATTAAATTTACTCATATGTGCTACATGTATCTGGTGCTATCAACTCTCAGATTTACAGCTGTCTTTCAACAACTTTCAAGATATCACATGCATCTACTGGTATCAAAGCAGACACTAACTCATCTCTTAAGTCAAAGGAAATGCTACTTCACTAATCCCTAATCCTCCCTCCAAATCCCTACCCACTGGTGATCCCCCTAACAAGGTGATAGGCGTGTGAATGATCCCTCTACAAGCCCTCAGGTGGCTTTCCTAAGGAACAGCTGCCATCGCAACATCATTCCATCCAACTTCCTCCATTGTGACAGGGGTAGAGGGTTCAACAAGAGTATCATTGCATTCTTGAACTCCCTCGAGTCTCTGCTAGCAATTATTCACTTCCCATTTCAAACTATACGTGTACTTGTACACTATCGAGATGACAAACCCCTTCTGCATCCTGCAGCATTTTTCCCAAAGGAAAACTTTTTCTGGAAACTACAACAGAAATAACTTTTTCTGTAAGCTTAGGCTAACCATTTCATGTCATATTTCATTTTAGAAGGACAAAAATTCTTGATTCTGAACATAAAATCTGAAAACATCCCCTAGTTCCAATTCCCTACCCTTCTTTATTTAAACATATGATAAACTCTTTCTTGAACAGTCATAGAATATTTTATAAAAAAAAGAAAAAGCAGGATATCTTCTGGAAACTTCACCCGCATAATACCCCCAAAGTATGTAATCAAGTCCACCATCTCTGTCTCAGTCTCAACCCTAAGAACTACTACATGTATGCAAAATGAAGAGTATAGTGGTTGGATGTAGGAAAGTTTTACAGCATACAGTAATTACTTTGCAAGTCTTTCATTCACAACATAATCAAGGTACATTATACTGAAGTATGTATTCACTTATTCACATTGAAAAGATGAAGAGATAGAAAAGGTATACACAACTAGAATAAGTTACTCCATTGCAGCAAGGATCCCACACACTATACATACATCACTGACTGACTGCAAAATAGGCACTAAGAGATTTGTATTGTCAATGGCAGTCATGGCCTTCTTGCAGTCACCCTAAGAGATTTGGTACAACACTTAAAATGCATTAGGGCTTTAGAAGAAAATTTTGCTCCAAATTTACTAACAAAGCTCTAGTAGCCCTCAAACTAACCTCTCTATTTTGACAGGAATTCTTCTCCTTTTATGTATATATTTTTTAAATTCACAAAAACCCCTGCAGACCACAAATTTGAGGATTGAATAGTTAAAATTTTAAGAACATTCTTAAATGACGATATAAGAATAAGATATCAGTATGTTCTTGATGTAACATTAAAAGTAACTCATTCAAACACATCTACCGGTACTGAAGATCAGCAGTCAAGCATAATACCTGTCTTTTCCTTTGGGATGCAAGTAGGGTGGGGCAATAATTATGAAATATGCCTTCTGCAAGTGTACACTATCATCATCATCATCATCATCATCATCATCATCATCATCATCATCATCATTATCATTATCATTTAGATTTTGAAAACAGGCCAAGTCAATGATAAAGTACTCCTATTTTCATATCAATCTATGAAGTGCATTCTTAAAGAAAACATGTTTGAGGGAAAGTGTAAACTCCCTATCTGACTAGACAGCAATGAGTCATGATGCCCCCTATTCATTATGACGTTTATTCTGGGCTGTCTGCTTTAACTCCATTGCTCTGAAAAGTACATTTAAAGGAACCTAGGGTTTGTACTCTCAAAGAGTGTCAATGTATTTGAGAAATGTGTGACTAAGGTGTATGACAAGGTGTGATTGTTAACGTATCTAAGCCTAGCTTGCTTACAAATATTTTACCATGCCAAAACTAAGGGAAAAAATATAACCTGATCATCAAATTTTTAAGTATATTCACTGCATGCTACAAGGAAAACAAATGAGACATTCTGATGAGGAACAAGTAAGAAAAGCTGGATTAAAAAATACAACATTTGAGGCAAATCCTTAAATTCTTAAAGCTTCCTCATTGAAAACAAAAACAAGTCTACCCCCCTCCTCCCCCCCCCCCCCTCCCACAAAAATAATGTAGTGGATAAAAGAGTTGGAGACAAGTCCAGACCAGGCAGATGAAAAATGTTAATTTTTCCTCAGGCACTTTTTTACTACAGTGTACATGTACTTCAAGTACTTAAAAACTACTAAACTTATCTACATGTATGATGTAGGTCGCAGTCTACATGTAACAGTTACAAGTGCTAGTCACTTAAAGATTATGTCAATAATGAAGATATCGACTATACTATGTGAGAAATGGAGTCCCTGGCAACGAACAGTGTTTGTTCATATGTGCTTCTTATCTCAGTTGTGTACCCTTTAAAATAGCAGGCTTCAGAAAGATATCTCCAAAATTAAATTTCCTAAGCGCTAAATTCGGGACTAAGCTACGCCAAACATGATTACATTACAGTTTATACTTTCACATCAGATTCAGTGAAACTGCAGAAGTCTTACATGTACCTCTAGTAAAAGTAGGACAACATTGTGCATATATACGGCTACATCATAAACCTACTTCTGGTTTTTATTTCTTTTTTGTCAAAGTGCAGATACATGTACATAAAAAACTCCTTATTTAGATATAAATGTACACAATACATGTACATACAGGTATATGAAATTCAATCCTAACATAAGAACTTTGTTCAAGTGCGTCATATATCAACTATTAATAGAACTTTGCTATCATACCCTTAACATGAAGCAAAACAAAATTTGATACGCCTACACTGTGAACAATGAATATGGAGGGGATTTCCCTAAAATTACTACCTGTTATCTATCTATACAATTGTAAGGTCATCCAATGAATATTGCCCAAGAAATATTTTCCCCAAAGATATGAAGCAATTTGAGAGCCCTATATAGGGGATATTTTAGTAGTTCTGGGGGGGGGGGGGAGGAATCATTCTGGACCCTTGTATCATGAGCAACAAATTGGTAATTCACTATAAGGAAATAGAAACTTTATTTTTAAAACATAAAATTGATTTCTTCCCTATACTAGTCATAGACTAGAATACTTTAATTTAAACTTTCTAATTGTTATGGTAACTGCATGTACATGTATGTTCCGATTCAATTTGAATAGTCAATTATTGTTTTAAGAAGTGAGATGGGTTACATACAGGTACATGTAAAATTCCACATGTGCCTATATCCCTGAAAAGAATCAATGAAGTATGAATGTAGTTTTTCAATTTGTTTTAACAAAAACTGTCAGGAGTTGTTCATGTCTTCCGTTTAGGCAGCAAGAATGTGTGCAAATTGCAAAAATAAACCACTTATTGGTCTTAATAATTGTGTATATCGGTGATTAGTATATTAATACAAAGAATTTAGCTAATCATCACCACTTGAGTTCAGGAAACTCCCACACTTGTCGAGTTTCAGAGACAGCAGAGCAGAATTTATAAGATTCAAGCTGAAGAGCATTCCATGACTACTTTTAATCCCAAAAGTACAATTAAATTTTACAAAAATTATTTTAACTTTTATAAAAATTTCTATAAAAAAAATATCCTTAACATTGTCAATTACTGAGCAATATCCTGTACCTTGATAGCCCCTTAAGGGTGTCAGATATCTTACATTCTTGTTCGCAAGAAACTGACACCCGCAGGATTAGGTAGGGCCTTCACCTCAAATCAATTTAATTGAATCACATCCTAATCTGTCAACGCATTCTATTTCTTTCCTTGCTTGGTTCTTTGAGTAGTAGCCGCTGAAGCTGTCGTCCATTTCCTACACGAGACTCTATGACATGGACTACATGTAAATGTACAAGTGCAAACAGCAGTTGGTGGTAAGAATGAGACAGACGTTGCCAGGTGTTTTTAAAATATAGACAGCATAACATCAATTCAGCGAAAAGAAAAAAATAGACGGTAGAGGGAAAAGTTTAGCAATGAAACTTTTTTTTTTAAACTGACAAGAAAGCTAAAAAAAAAAAAATTAAATCAGGGAAAGTAGTTGAATGAATCGTCTGCCTGGAACCAGACGGCATTATCTCATATACTTGAATCAATACAGAGTTAATGCCCTTCTGGCTCTGAATAGACAAACAACAACAAAAAAATCTTGATCAGGAGGAGCACAAGCTTAAATTATATTTAATTTTAATAGATGCATGACTACTGCCCCCCCCCTTCCACCGATCTATCGCTGATTAAAGAATGATTTTTAGGTGATTTTTTTATAACACTGAATAACATTTTCACTTTACTAGACCCATCCTATATATGTATTTCAATTTTAGCAAGTCAGAATTTCAATTTAGCCTGTATGGAAAACGTCTCATTAAGACTAAGAGGACAGCTGATTGCACTTCCGATGTAGTTTAGTGCTGAGCTATTTAGAGAAGGAAGTAGGATCGGTTCATGGTGCTCAATCATCCATCAATAAACGAGAAGATAAGTGATAAAAAACATCATGTGATGTCCATTTTGGGCAAAATAAATACATTTCTGAAGGCTTCATTCAACAGAAAAGCATCAGAAATTCACACGATACCTTTAGTTTAATTCAGAAAGTCAAGTACACAACAAATATCCATTTACATGTGAAATAAAACACATGTATGTGTACCTCATAATAACTCTGGATTCATGTTTCATGCTATTTTTAATGTTCTGACAACTTAGTGCCTTTCATTTACAAGACCCAAGTGCAATGACCCAGCAATAACATGCATATTATGGTAGAGGCCTACCTGGTTTCCTAGAAAACAACATGTGACTCATGTAACTTACACTCGCTGACTGAGTAGATAGCAACAACTAGAATTTCTTTTATTTTCCTTCTGAATTTCCATCCAAATCCACTGTTCTGATTTGCTGGCATAAGGCAGGGCTCAACATACATACATGTACCCCCCCCCCCCCCATGCAAAGAAAAAATAAATGTAAATTGTTACATAGAACCCTAATATGTCACCCCAGAAGACTAGACGCGTAGAGGTAAGAACTAGACTAGAAGGCTGCATAAGGCCATGGTAGAGGCCTACCTGGTTTCCTAGAAAACAACATGTGACTCATGTAACTTACACTCGCTGACTGAGTATGTAGCAACAACTAGAATTTCTTTTATTTTCCTTCTGAATTTCCATCCAAATCCACTGTTCTGATTTGCTGGCATAAGGCAGGGCTCAACATACATACATGTACCCCCCCCCCCCCCCCCCCCCCCCCCAAAGAAAAAAATAAATGTAAATTGTTACATAGAACCCTAATATGTCACCCCAGAAGACTAGACGCGTAGAGGTAAGAACTAGACTAGAAGGCTGCATAAGGCCATGGAAGTACTGAGGAAAAAAGTTTGCTAAATTTACATACATGTAGTAGCCAAACTTTTGGTCTTTGTATACATCAACTCATGGCATTCAGAGATAATTACAAAATGTACCTAAAGATATTTACTAATTAGTCCAATTGAATTTTGTACCATCTGTGATTTTCTTTAAATTAAAACCGAAAGCACATCTTTTCAATTAACTGTCAATTCAAGCATATTAGGAGCTCTTGTAGCGCAGTAGAATATATCCTTAATGTTGGATAGTTTCTGCGCTCTATAAATGTATTATTATTATTATATTATTGCATATGACAATATTTTTATTTTTTTTAATTATCATTTAGAATTATTAATGAATCTAAACTGTTTACACCAAAAGAGCAACTTTAATCATGAAAAAACACAAAGAGAATGTTGTGATCTGTATCAATATGAAAATAAAAAGACCAAGTTCAATTTTTCTTCACGAAGGTCATTAACATATTTTTGGTCTGCGTTGTCATTTTCCTTGTTTTGCAGAGGGGAAAAGGTGCTCTATCCACAGGTAAGAAGTGTACAAAATGGAAAATGAATACCTGGTATGCTTGCTTCACGATTTTGGAATCCAACTTCCAATAACCTTCTCTTTAAGCATATAAACAGGCTAGTACTGTAACTATTCAAACATTGGCAATGAACATGACCTTAACATGACAAAGAGTATGATATCAACCACAACCTAGTTGACATGGTTACAGTGACTGCATCATTGGATTATGATAACACAAATATTTAGAATGGTTAAATAAACCCCATTAAGAACAGATTAGTGTTTATAAATACTTGTTACATTCTAAACAGATACCTGCTGTTATAGCCTACACAATGCGTTTGATTTTGATGATTTACGTCACGGAATGTGTCCATGAATAGACCACAGATGATGATAGTACCATAAAATTGGCAGGATGTTTCCATTGTAATTTCCTATTTCCTCTGCCAGAACAGCTCGACAGCTTCGACCGTGGATTAATCAAACACTGAATTCATCACTTACTCTTAAAGCGAAAATTGCCAAATCATTTTGAGGTCTAGAAGTGTTAGGTATAAATGTCATCGTACAAATTTCATGTTAATTTATACTTTATTATGTTATTCACTATAAAATGTTTGATTTAAATAAAACATGATGTACATTGATGTTATTGTCTGGATTTAACATATATATAGTGGTTCATTCACTTGTCTCACAATCCTAGGGTTGAGGGTTCAAATCCTGACTCAGCTTAACGTCCTTTGGCAAGATTAAACCATATTTGCTGCTCTCTACCCATGATATGTAAATGGTACCCGCTTTATGTCAGAATGCTACATATTTGGCGACCAGCCTTGACCGGGGTAATAATGTTGGAGCGTCAAGAGTGTCACAATGTTACACCTAAGAAGTTTTCAAAAATGCTGAAGTCTGTCGTAAAAGCCATCACAGAATAACAGTAAACAAAACAAAAATCTGATATGGAGTGGGTACATTTTGGACTCAATAAAAATCAATGGACTATCATAAAGATAAGCCAGGTTTCAAATTAGTCTCATTTTATAACTTACATACATTGTAGGTCAATGCTAACTAATAGCAGAGTGATATAATATACATGTACATGTAAGTTGAAATTATCCAATTCTGATTTCATATTTGATTAGAGTACCCTACAAAGCCATACAGTACAATCTAAATGCCATTAATGAAATCACTTCACAATAAGACACAAGATAGTTTCAAGGAACAGATGACTTCAGCTATAAAAAATATAAAAATATGAGACTAATAAGGGTAAAGAATTCATGAAAGTAATTTGAATGCAATGTACAAAGCAATTTAAAAAAAATACAATGATTGTTAACAAACAGGATATTGGCATATGTAAATGAACAAGTAATAAGCCTTTTCAGATAAACATTCTGTAAGCTATATCAATAATCAACCGATTAGCAGGCAATCTGAATTAGAAAATAAAAAGTGAACTTACATTTGACTTGTAGACGTGTTTCACATTCAGCATGGTTCCAACAGGGATTATTCCTTTACAGGTCGTCATCTGGAGAGAAAAAAACCCAATAATAGTGAGTAAGAGACCTTCGTCATATCATCTGTTTGGAGCCAGAAAGGTATTCAATCATACATTCACTTTAATATTCAGAGTTAACACCCTTCTGGCTCTTAACAGACCGACCATATCTTTAATCAAAGGCATACATGCGTACAAGAAGTTTGAAATTACCAATATTATGGCAACGTTCATCTAATATTTGGGCACCTGTCACCCAATACTCAGGTAGTGAGGTGGGCTTTTTTAAATGTTTATATGTTACTTACCGGTACTCAAATTTCATGATTAAATATTAAAATAAATGTCTAAATTTCTGCTCACTCACTCACAGATATTTTTAGAAACTGTGAAGTTGATATTTGGGCTAGAAACATCAGCCTCCCCTAACCCAAAGTACAACCCCCCCCCCCCCCCCCCCCTTGTAGAGTCCTTCGATCATCTGGTCTTGTATATCATTTTACATTATCTTCGTCATTACACCTGTTATGTTTCAGTCTGTATCTAAAATGTTGTATTTTTGTATGGACTTTCACGTCAGGCGAATGTCTAGAAGTTTGCAGGATTCAGAGTAACTATAAAAAAGAAGTTTACAGATAACTATTTGATAATCACATCCAAACATTTTTGTTACATGAAATCAATGAAAGATGTACTGATACACTCAAGAATTCATATTTACAATGAACATGTTGTTTCTTCACCAAAACTAACACTATTTTTTTCAAAGTAAGTTTTGTTAAGTTTAGAAATTCCTTTTAAGGCAACAAAATAAAAACAGAAGATGGATCCGAGGCCAAAGTTCAGTATTTCCCTTCGTCCAGTTCCTGATTCTTTGTTTGTTTATCAAAAATGTCTGTTATTCCGTTCCCCAACTATCTTTATTTTCATCTGTGTGGTAACTGTTCTTCTGCTATCACCTCAAGATAAATCAATGTACTCTCCCAGCCATTTTATTTCATTTTGGAGAAGAAATATTATTGCCCTACATTTTATTCATGCCTTGAAATATTTATGTAAATATAATTCGAATTTCATGTTCATAACTTTTCACTATTCAGAGAATAAATTGGTAAAGACCTTTATGATTCAGATAAATTCAAATAATCAAATTGAATGCATGTGTGTACTGAAGAAAAATAACATTCATTATTTCTTTTGATAAAAAGATTCTTCAAAGGTTTTTAAATTACCTATTATTTTAGTTTTGAAAACCACTATAACAACACAGAGCTATTTCATAACATTAATTTGTCAATAGAAAGAAAAGCTTAATTACTTGCAATTATAATCAAAAGCCATTATTCAGGTAATCTTTTTTCTTTCATTTTCCATAAGACATGTGTGCATTAACATCATGTATAACTGATTACTGTACATGTTCCATATTTTCTTATACCATGCCATATTTTATTTGCAATGTAAATTCCAGTTTCAGTCCATTTAAAGAAGACCATAAAACAAGTCAAGAAATAAAAACTTTTTTAATAATTCCCTAACTCTAAGCATTTTTATGAGCTTTGATATCATATCATATTCCGTCATAAAACATAAAATACATGTACGCTAGTATGTACCCTGGATTGCTAACCAGGACTATACCAACATGTATACTTGAGAGTCAGTAATAGAAAGTAAACTAGATCTCGCCCGCCCGCCGTGATCTTCAAAACAAAACTGAAACTGGATGTCATATCAATATACAAGTAACCAACACACATGAAGTCTGCTCCGAGTACATGTATAAATGGTATTTACAGGGGAGACTATATACAACATGTATAATGCCAAGGGATAATATTACTTGCTATATACCACAACTGTTTTCAATTATCTCAATGTGTACATTGTTATACATGTGTACACAAGAACAATGGAATCCTACACATCCTAAATGTACTTATCCTTGTGTAATTAAATGACATGTTTTTCAATCCGTGGAATTAAGAGTTTAGTATGCCAATTGTGATAACAAAACATACTCTCTCTCTCCCCCTCTCTCTCTCTCTCTCTCTCTCTCAATACAGATGTTGATTTCTATTTGTTCGAACTCATAAGGTGTACATTTTCATTTGCTTTGTTTTAATGTCAATTGTTCAAATTGTTTCTTAAATTGTACTTAACCTTAACTTGTATACTGTTAGATTTGGTACTTTATATTATGTACTATCTTTCACACTTTGCTTGTAAACTGTACATCACAAAGAGAAAGTAACATGTAAATATTTATTATGCGCTCTATGAATAATGTAGTATTATTATCATTCAACAGATTTATTTCCATGTATAGTAGCAGTTAATAGGGTTAATGAAGTTCAGGCAAGGGTATATTTATGAAATCATAATTGGTAATCATGTACTAATATATTGTAAATGTACTGCATATTAATGTGTATTGGGTAAAGATGTGTGCAATACAAAAGCATATATCCTAACCCATAATCCCAATCCTAAACATAATCTAAGTTCTAGCAAATGGTTGCATGTATAAATTATAATGTTAATTTTTTCTTCTTCTTTGTTTTTAACTCAAGATTTTGTATGATTGTGAAACTTTGTTGACAATATGAACATGATAATTATGTACTTTATTTGTAATTAGATAAAGAAAAAAAAAAAAAACTTCCCCACATTCACCCCAAAATGGCTTACCGTTCTCTCATTCTCATAGTAGCGTAACTCCTTCCCGTTGAAGACAAACCATCTCTTACGGAATCCTCCCTTTCCTTGTCTCCTACAAATGAACAAATACAAATACAAATTAAGAAATACCATATCAGTGAAATACTCAATTTAAGTTTAATATAATAGTGAGATAAAGACAAAAGATTGAATGTAAATTCGGAATAAGAAGAGAATATTTGCATTGTTGTTGTAGTAGTGATGATGATGACGTTGATGATGACGATGACCACGACGATGATGATAATGATGGTAATAATAAAAACAATTCTAATTTTTTACTAATAATAAGATATAAGATTTGTAAGGCGCCAAATCCACTTAAAATCAAATGTTCGAGGTGCTATTTGAATCAACAATGCAAAGCTTATTTTTGTAACTCTACTAAATGTAGACCTTTTTTTTAAATTTTACCTTTCAACAATGATTATCTCATATGTCATGACAAAGTAATGAACAATTTATCTACTTTCAAAACTGTATCCATATGGCATTAGTATTGTACCTTTAGTGACAAAACTACACAGGTACATGTTTGGTGTAAAAAGATTTTGTGGTTGTACTTTCCCTTTCAAAAATATAAATAGTATTAACCAAACTTTGCTTTTAATATCAACAATTTACCAACAACTATAGCCTTTAATTCAATCATGGAGAGAGTTGCTAACCACTGTGTAAGCACTGTCAATCTCTGTGGCTTTACAGTTAACCTCAGTACTGACACTGCCAGCAAGATTTGCTTTAAACAGATGAATGGTGGTGTATTGAGCATTAAGTAAATACAAACATTATCATTACAGAGCGAGAAGGAAAAAATAGTAGTTATTCATAGATGACACATTAAATTGTCATAGCTATGATTTGATTTAAAACCTGTATCCCAATACTAGACAAACTCAGACTAGCAGACCTCATGACAACCTATTTGAATGACGTAAAAACTAATCCTTACTCAATCCCATCTCCCATAACTATGAACATGGAATTAACTCCTATTGCATAGGGATAGGTGATCTAATCGCTCCATTAACTGAGCCATAATCATGCTTCTATAAACAATATCCATAGGGTAATTGGTTTGATCAAGTGTTAACAGGTGTATGGTTGTGCTTTTCCTGTGTGAATTACCACTTGTCCAATTTAGTTATCCAGTAGCCTTAAAGGAAATAGCGATGCAACCCCTGGCAAACTAAACTGATTGGACATGGTGGATTAGTGAGATTCAAAATTGACTTTGAATCAGGATCCAAATGTCACTTTTTTGAGCATAAATAATGTGATTTAATGTTTCTTGATTATAATATTTTGATTCTGCATAATCAAATTACATGAACGGTGAATTATTTTAGAATAAACCTGCTTTATTACTTGTAGTATACTCTGCTTGTCAATGAAGACCAGGGGAGTTGAGGTATGAGAAGTTAAAATACCACAAATGAAAGGGCACATATACATGTAGATTAGAAAGTGGTATTTGAATCACCATTCAATGTAATCTAACTCCTACCCGTAAGGATGGCCCGATTCTTGGTAATGCAGAGAATAATGTCTGTTTGCACACAGAAGGGTGTTAACTCAAACACTTTATACAGAGTTAATGCCCTTCTGGCTCCAAACAGACGAAATTCCAAGAGTGATGCCAAGAATAAAAACTACAATCCATGAAATTTTTAGTCCAAAATGTCAATCCACTAATCGCTTAGTCCCATGACCTAAACCTATTTCCCAAACTTGTCTCATGTTACAGTGTATGGCTTACTGCCACGTGCAGTGAAAGGGCAATTCAATGTTTGTCTCAGATTGCTGTGAGCCAAAATACACTAAGTAAGAGAAACAGACAAGAATTCATGACACATTAAAACAAATTTATTGATTTGAAAATTATGATAAATAAAATCTAGTATGATGACTAAAAATACAGGCATAACTGCCAGACTAAACAATTGACCAGTTCTGTCTGTATCTAATTCTGCTGATTAATCTGTCCTACCAAATGCCATTTTGACACCAGGAATTTTTGTACGTAATTTGTATGAACTCTTTAATTGGCAACATGTCAAAGAGTTCACAATCACGGTTTTCCATATGAGTTGGCTTATTCTTAACTTTGATGCTGTCCATGTAACTTACCCAGTACCACATTTCCATAAATAGCCACTTTTCTCAAGCTTCACCTGGAAAAAAAGAGGAAGAAAGAAACATAATGATATTAAATAAAATCTCAAAAAGTGATGTATAGCCTTTTGGTCCAATGACACTTGTTCTATTCCCATCTTGACTTACTTCATTTCTGGCAATGAAAGATTTATCTACAGCAAGAAAGGTGAAAATTTAACTTAGAATGAGGCTTACATGTACTAATTGCAATTTGACAAGTTTTGTTCATTACTCGTTTGTGACTTTCAAAATAACCTGTGTGCAGTGCATATTCAGTAATGCAAGCATGAATAATTTGTACAGTATATGTATACCATACACTTAGATCATAATTTAGTCTCATAACCTGGAGAGCCAGCATCCATTTCTCATGGCTATTTTAGAATGTCATTACATACATGTATGCTGTAGCTTTGAATTAACTATTTACTTTACAGTACATTCTTTTATTACAAGAAAAAACTTTCACAATATTCCCTTTTGGCTAATTTTTTTTTTTTTTTTTTTTTAAATTTCTAGTTTCTAATCTGATCCATGGAGTAGATGCATACCTGTTACTGGTAGTAAAAGAAAAATAATGAAGGCCCATTTGAATTTGATAAATAAATCCCCCCTAAAATAGAAAACTTGTGTTCAGTAATGTCCCCCCCCCAAAAAAAAAAAAATTAAAAATTAAAAAATAAAAAAAATATAGCAGGATACATGTATGATCAACTAATTTAGATCAGGACACTTCTTTTTTGTTTTCAAGAATTAAATAGTATTTTAAAGAATATGACATTAAAAAGTATATTAATCTGCATTGGTATACCATTGTGACATATCATGTAGCTACATGTATTTGTTAGTAGTATACCTATATGGATATGAGACTAAATAAAACAAAAGATTAAACAGACATTAGACAATCTGAACATGAGACCAAACAAATATTATAATCAGTGTATTTGGTCGGTAAACAAAAAGATTATTAGAGATAATAATTTTTCAATATTGGACCAAAATGATTTTTAAAAACGTAATGCCTTAAGGTACATTGTCATTAGACACTCAGTGATGATTATACATACATATAATAAACAGACAAATGAAAATTAAACAAAACGGCCATTGAACAACCCAAATATAATAGATAAAGTGATGTTTGACAGTATAGACATACAGTAGGTGCAGAATAATACTTTGTTTAATGTAGGAAAATAGATGAAAATAGTTATTGGACAAAATATATAAATTGCTTCTTGGAGATGACTGATTAGTATTGAACAATATATGAAAGGGTGCTGTCTACAATTCTGTTTAATAGACCCAATGTAAACCATATGATCACTGGACTAAATGGTATTCAATCAAATGACAATTTACCATCAGGATGTCATCATAACTGACATTGCAGCCACAAACCTATGTTGAATATGAAATAGGAAACAATTTGTACTTGATGTCTCTGCGTGATAGCAAAAGAGGAAGTGTCTATTACGTTATCAGCACAATATGATATTTGATAGAAACAATATCCAGACTTTCTATGCATGTACTGAACTATTGATGCTGATTAATCATTTACTTATTTAAAGTTACTTTCACTCATCATTAGAAGTTGATTTGAATATACTTTTTGTACAAAAGACCAGCTACATGCAGTTAAATATCTGCGGGAAAAATAATGTGCATAATATCAATGAGACACTGATTAAATATCTGAAGGAAAAATATTCAATGAATTTGATTCCAAACAACACATATTTGTTCCTGTAAACATACATATTGCCGGCTGCCCGTAAGAAGGCTGTTCCTGACATTGACACAACAAAGCTGTTAGGGCCATCTTCTTGTGGGCGGCCAAAAATATGTACTGTAGTTTGAATGGATTATTTAGTTGATATCGTTACAGTTACAGATGGTACAGATGTGTTGTTTTTTAATACTCATTTCCTCATTGTCTTCAATAATAAACTATGTTGACATTGTTCATGTACACTGTGCCTATTTATCATTCAATATCAAGTGCTATCATATGCTACATGTACACAACAGTGAATGGAAAGACTAGGACTCTCTGTGATATTATAGCGCTCTTGTGCTTACTTGTATATAAACATTAATGTATGATAATATGCAATCTCATTGTACGTGTATGAATTAATTATTTTTTCACCGTGTGGTGTCCAACGAAAAACAAAAATGCTTTCGGTTATCCACCTCCAAAATATATGAATTTTTGCCAAACAGGTTGAAAAACATGGCATGAATTTTGCTGACCTTATCTCTCAGTTTTGGCGAAAACAACTTTAGGAGATGACAACTCTTGAAGAAAATATTTGATTACATAAATAGACGTCACTTCTTTCATCTTGCTGCCCTAATAGCACTTTGTACTGATTTACGTCATTTCAATTTTAATTGTACTTATATATATATATATAGTAAAATTACCTCTAAATGAATATTTAAACTACTTGTGCCTCGATACATTTCTGCCTGAAGGAAGATAAAAGTATCGGCAGACGTAATTTGCATGTTGTTGTTGTACAATCAACTCAAAGACTGCCACTTTGTGCCAGCAAACAGAAAGACGTCCCACGCGTCATGTAGTTCTTAGATTTCTTGCCGAATAAGCCAATGCCCGTTGGAATTTATCCAAATAAACACTATCTGAAAATGCAACTTTGTAGAATATACTGAAGTGCTGAAAATTTGCAGGATATTCATAAATTTCTTTATTATTCAGTAACTAATTTTTTTCAATTTGTGTACTTTATTATTATGTGTATACACATGTAGCTCCCTGCGAAAGTATTGTTATATCATTTCAGTATTACCTCAGTTGTAATTCGCTCATACCAGGCAGCAAACTTCACAAAATCTGAACCAATCGTGAAATTCATAAACATTTCATGTGCGCAAAATTGGTTTTTTTATTTTTATTTTATAGAACTGTCAAATAACAGTCCATGCCATTAACAGGGATGTGTGACTCTTTTACAATGATAAGAAACATATCCCTATAACAAGCTGTCTAATTTGTGTTTAATATCAATATAAAATAGACAAAAACAAATAGGCTACAAAGCAAAGTAATGTGATCTTTCTGTTTGCATTCATTTCTTGGTTCATAAGACACATGAAGCCAAACCAAACACTATTCAGGATGGACAAAGACATTGTTCATGTTATTTTACTTCATTCTCTCCTTTAGTCTCCAAACAAGGATATAGGATTCGTGATTACATATTTTGTATAATTTTGGCACTCCGTGAATTCACACAATTCAACAGGATCTTATATCAAGAAAGGATAAATATCCTGCATTCAAAATCTGGAAACGTGATGATATTTATTCCATTGTATGTCAGATTAAAGTAACTTGAAAGTTTGGAAGAAAAGAGACACCTGCTGTGAACATTTGCCTTCAGAGCAATGTGTGACTTTTTTTTATAAATTTACAAAAGGTCCTACGGGTACTCCACAAGAAATAACATTTCTGCAAAGTCATTGAATTTTAAATTACAGAATGAATTACAGTATAAATTTGGCATTAAGTGTAGCCACACTAGAAATCCTCCATGCAAATTCCTTCCTATTATCAATGTCCACAATTTCTACAATAATGAGATTCACATGACAAACTGTGAACTTCAAGTTTAGGTTGTAGTCTTAAACTTCAAAGTTATCTTGCAGTTTTGCTCTCATGGTTAAGAAACTTTACTTTAATTCAAAGCTACAAACCATGACAGATCTTAAGATAAGTGCGATAACACAATTAAAGCAATTAACTTTGAGATTCCTACTGCTTGTGTACTGTAGTTAAAACAAATTAGCTTTCCCAGCTTTTCTTTTACTTTGCATATTCAATTTTTGTTTGGTCCTATGTGAACCCTCATCTTTGTTAGTGGATCCTTGTTTATAACATTGCAGTTTTGCAAAAATAAATTTTAAAGCTACAACAGTCCTGTGTAATTGGTGTAATTAATATGATTGATCCTAACTGCAATGAAAATACCCACTAAGTGTAATGGCATCATAAATCACTGTTGCCAATTTTTTTTTTTTTAAATGACACAAACTGTATTCTGAGTTGCAGGTCTTGACCCCATAACAAATTTTTCACAGAAGTTCAGGAAATGTGTAGTTATACTGGAAATACTCACAGGAAGCAACATTCTAGGAGCAAACTTCCTATATTTCATGGAAATTTCAGTGGAATTGTGAAGGAAATTAGATGCAAAATTGGCATAATGACAGGGACTGAATTCTTGGAATTTTCTGGCTATCTGGCCACCTTTATTGTCATTTGTTAAAAACAGCTTTCCTGTTTGGTGAATCGTATCAAACTTCTGCTTCATGAAATAGCAATAAATCATCACAAAAACAACACTATGGTTAGTAGCAGTACAGATACACATATAATTTTCATGAGCAAATTTTGTAACATTTTATAATCAGGAGTCAAAACAAAGAAAGTGAATATATACTTTGTATAGTTCTCAATAGCTTCAAAAGAATCAACAATATTCTTATATCTGGGATAATCATTGAACTTCAATCAAAAATTGATTCAAACTAAAGATTAAAAAGTAAAATACATATATATGCTTGACTACAAGGATTAGTAATATGATTTCTACTAATATGTTATTGTTTCTTTACTGCAACCTAAACATAAGGTTGGAGCTCAAATACAAATAAAAATACAAACAGATAGATAAGAATGTTGGAATAATGTACACAAAGTCAAATAAATTGATGGAAATGGTTAAACTTACCGGAATGGGACCCCTTGTTGATAACCTCAAAGACAGCCTCCTTCTAGCCTCCTCCTGCAATTTAATATTTCAGACATTTCTTTATTAAAAGTTGATCAAACTGATCTCATGTATACATCTAAATGTACAGCAAAGCATATCGAAGGCCCTGCAGTTTGTAGAAACCTTCCTTTACTTAGTTTACATTGAACAAGTGGGGGGAGAGAGAGCAATCGCTCGTGCCGGGCCATCACTCTGGAATTGTTTACAGAACAGGATTAGAGATATTCCTACAGTACAATCTTTCAAAAGCAACCTTAAAACTTATCTTTTCCAATTTGCTTTTAGTTGATTTGATTTTTCTTCTTTTATATTGTATTGTTGTTATGTGCTAGTGCATCTTGAACATTTGTCCTTTAAGTGGATTTGGCGCCTTATAAATCCTATATATTACAATTATTATTATCATTACATTCATTAGGGAGAGCCACCCACAAAAAGCTGTCAAATATAGAAGTCTTGAATATCCATAGATATCTGGATATACAACAAATATAAAAAATAAGGCTACATGAATAACTTTTACCACTTGTATCTTGACATGTGATTTTTTTTTTATCATGCCAGGAAGAAAAGAACTGCCAGCTATCTAATTTTGTATATCTTGACATATTCAACCAAAAACAAAGTCAAAAGCTAGACATAGTAAAATGTAAAACCAACCATACGCAAATAAACAATTCAGGGGATATTTCTAAACTTTTAACAAATATTTTTTTTTAAATTAGTGTCTAAGAAAAAGGATATTTGAGAATACTTCACTAGCTTGAAAGAGAAATTTATAGAAATATATACATCAATATATTTAATTTGAACATAAGGAATTTGAACATAAGGAATTTGAACATAAGAAATTTGAACATAAGGAATTTGAACATAAGGAATTTTAACATAAGAAATTTGAACATAAGGATTTTGAACAAAAGGAATTTGAACTTACAGGGACCTTCCGTTGGTAGGGTCTGGCCGACTGGCGTATACTTGCATAGTAGGAACTCTTCCTATCAAAGGAATCATCCGCAGCTCCGGTGGACGATATACCCTGCATGGTGGAAGTCAAAACACAGCTTATTACAGACATGGATCAACTGATGGATACTTCTTTATCAAAGAGAGCTGAATGTATCTAGAGAGTGAACTATGGTGAGGTGTGGCGAGGTGTGGTGAGGTGTGGCCTTCAAGGTATATTAAAGGTATATTGAAGTCTTTGAAGTCACGGCAAGTGCCTGATCGCGTTGTTCCTGATGGTATGTTTCCTCTCAAATTATCAATAAGGTCTTGACCAGTGCACTTCAGCTAATTTTGTTCACCAGCACATTTAGAATCTGAACTTCTGAAGTCAGATCAATACACTTCCCTGGTCCAGTAGTCCCTCACAATTACCAAATTGGTCTTTAATGATGAACTCTGCTCAATTTTCTCTAACTTGACGACAAACATACGTATAACATGAACTTCCGAAGTCAGATCAATGCAAATCCTTCATCGTTGGAGGAGGACTTCACTTCACTCTAACTTTGTTACTAGCATGCTTCACACATGCCCTTGACCATGTACATGTCCATGTAATTCCTAGAAATTTCAAAATGGGCCTGGAAAAATGCAATTCACTTTATTTCTCCTTTATCACAAGCACATGAAACACTAGTGTTGTCTCAGGCAAAAGTCAGCTATCAAACATACTAAGATATGTGTATATTATGACGAGAAACAAAACACTGTGATCATGGCAAATGTATTCCTCCAAAAGCAGGCAAAGCACATCCAATTTTGAACAAGCAAAAGAGCTTTCAGATAATGAATCCCATGTTTTGTGCCAACTAAATGCTAATTGAGTTAGCTGGCTAAGGTCAGATTGTATCCATGCAGAGCTACTTCACGATTGTTTAGCTCAAAAGTTCTAACATGAACGCATTTAATTAGTTTTCAGATCTCAAAGTTGATTGAGTCACAGACAAATCATATAGAATTTGTATACTGCAAATTAATTATATCATCTGCCGTTGATAGAATTCAGTTGCTCGCCAATTTTAACTCGATCTAATTCAGCAGCTAATGCTGTGGAATTTGTGGTTGTTTCACCTAAAAACCAGCAAGATTAAACTGAATTTCAGGTTCTCCAAATTCTAACCAAACTTGTTGTCCTCAAACTATGGATTTTAATTTTTAATATGAATTGCTTTGCGTGAATGATGATTGTCTACATGAACTTGAAGTTTCCTGTCATTTAGATGGTAACTGTTGATAATTTAAAATGATAATTTTGAGCTCCTAGAATTAACCCCTTTCGTGATATCAGTGACAAATCCTGCTGAACCCTTTTGACTATTGTTTTCTCTAAGTCCTAAAGTCTTATTTTGGTTGAGAATTTTAATCTTGTACAACTTGTCTGGACTCTAATTGCTATATTTTTGTCTTGAACCAGAAACTGGTACATGCATTGTAAACTTTATTTCCATGAAAGCAGCTATATGCCAAATTTAGCAACGAAACTAAGGATTGAAATTCAAACTTGTTCCATACAGTGTATACATGTAGGTCAGAAGCAGAGAAGGGGTTAAAATAGCAATGGTCCTAGTTGGTTTCCCTGGGGTGCGGCCCCTAGCCAATGCCTGCACGTAAATCTGATAACAAAATCTGACAAATGCCACACTCTAAGTCCCTTTACTGATGAAACAACATGATAAATTCCCAACATTGATATTAATTTGGTGAATAAAGTGATCAAGCTAGCTTTAAGTTTATTCCACAATTTCCACTTATGTTGGACACTGATATGGGTATGAACATGATAAAATCTGCCAAAAGATAGGGAAAGCCTTGGGGTAAAATTTTAGGAAAAAAATAGATGGGGGCTAAGGGAACTTTGCCCCAGTTATTATTTGAAAAAATTTGCACATAAGTAACACCTACATTTCTTACATCAAATACAAGACTCCATGGAAGATTTTCCTCATAATACAAAGAATAGATCTTCCTGCATTCTTCTTTCTCCACGTAGTCCCAAACACCACTATTCTTGTATCGACTACTAGATAGATGCGAAAGCCTACGGAGGCTTCTGCTACTTATATGTATGTCCATGAAGAAACAGTCATGCATATCCATATATGTCTTGCATAAAATTGTAATGCAGTAGGTTACTTGTGGCAGCAATTGACATTCATGATTTGAATGGCAAATAAAATAACTACCACCCAAAACATGGTATAACAATTGAATCTGAGCATCTTCTAATTAATCATTTCTACTGCTAGTTGGTACTAATGTAAAGATAATGTTTATCTATTGCTAAACCTTTGTTACAACCGATATATATTTACAGGTAAGCACAACGTTGGAATGTAAACACAACTTATTTATCAGTAGGATTTGATCCTTCGCCTGTCATGGAGGAAACAAGGAGGATCTGAAACAGGAACTATGAAGAGAAGCAACTCTGAAGGCTCTAATCTCTACAGAGCTTTTCAAGGAACTGTTTAGGCTTTGTTTAAGTAATCCCTAGAGTTCGTTTGATATGATTTTGTGCATATCTTATTGATTTCTATGAAGTGTACAACGGCTCTACTGCGCATAGGTTTTAAAGTGTTCAAATAATAAAACAGTTTTATTTACATGTGCAGGTACTCCAACGTGAGACCCAAAGTATTTTTAACAAAATGTTGTAAGTGTACATGTACATGTACCATGAGAGAAATAAAATGCTTTCATGTCTATTAGGTAGAAAAGCAATATCATGGGAAAACGAAGATCTACATTGTGGCTGAGTTGGTAAAGGAATAAATATGTACATGTAAATATACATGTAGCACAAGAAGTAGCATATTAAATTGGAGGAAAGTATGACTTACCGAGTCAATTGATCTTGCTCCGTCTGGAATGGTAATATGGAAGCTGTCTTCCTCATCAGTATCAATGTCATCTTCTTGGAAGTCAATCATGATTATATCATCCTCTTCTGGCAAAGAGCTTGGAGATGATGAAGTTGGAAGTTCCAGGAAGTCGTAGCCATCTTCGGCCTCTTGCATATGGTCATGTCCAAGCTGCTTGAGGATGCCTTCTGTGGAATGGGGAGGCTTATCCATCCTCAGAGAGTCCATCCTGCCAGGAGGGATTGGAGGAGCCGTCCGATGGGGTATAGGAGGAGGAGCGCTCAGGGGAGCATCAGGAATGTTGGTTTCTGGCAGAGAAGGTACAGGACGGGCTGTTGAGGCCGGTATTGGAGGAGGGGGGCATTCAGGCATGTCCCCATCAAGAGCACTTAATGGTCTACCTTGTACCGCCTGTGCTGGTGGTACAGGACGGGCTGCTGATGTCGGTACTGGTGGTGGGGAGCCTTCAGGCACGTCCCTTTCAGTGATGCTTTGTGGTAAAGCTTGGACAACCGGTGTTGGTGGTAGAGGACGGGCTGCTGATGTCCGTACTGGAGGTGCGGGGCCTTCAGGCACATCCCTTTCAGTGGTGCTTTGTGGTAAGGCTTGGACAACCGGTGTTGGTGGTAGATTACGGGCTGCCAAGCTCGGTAACGGTGGTGGAGGACATTCAGGCATGTCCCCATCAACGGTGCTTGGTGGTCGGGCAAGACCAGTGGAACATTCCCAGAATGGTAGATATATATCTTCTGATGGACCACCAACAGGAGGAGGATTCCTATGACACTGAACAGTGTGGGTCTGAGCAGGCGGTCGTGACTCCTGTTCCCAGGGAACCCCATCAATATTAAAGTTTGTGAGATCCTCAGTAGAGTCTTCCTGGTTCAAAGATGTATCAGTGCTTGGGATTCCTTGACTGGGGGTCATGTTTCCAGACCGACTGTAATCATCAAGGATAGAGATAATCTTGTCACTGTCTGTTGAGGCAACACTTGATAAGGTACTACTGGGATTCAGTGACACATGGGTAGATGGTATATCACTGTGATCGGAATCAGGCCAATTTGTAGCTGATGCCATGTGGGTGTCATCTTGGCTGCTCCTGCTCGAGTGGTCACTTTTTCTGCTGGAATTTATCGATGGCGACGCACAATCTCTGCTAGTATTTAACTGTACAATACTATTATTATCTGAAGTGCTTTCATTAAGATCCTTGCTGTCAATATTTGCATTCTCTTCTGGAGTTCCATTCATCCATTTATCTAACATTTCAAGATCAGCTATCGAAGATATCGATATCGTGGGAGATTTTTCAGGCATGGGTGGCGCAACTTCAGGAACAGGAAGTGGTCGAGGGGGAAGGGGAGGGAGTTGGTTAGGACTCTCTTCCACAGTCCTGGAAGGAAGCGGTGGTGGAGGATTTCTTGTTTTAAGGAACTCATTCAAATTATTTGGTTCCGATACTGGCCTAGGATGTCGTGACTTCTGCTTTCCAGGAAGAGGTGGTGGTGATGAGAGGTCCTCCTGAGCATCCTTGTCTCCCCCCTTGAAGGAAGTCACTTCAGGGGGTTGAGGTACTGGCCTGTGAAGTAGATCGTCTGCAGGTGAGTGGGATGGCTCAACTGGAACTGGTGGAGGTGGAACAGGCCTGGTACTAAGATCAAGTCCTGGTTTGCCTTCAGGACCATCATGCACAACAGTTTGCTCCAAGGCCACAACAGAAGGTTGGGGAACCTCCTGAGTGGCTAGATTACCGCTTTTAAAAGGGTTAAAAGGGTTGGTTACAAGGGGATCAAACTGGTCTATATCCTCGGGGGCATCTATCGTGCTAAAAGGATTTGTACTGACTGTTGGAACCTCCATAGAATTAGCGTGCTTTGTATCATGTACAGTTTGACTATCAATTGTGCCATCAGGGGTAATATGATTCACAGGGAGGGAAGATACTTGAGGAGGAGGAGGAAGAGGAGGAGCTGGCGGAAGCCCTGGAGGAAGTGCTTGAGGTGGTATGGGTGGAGCTCCTCTGGGTTGAGGAACAGGCTTTCCCCTCTCCGGCAATGGTGGAGGGTCATTTCTCCTGACTGTACCCGGTTTACCTCTTGGCATCGGAACTGGCTTCTGTGCCCTAGGTCCTAGCAGTTCAGTATCGCTTTTGCTCCTGTAAGCATCATTCATCATAAGTTTGCTGTTGCCAGAAGCACCATGACTTGACATATTTGTCTGGGGCGTGATCTCCATGTACTCTGATTTATCAATACTTGGGGATTTCACAACAGGTGCTTTCTTCTCCTTGCGAGGCGACGGCACAGGCTGTCCAGGACCTGTCCCATTGGTATTGGTGGTCTGGCCAGAGAACTCCATGACGATGAGATCTGCCTTGCTTGGCAGCCTGCTCAAGATGCGCTTTTGATAACCAACTTGTGTGATTCCAAGCCGCACAAGGTCTGCCTCTGTTATGTGACAGCACTTGGACAGGTCGGTGTAACCAGAGAAGAGGAAGTCATTGAGAAATTGGTTGAGATGGAGTGATTGAAGCCACTCTTGCACGGATGATGGACCGTTGCCAGACTGCGCCATCAATGCTCTTCAGGGTACGTTCCAAATTGGCTCTTGTTCTTACTTGGACAAACTACATGAAAATGCAAATTCAGACCCGGTTCGTGCTACACGTATGCTGCTCCCATGGCGATTAGCTTCATCCTCAGAATGGCTCTGCGAAGGCAAACAGAAAGAAAAACTATTTAGTTGCAGGTCCATTTGAGAATAAAATCTCTTGATATCATCTCTTGGGAACCAGAAAAGGGGTCAAAGTTGAACCTAAGTCTACCCAGTAAACTTAGGGCGCGTTCATGCTTGATTTTGAAGGCAGAATGAGCGATTTGTAACGCTCATCGTAAACGCTCATCGTAATCGCAGTTCCACGGTGCACTGTTCATGCTCACTTCTCCAGGCAATTCTCCTTGGGTGGCCTTCAGCTGGATTCGCAAACCTGTGTGCGCATGCTACGTAGACCCACTAGAGGTCAGTGCGTTGACCCCATTTAAACGTGTTTACAAATTTTAAACGCATCTTTTTGTGAGTTTACGATCGGCGATCGTGATCACCGTTTTTCGGTGATTCTACAAAAGTGAGCATGAACGCAATCGTGTTTTAAACTAAACGCGTAACAGATGCCTGATTCTGGCCGTCAAAATCAAGCATGAACGCGCCCTTACATGTAGGTTCAACTTTGACTGAAGACTCTTCTGGCTCTCAACAGAAGATATGTTGGTCTAACTTGGCAAAATAATTAGTTTCTACTTTGCTTTCTTGATAAACAATGCTACACACCAATGCTAGAATATTTTTTTATATAATGTTGTACTTTGTCCTCATATCTTCAAGCTTTCACACCTTCTCTGGTTCGTTTCTCTGATAAGTTCTCTGCTACTGTATATCAAACAAAGCATGTTTTTAACACAGACCATAATTCAAAGCACAACTGGAAAGGCCTTTTCGTACAGTCTTTGCTGTTTGTAGAGAATAAAGAGATGTTGTCTGCACAGAATTCTACAGAACGCTAATACAAGTAGCTCTCACAAGTTCACTAAATAATTTTTCTACTTTTTCTGCTAAGTTTTAAAGCATGCTGAATAGAACTATCCCTTCAGAGCTCCGCTAAAGGTGAGAAACCTCAAGAATCCTGCATGTATTTGCTCAAATAAAGATGAGCAGTCTTTTAAAAGGGGACCGTCAGAACAATTGAGTAGAAGTGGGGAATCCCGAGTTCAAAGGGTGAAGAGGGAATATTTGCATTCAACATTAACCATCAAAACCAGAAGTATCTAAACGACAGAGTCCCATTTAACAGATTCTTGAATGAAATTGTTTGAAATCTGTGAAGCATGGATAAACAGAAAAACATAATTCTTTTTCACTGTGGATTCTGTTATGCATCAGGTCAAGTCATGCTGTTCAAAATTCAGGATTTGGGGCCATTTGTCCCAGGAATTAAAAAATATTGAAAATCTGTGGAACTTTATAAATGGTTGCAAACTTTTACCTTATACCTGTTTCTTATATTTTTATAAAGTAAATCTTTGAATCAATATCTTGGCATGCTGTATAAACAGAGACGTTTTGTGTGTAAGTAATGAACTATTCCGCAATTGACAAACTTTCACAACTTTCTGAAGTGTCTAGATTTGCAAAAGTTTGACTTGATCAAACAAAATGGAATATAAATTCTATAGATATTGGGAATTAATGAAAGTGCATTAATTGCCACAAACTTGTATGGCCACCATTAATAACTCACTAGGGTCTCATGCAGTAGTGTTTCTGGTATTACAGTAGCATGTCAAATAATGCCTTTAAAAAGATCACAGCATGTTCCAAACTATTGTGAAACTTTCCATAACTGTAAATTGCCTACAGCCAAAAGAGACATCTGCATGTTTTGTACAGTAGTAAGGCGGAAGCACATGTTTTGATTTGGTTTAGGGTGACCTTTACTGACCTCCAGCATTCCAATTATGCCATATAATTTTACCAACTCCATTTCCATCCATTTATTAGATCATGGTGATGCTACTAGTACCCCCCCCCCCCCCGCCCCCTCATTCAGACAACAAAAATGCATCGTATACATGTACAGTACGCTACATGTACATGTATTACATGTATGCATTATAATAATTATTATACACCTGTATATCTGTATATGCAAATCTTCTATAGCACATAATCAGATTATGATAAGACGTGTCTATGCGTTCCCAAAAGAATTATTACCTTGGCTTTACCCCGGATTTACATCCAGCAACCATGGCACTCAGTGCATTCAAGTTATAAATCCTATGTACCTCATACCCACTTCCTTGGGGCTTTTACATGAAGCTTTATGATATTGATAAGTAATAACAAATGTTCATAGTGTGATCATCGTTGAAACTTCATCAATGAAATGCATGTTTGAGCTTTTTTGTTAATAAAAACTTGAAAAAGAATCAGTCTTTCATTCTAGTCTGATATTCATATTAAATATGAAAACCACACAGCTGACGAGACTTATCATGAGCACTACTGTTGATTGGCCAGCTGTCTGGTTAACTGACATCTTCAAATCTAGTTTCTTCACACAAATACGATACATGCCCCCCCCCCCCTTTATTTTAATGTGTTACGACCCTTCTGCTAGACAATGATTCTTCCTACATTTCTTTCTACATTTCTTTATACAAGTTTCATATGAATTACTTCTAATCTGAACAGGGTATAAGAATGGCTGTACTACTAGACATTCTTGTCTACAGCTGCTGTTCTCTTCACAGCTGGAGCTACCAGTAGGATATTGCATGACTCATCTGTTGAATCAAAACCAGTCTGGATAACATAGGGGAACACAAGGTCCCTTCTCCTCAGTCCTTCTTGGAATTGCAGCAGAAGCAAATATTTTACTTCACCTCACATAATCATTACAAAATCATGATTTTTCCCGTCATTTTTCCATGTTTCTTTGTTCCACTGGTTAGAAAAAACCTGTATAATATGACTATAATGATATCTATATAAAGAACAATTAAGACCGAATTGAACATATTTTTCCTCTATAAATTAGAAGTTTAGAACATACAGGTGTAAACTATAGCTCAAATTATGCAGAATAATAGGAGATGACAACCATATTGTTATACATCCAAGCAATTGGAAATTAATTTGATCTTTAACACAGAATTTGGCCTCAGTCTCTTTAAATCTACATAACATGTGCAAATAGAAATTAGTATGCAAACAATCCTTTTTTTTTAAATGTATTTGTTTCATTAAAATTATTCATAAGAGATTAATATACAAAGTTTGAAATTGGGAAATAAAAAATTATGTCCGCCAAGTACGGTATTCTATAAATGATTTTCGAACAGATAAACAATTTTTTAACCTTGTGATAAAATTTGCCAGTGCATCCTACATTTTGAAATTTCAATTAAGATCCTAAAATAGAATGGTACATTTTGTAGCCTATAATGTACATTATCAAATAATATGACATAAAAGAATATTACTGCTGCTAGGTACCAGGTAAACATATAATGTACACGTTTTTCAAAAGGTGTATTAATTGCCAAAGGAGCTCAATGTCCATGCCATACAATAGACTCTTCACATATTTAATACATTGATTTAAAGGTACTACATGTATGTCCCATTTGCAGGCCAAAAAAATGAAAAAGTTCAATTCCAACGGCATTTGAAAGATAATACTAATTTAGAACTTCCCTAAAAAAGGTGGGGCTTGAAAATGTTTTCAAGTGGGAAAATAATGACTATTAGTTGTCAAATCGACTTAGGAGCTATAGAGCCAATAAGTAATACTCTTGATTTTCAGACCATTGTACCGAATGGTCATACGTTTTATGCTGCGCAAAGATTCAATCAGTTTAATTCTTTCCATCACCAGAAGTGGGTTATTGATGTAGACAAATGCTCATGTACCCTTTACAGCTCCGTCATTTTATTTATGTTATTACCAAAGAAGAAAAAAAAGCCAGTCAGTCACTCAATAGTGTCTGACAGTGAAGTCTAGCAAGTAAACGGGTTTCCTTGCATAATTTGAATATTGGGACACTGCTAACGTTTAAATTTCACAGATAGGACATACATGACATATCCTGCAAAGTTCTACAGAATTTGAGTTTGGCTGCAAAAGGTACATACTGTAATACCTTTAACACATCAGTATGTTACTCTGTTTGCATTAAACTTTACAATACCATACATGTCCTTTGAAAATTTCTGGGTTTTTTATTGACTGTTCATGCATTCGGTACATACTTCTTTAATACAATAACACTATATTTAAGAGAACTATACCTGTCTGTGTTCAAATATATATCTGCTCACTAGCAAAGAGATATGCTTCTGAAATATCCAACAACCAGACAGCCAAGTTTAATTCCACATAATCACACAATATGAGAGAGAGAGAGAAAGAAGTCTGTGATATCTTACATATCATATGCCATTCCTTATCAAGAAAATAAAAGCAATGTTTTCCAATTATAGGCTACCATACATGTTTGAGTAGTCCTTAACCGATGCTATGGATCCGAAGTATTTGTTATCTTTTCACCAACTGATACACGTGAGTCTAATGGCTACACAAAGAGCCATCAAAATATGCAAGGAAGTATGCGTATGTCCGGACAGTTGCTCTTCTGCTTTCGCTCTGTCCTCAGTACGCAGTTCCTCGTTTCAAATGTACAAACAATGTGCAATGAGGAAGTGAAGCATGAAATTAGTTTCTAAAAACACAGAGTATCGAAGGATAATATATTCAAGTAGAGTACAGTATGTATCCAGGGTATTTCCTTTATTTTTTCTGTTTTAGAAACACCCACAGACAATTTAAAAAAAGTACAGTATATGTTGACTTACAGTTGGCAGACTTGACAAGAAAGACAAGTTACAATTTGCAGTAATATTATTTGCTCTCTTGCATATGATACCATAGATATTCTTTAAGAAAATAAATATAATAACAAATGTTTTCATGTTCAAATCACCTATTAATCTGTACCAAGAGCCAGATCATTGTATTTCAACTGGTATCGCCTCAAAATTGATTTTAAAATAAATGTCGTAGACAAATCATGAAGAAGATTTGATGATGAAGAAGAAATATTTTTGAAATGACAATGCAATCAATATACATCTAAATTGCCAATTCTATGTCAGTGATTATTTCCCTTGCTAAAAGCTTGCTATTCGTTTAGTATATACAAGTATGTTTTTATACTGAAAATATTATTTATTGTTGAAGAAGGAAATTTATCTTTCTAAGCAGGGAATGGACAAAATAAACATAATAATATATCCACTGGCCAGTGGCCACTTATGTGAAAATATTTTCTTTGGGAGCTAGTCACAAGGAAATTCAGAGTCACCATGAATACATGAATTTTACGTGTAAAATTTCTTCACTTGTTTTCCTCTTACATGTACATACTGTACTGTATGTATGAAAATGAGCTGAAATATATGCTACAAATCAATGTACCGTAACAAAGATATTGCACAGAGTCACAGATCAATTCATATTGGGGAATGGGGGTTTACCCTCATACTGACATGAGCTCATTCATGCAGAATATCAATAAGGTTTCTGAAATTGTGTAAAATGTGGCATTACAGCAGGGAAATCCCCACCGATTGCCCATGAATTAAAACCTTTTTTGGATGTGCTTCGTTCACTCTGTACGAAAGAATATCTGATTAGTTGTCGTCTTCATTCCCTGTTGCACACATACTGTACTAAAACGGTACTATCAAGGAACTCTATTAGACCCAGTAAATCTTTGCAAATATATGATACTTTTTTTCTTCTTCACTCTTGTCCTTCAAGTTGTATTGCTGCCCAGATGCTTACCTACACTGTACTGTACAGGTAACATACCGGTAGCAAGAATTACTGTTTGCAACTTTACTCCAATTCTATCACAACAGATTTTCAAGTTGGCTTGATGAATTTTGGCCTACAAATGTATTTACTTCAGAAAGAAGCATCCATAAAATTGACTTAATAATAATCTACAGATGCATGTTTTGCAACCAATCACAATAAGTGTTCCATACTTCCATTGCATAATACTTTCTTGATTGACCCTTTAAAATCTTTTTTTATAAAACTTAACAAATACACCAGTTTCACTTTGATCCCATAATTTAAAGGTATGTACATTTTTTAAAGGAGCGGAGAGTGAAACAACTTTTGAAAGCTCATCAAGAGCTCTGGTACAAAAACAATATATTGTACATTCAAACCTGCATATTAAAGGGACCATGTACTCTATAGAAAAACCACATTTAATTGTTTCCCTTGAACAGAATTATCTATTGAAAGGTGTGTGGGAACCTGTAATATAAAGTCCACCTGCCTGTACAATGTACATATGACACATGTCTTTTTTCCATTTCATCCCCAAAATAGCAAGAAATCTTTTAATATGACCATGAAGTGAAATTGAATAGTAGGCTACTGATACTGAAAGATTAGTCAATATTTCATTCATCATAACACAATTTTTGTCTTTAGTTTTTTTGATGACATAAATAGATAAAAAGTCATATGTCATGCTTAATTGGCATATATTGCATGGAATTGCTCTAAAGACCATTCATGTGTCAATAGAGTGGTCTTTATATACATGTACATATACAGTTACTACAGGTTTCATTGAAGTACTATTAAAATCTCTGTATTGAAATCTTATTGTTACTGAGAAATAAATAAAAAAGCTTTTTTTATTAGACGAAATGCTTACGTCTTGGTAAGCATTTCCCATTGAGACACTCAGGGAAGAAGAGCAAGAACAGACCTTATCAACTTGTACAACTATCTTTTTTTATTACACAACTCCAGCACAAAGATTCTTCTCCCACCAAAATAAGGAATTGAGAGGGCATTCTAGAAAAGTGTACCAAAGACGTTCCAAACACAACTGGCTTGCTACTTTTATTTTACAGAGTAGATCTAGTCCAACCTTGGAATAATCTTTGGCAAATGTTTTCCTCTTCAGTAGACCATATCCACATAATAAAAACAACTGAAGTTTAACAATTAAACCACAACAGAATTACACAGAGTACTTTGCACTTGCAGTATGCATGTCCATTCTTATTGGCTTATTGCACACATATTCATAGGAAATTAGGATTAGGAAATAGGAATACTATTTTAATTCCTCTAATCAATTTTAAGGAAAAAGATAAGAAACAACTTGTTTAATTCAATAGTTGTTATAAAATAGAAATATGATCTGAGAAAAGAAAAAACTTTTTTATTTTATTACAATGCAATCTAGTTTGCACCTACAAACATGTGTGTTGATCAGTCTAATCTTGATCTGTTGATTAACAACCATATCTTTAGGGGGAGCATATTTTGTATCCCCATGTTTTGAAACAGAATCTTTAGTTTGTACAGCATGAAACAAAGATAACATATGTAAATACATCTAGACCTCGATAATAAAGATAAATAGAGATCAGCTCTGGGCTTAATTTATTTTAGGAACTCTCCAAACTATGTTTTAAGATAAATAAAAGTTGTTTTTATGTTTTCACTCTCAAGAATTTCCCACATCTAATAGTTGTTTTAACCCATGATTATTCAATGTCTATGAATGAAAGCAAACATAGTATCCATCACAAAAGACACAATGACAAGTAACTTCTGCTGCTGGAGATCGCTATCGACGCACCACATACATGATACACATCAAATCAAAGCAACGTCAATACAGCAGCTGCAGCACGTAAACTCAATGCCAAGGGTGCAGGTGAGACCGGTGGCAGGCCTAGGCCGCAGGTTAAGCCGAAACGCGCCCGAGAACAAAGCTCGCAATTAGCGTTGCAATGATGGGTTTAGCGCCATAACAAGAAAAATAAGTGTGAAAATAAATACTTACCCATTTCTCATATTCCTAGTCTCGAAAAAATAGCGAGAAAATCCACAGCATTTCCCAATTCCTAATCGAGTTGAAGTTGGAACTTGCTAAGCCGTGTACAATATTAGGTTCACTTTACTTCCGTATTTTGCATTCATTTTCATTCCGCATTGCTTGTAGTCTTTTTAAAGGCGCCATCATATTATTGTCATTTCATAGTATATTTACAACTAAGCAATGTCGTCATCTGTTTTTCTTACTGAAGCGAAACTCCATTTATCGAATTCGACCATTGTCAAAATATAGGAAGGAGGTGCTAACTGTGACAGTCATATAAATGATGAGAAAAAACGTTCCATATATCATTGTTTCCCATGGTGTTGTATGGATCATTTTTCTGACCTAGCTCTTTTTCATGAAGAGATTATATGAGAATGTGATTTATTCTTGATAGATGAGTTTTATAATTATCAGACCCAGTGACCCAATATACTGATCATATTGTAGAGTAATAGAGATTGGTCAACAAAGTTATATGAATATATAAATAGAAAACCAGATTATAGGCTACCAATCTTTTCATGAAAAAGTTTTGTTAAATTATGATAGCTAATATAGCTGTCAACGCAAATTACATTATCTGAAAGAGAGAGAGGGAGCCTGAGGGAAAGAGAGATATATGTTTAGAGAGAGAGAGAGAAAGAGGGAAAGAGAGAGAGAAGAGGGGAAAGAGAGAGACAGAGAGAGACAGAGACAGAGACAGAGAGAGAGACAGAGACATAGAGACAGAGAGACATGAGACAGAGAGAGAGAGAGAGAGAGAGAGAGAGGGGGAGGGAGGGGAGGGAGATATCACAAGAAAGCAGCACTCTGACATTACAATTTTTGTATTTTGCTCCTATAGCTGTGACAAACAAGTTTGGTTTTGTTTTTAAATTCACCACATCTTAATGATTGACTGAGCTAAGATGTGGTGAATTTAAAAACAAATATTATTATATTCACATAAAATATGTGAAGATAGATCGGGGGATGGGACAAGAAAAAGGAGAAGAGAGTCGGATGCATACCTAATTTGTTTTACATTCATTATACAAATCATATACCAAGTCAATAAATATATAATTACAATTATAGACAAAACTAAAATTGAAGGGAAAACTGGATAATAACTGTGAATTGAAAGTACTATGACGGAAATTTACTTTAAGATTTTTTCCTTCCACTTGAAGAGAAGAACACAGACACAGTTTAAAAAAAAATAGATTAAACATGTTTTGATATACATGTATGTTTGATGAAAATAATGATTGGGCAAAAAGTCTGAAACTGCTGCCAGGAAAATATTGGAAGTTTCGTGCAAAATCATTTTGTTATGGCAAGAAGAGGTATAGTCTCTCTTTTTTTCTCTGTATTCTATGTGCAGTTACAGAAATTAATGCCATAACTGTATTCTTCATATTTAATTTGGGGGAAATGATTCTTTTGCAGAGTAGGCCATCAAACTCACAGACACACCAATGTTCAATTCTAAACAATAGAGGGGGTATTAGCATTGTATTATAAAGGGACACTAGTATAATTGGTCTGTCATATTTTTCTTGTTTCATACGATGCAGGATATCAATTCAGTTCAATTCAGTTATGGTTTTATTTGACAATGCTTTGGAGCCAAAGATTGAATTTCTCAATTGTCCCATTTAAAAGTTACATTCAAAATTGAATGGCAAATTATATTTACTTAAAAATACAATGCTTGAGAAATATGCGAACAAAAATATGTCTGTCAAGTACACTTCACTTCAACAAATAAATTAAGTTGGGAGTTATTATTCCCTTTTCTCAATATCTTTTTTGTTAGTAACATGCCACATAAATCACTTCTAAAATTAATTTGTATATTCATATCTCACTTGATAAATAATAATAGTAATGAACATCCAGTAAAACATCTTCTGTTCATTCCCATCACATTTATCCAATTGTATTCCACACATTTCCCCCCTATCCCGATTACAGATTTGAGTATATTATTCTATAATTAATGTTTTTTGTACGAATGGCAAATAATATTCATGCTTGATGAATATGTGATAAAAAATGATGTCTGTAAGGTAGACTTCACTTCATCAAATAAATTAAGTCAAGTTAATATTCCTTTTTCTCAATATCTTGTATGTTAGTTATAAGCTGAATAAATTGCTTCTTAAATTAATAAGTATACCGGTATTCATATCTCACTTAATTGCAATGTCTTTTTTGGTGGTAATTATTATCAATTTTATTGAACAGCTAGTATTATTTCCTCTTCCTTTTTATCACATTTATCCAACTGTATCCCACACATTTTCCCCCTATGTGAGACCTGATTTAAGATTTCAGTATATTATTCTATAATTAATGTTTTCTGTACGTCAGTAGATTCACATAATAGTCTAATACTAAAAACAGTAAGAATTATTACAACCATTTTTTCCTCTACTGCCAACATCCAAATAAAACGATTTAAAATAAGTTAACCCTTTCATTACTGCAGGTGATTATGACCATCCAAAACTAATGTACCAATATCTCAGACTCGCATTTTGGACTAAGAAAACTTTTCTCTCTCTCTCTCTCTCTCTTTCTCTTTGGAAAAGTCGATGCTATTTTGACATATATGGCACAGAACAAATCTAAAATGTTAGTACCTACATATAATCCTTTTCTTCAGATAATAGCCCTCCCTACATAGATAAGCCAACACAAATAAGACACAATGGGGTGAAGCAATATTTAGTGTGCTTTCTCAACTTTATTTTAAAAATATCAAGAACTCTGTACAGTGTGGAAGCTAGCCATTCAGGTTTTACATTTACATGTACTGTACAAAAAAGTACTTCGCATATAAAAATTGACATTTTGCTTTTCACTTTTAAATATTCATTCCAAAATTTCCTTTTCCACATAGAGCGACAAAAAACATAATCTGGTAAAAAGAGTCATTAAACAATTGCATTGAGTGTATTAAAGCACAGGAAAATGTCCTTAAGTCCAATTATCGAATAAAAGCTTCGAAGTATAATGTCCTTTGCTGAGAAGCAGCGCAAAGAAGCAGCAACACAGATCCATTGTATCCATGCAAATGTTCACATCTAATTGATGAAACGTAATAGAAAACGTGTTTCCTCGTAGAGAGTTCACACGCTATCCAATATCACGATGAGCTTCAAAGCAGCTGCTATGGGTAATAGGCTATTCCAGTCTTAAAGTTCCTTTGCACATCCCTGTAATAATAGGAAGGTTTGAATTCATTCGTAGCAGAAACAGCATTCAAGTTTAGCGTAGACAATGACGACGATTGTCTCGAGATTCGCCCATCTTTCCATTAGTGGAGTGTGAAATCTTGAACAGCCAGGGCACTGCTGTATATATGGCTCCATCCACTTACCATGGGCTAAAACAAAATCAATTTCCTTCACGATGTAAAGTTTGCACACGCACAGATAGACAAAATGGCCACCACAGTAAATTTGATCGATCTGCCAGTGATATAGGGAACATCAATATAATGCATTAAAAATTACAAAGTTGACAATACGATATGGTAACATAAAAAATAGCATTATTTCAGCAAAATAGAGAGCAAAGGCAGATTCACTCAAGATTATTGGTAATTGCAGGACCCAAAGAAAAGGGTGGTTACAGGGTTCTTGCATCCCTACTTGTGGTTTGATGAGCATGCACGGACCCCAAACATTTTGAGGAGCTTTGCTAATTTGACATACCCCAATCGGAAATTGTTCAGCAGTACTTGAATAGTAAATTCTTTCTGATCAAACCCAGAGAAAAGATGCCATAAAACCTTATCTATGAATCTTTAAATGCGAGAATGGAAGGCCACTTTATGATACAAATTATCCTTATATTGGATCCGGCTCTAAACAGCCTCTGATTTTCATGGGAAATGTCTAGATTTTGAATTAAAAAGTCCAAACATTTTCTACATAAAGAGCTCTAACCAAGGTTTAAGGCAGATCAATTTTGTTGAGTATAATAGAAGAGATCATTTTTTTCTTTGTGTAGTTTTGTCTTAAGTTTTAGTGCATTTCAAGAAAACACTCGAAGGAATTATGGCAAAACTGGCTACTTTCAGTTCATCAGACAAAGTTCAATCATTGTGTGTTTAGTAGTTATCTTGATGTCCCAGTCAATCGGATGGATATCTTGACAAAGCTGCTAAAACATTCAATTGTACCTTTTAAAGTAAATCTGCCTTCTCTAATTTTAACACAACCTGTTTCAACAATCAAGGAATGACATACACCAAAAGACCTATGATCAAGATTCACACAGACATTTGTTTGAGCTATTTTTCGACAGAAAAAAAAAGGATACTGCTGATGGATTTCTCTTGCTATTTTTTTTTCTCAAAAAATACATGAATTTTGATACGAAATGTAAAAATGAAAGCCACACGATTAGCTCTCCCTGATAAGAATTCGAATGTACATGAAAAAAATATTTTAAAAAGCTGTCCAGGTCCATCATTAGAAGGCAATTGTTTTGACTTGTGGCGCAATATGCAACTTTTTGAGTTGGCCCAGGCGAGCAAGACACCAATGGTTCTTGCTTGACTGGAGCAACAATAAAATTGGATATTGAACCTCACATCAGTTTGCAGATGATTCAAATCATTCAAGAATCTAAAGAATAATTATCAATGAAAGTCAGAAAAGTGCATGATCAGATCAAGTTGTTCCATCATTACATGAGTGTTTAGCTGAACATTGACATAATATATCCTTGTAACACTTTACCAAAATTTGTTTGATGCTAGAAGTCGTACAAAAGTTTTCATATGGTAAATCCCACATTGCCTACCCAAATCACACGTTTACTGGCCATTCACGCACAACTAAAGTGAATTAGGACTTCAGCAAATGGTTGATCCCATTTCATTTTTTCCAATCCCGCCATCACGGGCTATTGATTCCAACAAAATGATTCAACTATAAAATTGAGACCAAACCTCTCTTATTACCAACTTGTAGCCATATGGGTATTGCTTCATACCCTTTTAAAAACAAGGTTGAACACCCATCCAGCTCTTAAAACTTTAGCATGACATTAACATCACCTTCAATCTATCTCCCATAATCAAAGGCACACTTTATACAAATCTGCACTTTCTTAATAACAAAACTGAACGTTTGATATGCACTATTTGAGAAAAGGTTTATGAATTGAAGGAATAGCTACTTGTGCATTCAGGTGACAGTTTTGATTAAGGAATAAAACAAAGTTTTGATCTTTCAGTGTTACCTATCATTTGACCATTTCATCTGCATATCCAGGTTTGGGGTTAAAATATATCGCGAATAAAAATTCAGCTATTCTGTCTGAGAGTGTGGTTGCTTCTTTCGAGGACCTGCGTAATGTTCAATATTTGTGCATTTAACGATGATTCCCAGCTTGATTACGTGGATAAACCAGTCACACCTTCAAGATTGATGGACCAATATTAAACAATGATGATCAAATTCACGACGTCAGGATCTGAAGCATGCTGATCATAGTCCTTAACAGGCCCCAGATAAGGCCCCCCCCCCCCCGACATACTTACTGACAGTGTACAATCTATAGATTAAACCCTGCAAAATTAATAACTTGATTCAAAACTGCTAAAAGGCAGACATTATCAACAATTAAACCGACATAAAATGGAGATTAAATTGACAGACTTCATATGGCACAGATTTTGTTGATTATTGGTTTGTTCAGTATTGTGCCTGGGGGCTACAACACTGAATTCCCCCACCCTGAAACTTGACTTAAAGTAGAGAAAGCTCACATCAATCAATCTTACCCATTACAGTCTGGCCTCACTGTGTGGAATGCTTCAACGACAACAAAATTACAACAAAAATAAAATGATCCTCGACAAAAATGATCGGTATTACACTCCCTGCAATTTGAAATGATACAAACAATGACTTATCATTCATTACTATGTACACTTACACCTTCCATTCCACTCATTACACTGTACAGGATAGCATCTCGGGTATGTACAAGAGTCGTCTTTCTACAACAGTCTTATGTACATCTTATACAAAGAAAGGGATAAGCTCGTATAGCTCATCAATACTGTTTGACACCTCTTTTTATCACCACTAGTTCCTCAACGTAAAAAAAGTTCATAATTTTGAATAAATGACATGGACAGGCACTGTACTGATAAAAGAGGGATGTCTATTTACAAGAAAATTTGATCATTAAAACTGGAAATTTCATGACTAAAAAATCTCACATGAGACCAAACCAATCTGATGACAATGATGACTGTGCGGCGTGAATACCACTGCCTAATCTCAGGCTTTTCTCTGCCTCACCTGAACACACAAGGTTATCATGTATAAATTCCTGTTTGCTCTGCTTCCAATACCTTAACAAAAGGGGGGCATTGTTTGCCATCAATTGACAAACACAGGTATTCTAACTTGACATTTATATCACCATGAGGAGACCTCTGTAATGATCTATTGCATGATAAATTTCCTCCCAATATCCTCTTCATTTTCACCAACTTTGAACAGCTTTTATTTGCCCTGAAGCTGGGTTAATCAGTTTTCAATACAGAAGAGCTTGGAGTCTACTTAACTCATGGCACTCTGCCTCTTAGGAAATAGTTACTGGCATTGTGTGAAAACTGCTGTTCCAGTGGAAATTTTCTCATCTTAATTCACAACTTCCTCTGCTTCTTGAAAATGGGAATAACATATTCAAATTAAACAAAGAAACTCATTTGAATTCAAGATTCATAAAACACTTAAACTTACTTATTTTACTTTCTTACTAGATTTGAAGATTGTATCGGATTCATTACTACATCAGGATATTAGTCCTGAAAGGCAGTTCATTATTCATTGTAAAGAATGATTACCTTAAATACAGGTTCAATAATGATGACATTGATCATGATTAAAAACAAAAATATAAGGAATTCATATTCAGTTATTACAATTATCAATAAAATATCTCATCAATAAAATATGATCAGTTCTAGTACATTTCAAAATGAATACAATGCAAAAAAGTGTAGTCCTGAATAAAAACATTTCAATTTAGAAATAAAATTTTGTCAAAAGACATAAGAAATATAAAATATAATCTTACATTCAAATGCCATAAGAGGACAACCATACCGATATGTTAAAAAAGAAAGTGAACAGTCATCAGGATATATTTTGGGATAGGTGAGTTTTAGCAGTGTTCTATGTGCATCATCATGATGGTGCTTTTTGGTGATATTAAGCATGCTTTTCTCAAATGATTCCACAATTCAAAATGTCAGTTTCTCTTAAGACACAGTTTTGTTATGAAAACTAAGGATTATCTTTAAGATGTGCTAGCGCAGTTAGCTCCTAGCAATGAACGGATGACAATAGAAACAGTCATTAAAGATTAATCATAGAAAAAGCCATTAAAGCTACAGAGAAGATTGACGAGTGCGGACGGGACTTGACCAATGACCAATATTTCTGGCCTGGGTTGGAACGCTTCAAACATTTTGCTGAATGTGTTCTCAAGCTGTGCTAGCATTGTCAGTGACCAATACTTTCTGAAGATTGTTGGAATTCTTTGCCGAAGGTATTTTGAAGACAGTATTTGAGATTAAAGAGAGTAATAATCAGACTTGCTCATCAGTGGTCAATATTTTCTGGCAATTCTTGAGACTCTAGGGGCACTTCCCTAGGGATGTTCTGAAAGCAGCACTTAAGATCATTGTAAAAGAGTATAGATAAGACTTCCTAAGAGTAACCAATCTTTTCTGGAGATGCTTTACACGCTTGTAACATTTGCTCATTTTATTCTGAAAGAATTGTTCGAGATGAAATCGAGCCACGATCGGACTTGCTATAAGAGACCGATAATTATCGTGACGGAGATGCTCGTAATAAACATTCTCCCACAGTCACTCATCAGAAAGCATTGTGTGACATTAAAGAGACCGATGATCATCAGACTTGGTATCAGTGGCCAATGTTTTCTGGAGATGGTTGAGACGCTTGAAACACTTCACTGAAGGTGGTTTGAAAGCAGTGTTTAAGATCGCTATAAGAGACCACCAAGATGTTTTGCTCATCACGTGACATCAGGCAGACCTTCTCCGGGATCCCTGCATCAAGCTGCAACAAAATGGAAGAGTGGCAGAAAAAATATGACTCTATGTGACTACCTCTCCAGTATTAAAGACTTTGCTTACATGTACAGTAAAACCTGCTTTAGTGACCACCTGTCTACAAAGACCACCTGCCTATAAAGACCACTTTTCTTATCTCCCTTGGACGGTCATTATAGACAGGTTTCACTGTTTATTAAGACAATGTCAACAATAAACAAGTAATCCCAATGTCATACCAAGCCATGTTTATGTAAAATTATAATTCAACACAGTATAAAAATGAGAAGAAATTAAGGTATCATTTCATAAAACCATGATAGCTATAAGGTTGATGACATCCCATTAAAACATGTGCATTAAAATGAACACGAATTTCAACTGGCTGTTGGAGATTTGGAACTATAAGCTTGTATACAATCAATTCAAATTCTGACCAGGTTATTCAAGTTTAGAGATACATAGTGATACAACATTTAAAGTTTTTGATAAATTTGTGAACACGAATAAAGACTCGAAAATAAAATCTTTTCCAATTTTTCAGCCACTTTTTTTTACTAAAAATCATCTGGCGACTCTTAGTCTGAGGTCGATATTCTACACTATTAAACAGAAGACTCAAGTTTAACCCTGAACCAAACATTCGATGTAACCCAAACTATGATCTTAACCCAGCCTAATACATGATTGTGACCCTATTTTAACACCGTGAAGTTTGTCAGTGATTGTCGCTGAAGCATATGTTAGAGCACCTCTCTTTTTGTTTTAAAGATCAGGCAAGGCAAAATCTGTGGATGCATGAGGGTTCAGTGACACACAGACGTAACTCCATATTTTGCCAAAATGAGTATGTGATATCAAAATGTTCAGAAAAATGTGGGCTTTCCAGGAAACACTAAGACTTAACTCGACCCAACACCCCATTGAAGTCAATGGCTAGTAAAAACATAGACTTAACTCCTGGCCAAAGTGCTCAGTGACACATAAACCACTTTTTCTCAAAATGGCCAAAATGGAATTACGTCTTTGTGTCACTGACCCCTCGATGTGTTGTAAAGGCACCTGCATATTGCTTGTAAATTGGCAACACAAGTCGATATTTGACTTACCTTGTTGAGGCACTGAACAATGTGAGAAAGATCAATCCAAGGGTTACCAGTCTCTTTGACCTGATGAAATAAGTGATCTCTGAAGAGCTTGAGAAGGTAACGGTCACCAGTCTCTGCCCACTGCACATCACCATGGAATCTACAATGAAAGGGAGGAACAGAATGATTAGATGAATGGGGGGATGAGAGGAGAGCAAGGCAGTGGTGCAAAACAAGATATATGAAGGAGAGAGAGAAAGGGACAGAGAGAAGGAAAAAGAAAAGACAGAAGAGAGATGGAGAGAGTAAGGTAGAGAAAGGGAGAGATACATGTAATGTTAAATTGAAGGCACACTGAAACTCGATATCTTCTTTATTTAAAGTACGTACAACTAATGCTGGAGACTACTAGGGACAAAACATTATCTGACTACACAGTGGTAAATACACCATGAAGAAGGAGTTTAAAATGCCCTCAGAGGAAATCAAATCAGTCTTTCTCAAAACTTTGCAACACAAAATGTTCTTCTAAAAGTGAGAGACAGAACACAGATACACTGCATCATGATGGCCAAGCTTTTCCACCATCAAATTCATGTCACAGTCGAACGATACTTACTCGGGTCTTTCATTCATGACTCCCAGTTTACAGAGGAGTCTGAACAGGCGGCCATTTTGGATCTCCCTTGATAACTGCTCCTCTAGCACATCGTTGCACATGAGAGCAGCATCCAGCTGGGTGTAGAACCTTGCACCAATCATAGGCATGATGTCGTTCACAGAACGGGGGCGGGGCTGGCTGGTCAGAAGGTATCTAGTTACACAATAAAATGATAGTAACACTAATTAGTAAATAGTTTGGCTTAATCAAACATATTTACCAGTGCTAAATGACTTTAGCCAAGCTGAAAAGGTAGTCATATATTGAAGCCTGTCAGCACTAGTTTGGCCAGGGGGGATTAGACCTCCCTGCAAGGTCACTGACAGGTGGTTATCTCATCAAATCAGCTCTCAATTAACATAAGAAATAGGGGATCATGGGGGACCAACAGGCACCGATTAGGCAGTGTTTGCTATATAGAGGGCACAAGTAGCTACAAGTAGTACAGTGGGGCTTTAAGTTCACTAAATGACATTAAAACTTTGTTACAGTGCTGAAAAGCACAAAGAATTAGGACTGCCAACACACAGTACACATAAAATTGTAAACAGCAGACAATGAGAAAAGAGGAAATTTGGTTGATCACCCCATCAATACGTTAGCTGTGTTGTTCAGCAATTTTTTATCATTTTGATTAGATTCGGCTGCATCTGACTGTCAACTTATACCCATTTTTGAAGATCGACTTTCAAAGATTATCTCTATGGTTGCAATTTACTGCAAGAACTTACAAGGTACTCTTAAAGATGCCTTTAAAGATAAAGACCAGTTATGGTCATGCGATTGCATTGTGAAAGAAACGTTGTGGAATCGATCAGAAAAGATTGATCATCTAGCATATAATTATTGGTGTGTACTGCAATGTCCTGGAATCATCAAAATGATAAGAAATTTGGCCCAGTCTTGGTAAAGTTACAAGCACTGTACACAGAAAGATGTATATGGGACTGCGTGACACGTGCGCCACATGTGCATGATATCTATCCGGACCAAATATATCAATTAGTAGGCGGTTTCTCTGCAAAATTTGTATCATCACGTATTAGTCAAAACATATTCTTTTACATGACTGGTAATAAGAGCTTCCATTTCATTTTTTGAGAGGGGGGCATTTCCAAAACTGGTCTTTACCTTTAATAAGGGGGATTTTAACACAATACACTACACAGTGCAGATGACTGAATAGTATAACAATCTCCCCCAATGACAATCAGAGCTAATCCTCACTTAATCTTAATCCCTCATGCCATTCACTGTTTAGCACACTAATACTGAACATGGGTTCACCAGCATCAGAAGGAGACAAAGAAGACATTGAGGGGACCATTGCTAGGAGAAGGTTCGAGATAATCCCAGGAGCATGTGTATGAGAACTAGCTCAAGATCATCTTTATGCAGAATCAACTACTTTTTTGTTTGACACTAAAATGATAACTAATACCATGGAAGATAAAATAGATAAAAAGATGAATCTTGTATACTTACAAGACCAGATTCTTGAGGTCGGCTGAATACTGATGCGCTACAAGGTCCACGGAGGCAGATAACCTTTGACGTTGGATACTCTGGACCGAATTGCAGGCTAGAGCTAAGATCACCTTCCCAAGAGAGATCAGGTCTTCTTGCTGTGATTGAACAGGACAAATAAATTTGATTATGACCTTGATAACGATAGTCATCATGACCTTTGTCACAACCTTGTACTTGGACTGAATTGCATGTTAAGGCTAAGATCACCTTCCAGAGAGAGATCAGGTCTTCTTGCCGTCATTGGACAGTACAAATTACTTTGATTAAGACCAAGATTATGCATTTACCATAATTGCTTTAGTCTGACATCACCTTCACATGAAAGATCACAAGTCTTCCAATTAATTGCAAGTTAGCGTTGTCTATATCTTGAGTTGTGAGTGATGTATGGCACTTTAATGATCAAATAACAAAGAAATGTACAAAAATTCAATATTAAAATTTACTTTTGACAGAATTTCTTGCAATTTCACTACCAAATTAAATCCAGGATAATATTGAAGCTTGTTCTCACCTGATAATGTGAGATCATGGCAAGAGGATTCGACTGACTGGGGTCAAAGGTCAACACATCAAAGATGCCCACGCAGTTGACCCTTAACCTGGACTTGGCCAGGATAAGAATCTTGGTGGGGTCCATGACCCGGCAAGCCAGGCCGGCAGTGTGGATGGCACGCAGGGCAGAGCTCAGCTGGACAATGTATGTCCAGATCAAACCCTCGGGTAGAAGGCCGGCGCTGTGGCCTCGCGGTCCGTTCGGGCCACCGCTACCCCCGCCTCCACCTCCGCCCCCTGTGGAGTACAAAGACAGAATCATGTTATTTTCAAATGCTAAATCAACTCTTAATCATAAGGTACACTATAATCTGTTGTTTAGACAAAAGAAGAAAGTATCTCAAACTTAGCCACTCAATTTCAAAGGGAGCAGAGCAGTTAGTTCTCTACTAACTGAACTAACATGAATAATATATGACATCATCATTGCTCCACTATAGATCAGCAAAGAGATAAATCAGTATGTAATAACCATTAGTGTCTTCCTAAACCACATATCCTAACCTCCTGAAATCAAGAATGAATTAGGAAATATATATATATACTCACGCATCTTCTTATCACCTAAACTGCTATTGAGGAAGATAGATTTTAATACTGATATTAATAAATGAGCAAGTGAATTTGAAAGGCAACCAAGAATACTCCTACCTCGAGAACCAGGGAAAGGGCCGCTATGTCCTTTCCGGAATGAGTTGAGACCACCAGAATGACCAAAATGTCTTGACATGAGCGTTGTAGCACCAGGGTGGTAGTCGTGTACAAAAACGATGGCTGAAAGGCAAAAATAAACCAAGTGTCAAATAGATATGTACTAAAGAGAAGTAGCTGATACCACTTTTCACTAATTAAAATTTAAAAAACTTCTATATTCTTGGGTTGACGTACAAAGAGAGACGTTTTAGATGACAGCAGATGAAAGGCCTTATTAGAGAGGTGGCCACTATAGCTGGTTTGACTATGCTGTCTTTTAAGAACTCAGAGGAAAACTGATTAAGTGGCCACTGTAAACAGGTGACCTTTCTACACAGGTTTTACACCAAATGTAACAGCTTAGTGAAAAACATTATAGATGACCATGACAGACAGGTGGACTTTGTATAGAGACAGCCAATAAAAAAGGATTTGTTTTTATTACTACTCACAATGCTCTCCAAAAGCTTTAGTCGAGAAGACTTCCCTGAGGGAAACAATGTTAGAGTGCTGAAGCTTTTTCCATTTGTCTACTAGCACCATCCACTGCGTGACTCCCACTCGAAAACCTGGAAAGAAAAGGCAAACATGAGATATTGAATATTGAGTTTGCTACAAAGGACATGCACCAAAAACAGTTTGGATGCTCTTACTCCAAGTGTCTGCTGTAAGTTGTGGGCTTTCGAGATGATACTTATGGACAAGACCACTATTTACGAGAAGCCCTAGTTGTGAACTTGACCTTTTTATACTAGGGGTAGAAAAGCTTTGGTCCGGACTCAGGTCCAACCCGACCTAAGCTAATATGAATGCTATTCACTCCGATCTGCACTTGATGCAGACTTCTCGAATGACTTTTTCCAGGCCTGAAGTGGATTTTCCATAACATGATCAGTGTCCCTACTACTCGATGCAGATCGAGATACCTCTTTGTGGGTTTGCTGCATGTTAGATAGAGTGGTAATATTAGCGATGGCTTGTGCGCAACCATAGAAACAAATGCGCACAGCAGATGTGATGCACTCTAGTTTGTGTAATTTCACAGCTTTGGGAGTGAGCCCTTACCATGTATCCTCCTAAGGCAGTAGAGTTTGCTGTCCTTCTTATTCATAGCCTTGTAACATGTTGTGGTGTAGCCGAACGTACTTGATTTGTCCATGGGTGTCTTGGGTGAAGGCTCCAGAGGAAACAGAGAGTGGTAGTTATCCACTTCTGTAGGGATGTCTATAAAAGAAAAACACATATACAGTCAAAACTTCTCTCTTAGAAATGTGTCCAAAATACTGCAACTTTTTCTCATCTATCTTCTGACATTAGGCAGGGGTGATAGTGAGCACTAAAAAAAAAATAGGTTTTTTGTTTTCCCCTCAACCACGCCCCCCTTGAGTAAAAAAAAAAAGAGGATTCGCGGGGAAAAAATGGCATCTAACAACATTCCCCCCTTTCGAGTAAGAAAATTGGGGGAAAAAATAGGGCAAAATAGGGAAGAATAGAGAAAATAAGGGGGGAATCGGGAAAATCGGGATAAAATAGGGAAGGGAAAAAAAATCTGGTTAAAAAAAAAAAAAAAAAAAAAAAAAAAATCGGGAAACCGATTTAAATCGGGTTTTTATCAGGCCTGATAAGGTGACCTTCACTCAAATTTGGTTCTTCACAAAATCATTTGAGTTATGAACCTTCCAAGATATCCTGAGCATCCCCCTCTAACACCACATTTCAAACACGTAAATACAACAAAATGTAGGCGGAAAGAATCAAGGGTGTAAAATTACAATAAATATAGACTTGAGTTTAAAAGTTTTCATAAATCGAATAAAATCTTCAATAAATGAAATGATTATCCGCCATACAAATTGATAGAAATTGACTAAAAGCTAAGCATTGCTCTAAATTCAGAGGAAAACAACTTGCACATCCACATTAACTCTAGAAAGCAAAAGATACTTGAAACCTTATAACAACATGAGTTGGTACAAGACACAGGAGAACCTTTTATTTTGACAAGAGCAGTCACTATATTATGGTCAAAATGTCTCTGCACTAATTGTACACAAGACCAACCTGCACGACAAGGTAATAGAGCTATTATGGCCTTGGTTATCATGTTTGACAAATGTATGCATTACAAGCCAGCAATTGTAGCTGGATTGTACATGTATGTAAGTCTCTTTTTTTCAATGCTTACCAGGGTGTTCCGCAAGGTCCAGCTGTGTAAGGGCTTGGGCCTGCTTGTTCAAGACATCAATCTTAAATTCCTCATCCATAAAGAAAGATGGTCCATTCACGTTTCTCTTCATGTAGTCCACATGAGCGGGTGTCGACGGGTAGACATGGAAGGTCGGCAACACCTTCACATTCCAGAGAAAAAAGGGTTAAAGAAATTAAATAGTTTCTTTCACAGCACAGGATCATTATTCAATTATTTTCAACCAGCCTGATACTCTTAAAGGCACACTGCCCTACTTGTAGCTACGTGCTCCCTCTATATAGAAAACTTCCCCAATCGGTGCCTGTTGGTCCCCCATGATCCTCTTTTTATTATGTTAAATGAGAGCTGAGTTAATGAGATAGCCACCTATCACAGTGACCTCGCTGGCTCGCTGGGTGGTTTAATCCCTTCTAGCTGAAGTAGTAAAGCCTGCCTTTAAAGATGGTCTATTTGCAGTTTCCATGTGTGATGCCTACTAATTTGCATACACTGGACTTTTAAAAGCAATGACTGTACAAATCTCACACCAAGAAAAACTGGACACCCATCTGGAACTTAGAATCCATCAGTCATAACACTCACGATCAGGAAAAAGCCAAATTTGTGAGTCTTTATCTTTTGGATTTCAGAATGCGACAATCATCAATGACCATACTTTAAATACCAATTTTCACATTTAAAGAGTTTAATATATATAAGATGGTATCCGTAAATGACCATCTAGTGTCAAACTCTTCATAGAAACCTCAATTTCCCAATAACATCACTTGTATTTTTGTAACAGATTCTTGTTACTGTCTTGATTTCTTTTAATATCAATTCTTCCTTACAAACTCAAATCATATTCATATTCTCTAAATGGTAAGTATTATATCGAGGGGTCAGTGACACAAAGACATAACTCCATTTGGCCATTTTGAGAAAAAGTGGTTTAAAGATGGAGGTCCACTTGGGCCTTAAGGAGTTAAGTCTATGTTTCACTAGCCATTGACTTCAATGGAGTGTTGGGTAGAGTTAAATCTTGTGTTTCCTGGAAAGCCCACATTTTTCTGAACATTTTGATATCAAATACTTGTTTTGGCAAAATATGGAGTTACGTCTTTGTGTCACTGAACCCCGATATATTAATATCTGATGACTTACAATGCCGGCATTAGCTGGGGCTTGTGGGACAGCTGGCCCCTGGTCGTCTGTGTAGAAGTAGGTGGTACCCCCGATGTTCTCCTGAGTCACCCCTGGGTAATTGGCGCCCCCCTTAGAAGCACCTTTACCGTCGATCTCAATAGCAGAGGGGGCCTGGGCCCGGCGGAACTCCTTACGACTCGTGTTGGGTGAGCCGCCAGGGGAGTGAAGGGGCGAGGCACCAGCCGAGAGGGAGCCTAAGGGTTAAAGAAAAAGTTGAGAGAGAATCAAAGTATAATGGAATCTAGTAATGCTGTACAAAGAGACAGTACATGAGTGAAAATGTACAAATCATCCAAACATCTTTTGCTTTTGATGTAAGGGGTTCCATGTGGCTATACTGTATTAAAATATTAGCTTCAGATATTACTTCTACAAAAAGATAATGCAATTTAAACACATTCTCAGTGAACAGTTAAACTTCTTGCTGAGTAAACTACAGCTCTACAGACGCGTACGCACAGTATTAATGTTAATCTTTTATTATCTTCATACTCCTCAACAGTTTATCTATAGACTGCCAAATAAACCTTATTTAAGGTTGATTTTATACATTCTAGCTATACACACATTTTTTTCAGGCAATTGATTCACTTAAGAATGGGCTCACAAGTGAGATAACAGCTATAGGAGGTCGAGGAAAATTAATATCCAATATGAAGCTGGAAAAAGGATAACCAATACACATAACAATTTCTTTTAAATGAGAATACCTAAAAGACAGATATAAGTTTTAACAACTATACCAACATGGCCTATACCTATACTTTATCTATTGCTAATTACTTAAAGGTAACATTGAGGTCTAATAATGGTACAAAATAAAGTAATAAAGAAATCAAAGATGAGGAAGGAGCAAGAATTCCTAAGCCCTGTTCCTCACAGCAGTCTTACATGAGTCAAGCATTTTCCTGAATGTTATGTCAAAAGCTATTGATGTTTTGATGGTCCAAGTAACCCATCTCCTAGACGATCAGAAATCCAGAATTACTTTCACCCAGTTTCTCTAGAAATAAAAACTCTATTGCTGGAAGTCCTGGTTAGTTTTAAGTATATTTATGGAAGAAAAAAATGACAGCACTCACCCGACACAAAATCATTGCTCATGAGTCCTCCTGCGTTAGTCCTGGGGATTGCGCTGGCAACTTGACCTTGGGTAACAGGTGTGGGTAGCATAGAGCTACCCTGACTCAACGGCCTTGGGACAAACTCCGGTACCCCAGGGGTTAGGCTCTTCAGCTTGGACTGGGGCTTGAACTCGTTCAGGGAGAGAGGCCCGGCGTCTTTCGTTGGTGTGACGGGAAGCGGGGGAGGGGGCACGGACATGGCCGAAGGGGGTGGTTGCTGAGGGGGCGGCTGGAAGTCACCACGACTGTTCCTGGGCTGGAATTCAGACTTGGGCGTGTTCTGGGCCCCAGGTACAAACTCCATTCCCTATTGATAGTACATGTAGGTAAGGAAGAAATGAAGCAGTATGAAATCTAGGTGAACTGTAGACACATGTAGAAACAAAAATTAGACATGAGTTGAGGGGAATTTGCCCAAAAGGTCTCACTAAAAGTCTATATTCTTTTTTTAATGGTAATAATTCACATACCGGCAAGCCTTGAAATAAGCGGCCAGGAACCAGTGGCAATGTATTTTTAAAAGTTGCCCCTGGTTCATCGGGCTTTAACCAGAACCAGGAGCAATTTTACAAAAACAGAAAATGACAACTAATTACACAAGTAAAATAAGCTCAAACCTATAATGTTAATTTCATAATGCAAATACAATCAATTTCAATAACTTCTTAATCAACAGAAAAGACTCTAAAAATTGCTGTTCCTGGTCTCAGATATTATATTGTACTGAAGTAAATTGTACTATATTTTAGGCTTTTTCTGTGTTACCCGGGTACTCTCAAACTCAGGGTTGGAAATCCTTGATTTCACCCCACCGTGAGTCTCAAAATAGCCCCCTAAAATCCTGGAAACCGTACTTGGAGGGGTAACCCTTCTATGAAGAGTCGCCCCCGTATGTTGCTACAGATTCTGATTGTCAGCGCAACGATAAATGCCCTGCCCGAGCCCCGACGGACACAAGCTTGCAGTTCAATGGCGCATCGGACTGCTAGCTTGCATACAATTAGTAAAACATGCTGATGTGCGGTCAAAATTGAGCAAAACATTTCAATAAATTGGTATGGGTTCTGTGAAAATATGGTGGAGTTGCTGCAACTGTAACTCAATTGAGTTTACTGGACTGCAGCAGCCACAGCGCAAAAAAGCATCTGATCGATGACGCATTTTGCATATATGGTATGCACGCACGGCCCGTGACGCGAAAAGCACTTTCATACACCTCCGATATCGTTGAGGTTTCTAGTCTTTTTATGAATCTTCCCCTCACTTAGAAAGCATGACTGTCAAAATGTAAAGCGACTCAAATGGTATTCACTGTATTTTACTAACCTCTAAAGCCATGTTGAGATGCATGTTGGAGAAATTGGAGCTCAAATCATTTGTGCTCAATGCAACACCTGCAAAAGATAAAACAAAATAAACCAAATTAGTACAATAAAATTTGTTTACAAATGTAATATAGATGCTGTAGTAATTAATGTTAATAGTGCTCCGTTTGTTTGACACAGAAAATTCAATTATTCATATACACTGTACATCCTGGCCTCATAAAAAAAAAAATGTTTTTCCCCCTCATTAATTTGATAAGTGCTCACATCCTCCTAGATATACATGTAAATTAATGATCTGGATCTGTTTTCTATTCAGTACTTTCAAGTTTAATAGAAATACTTCCTGTTCTACATTTTTCTCCTCTATTCATATATTTGTATTTGTAAGCGCTATGGTACTTATTGTTTTTAGCGCTCCTAAATATTCGATATTATTATGATTATTATTAAATATTAGTTTTGATTTAATTTTGGACTAAGATCAAGTACTTAACTGGGACTAGTATTCTATAATTTCTTTAAAGCTTATCTGCCATAGTTTACAGGAGGGATTACACCGCCCTGCAAGGTCACTGGACAGGTAGTTATCTCATCAACTCAGCTCTCAGTTAACATAAGAAAAAGAGGATCATGGGGGACCAATGGTCACCGATTAGGCATTGTTTGTTATATAGAGGGCGCAAGTAGCTACAAGTAGTGCAGTGGGCCTTTAACATTAGAGTAATTAGGCTATATGCCTAAACAAACACAAACATATTGATACATTAAATGCACAACATTTTGGAGATAGCAAGGCTGGTGAAAGGAGACCAAGATATGATTATATATTTATGTACAAGGGGTATGAATATTTAGTTGTTGACTGTATGTCATTGGTCATTTCACTTCGCCAATGATCGTTGACACAATCAAAATATTGAATCGACCACAGGTTCTTCCCTAGATGAAAAGGAAAGATTCAAAGCACAAACCTGGCTGACCAGGCTGAAAGCTGGGTGATTCATCCCTCTTTTGTCCGCCTGGTGCTGATGATCCTGGAGACCCTGTGTATGTTGATAAGCTTGATCCTACCGAATGCGATCGCTAAAATGTGATCAAGATCGATTCAACATTAGAAGGAAAATTTTCAAGGTAACTGCATGTACAGTATCAATCAGCTTTACCTCTTCAAACACTGACTTTTTTCTTCTCCAATGTATCACATTTCATTCTTCTAAAAAAAAAATCAAATACATATATGTTTTGTATGACTGTAAACCAAGTACAGGGCCTATATGCATCAATATGTACGTAACAAGGAGCTTCCAATTTCTATGAGAACATAGGAGTTTCAAAGTTATTGCTTTTAAGGCTCATCTTCTGATAAATAAGCTTTTAAAAGCTACACACATAAAATAGACAAAAGAGATTTCAGTTCTTTGTATTTACATTTCTTGCTTTCAAAATAACAGGACTTAGGCACAAAGACCATGACTAACACGGACAAATCTGTTATTTTTACCATTATAAAGTGCTTGTTTGTATCATGTTAGTTAACATCTTTTTGAGTTTACGTGTTTTTCCGATCGTGAAAGTGTTACCTGCATAAGGTGCTGGAGTTTGCTGGTTTGTGGGCCATAGTTGTCACTGTCAAAAGGAGCATTGAAGAAGTGATCTGCCATGTGAGGGTCTGCCACTATAAAGGGGGGGGGGGGGGTAATAAAAGTAAAAGGTCACTCAACATCTTCACAGGAATACATAGAAACAAATTCAAAACGATATGTTACAACTTGCAAGGGATGATCAGCCAATTTAAAATACCCATACATGTACCGGTATGTACAGTGTATGGTGATTACAGCTTTCAAAAATTAATAAGTTTCTTAATTTTTGTCTGATTCCATTAAACTCTCATTAGTCTGCTTCTCTTTTTTCTGATTCCTATTAGAGTGGTTTGCTATAAGATTGCATGAAGGGGGGTCATAAGCTATGCCAGCATTTTTTTCAACTGGGGTGCTGCAAAACATTTGTAGGGGTGCAGTGAGATAAATCATATAAGAAAACATATTAGAATAACATCGAAAATGTAAAATGCGTCGGAGGACAGTATTTTTCTATCTTATCTAGTACGTTAATTACAACATCAAAATGTAGACCTTATAAAAAATGTCAATACCATATATATTTTTTTGCTCACTCGCTTTGCTTGCAATCACAAAATTTAGAAACAAATGACTACTGTAAACTGAAATGTTAGGCCCCTACTTAGATTAAAAACAGATCTGGCAGGAAGAAAAACTTATGTGAAAAAATTAATAAAATCTAGGTCTATTTTTAACTCCAGACTATCACCATGAGTATAACTAATTTAAGTAGGACTTCTCTTTTTCTTCTTTCTTCTTTTTTGGTGTGGTTTGAACTCTGAAGCCTAGCCTCTTTGCCACCTGTTATATCCAAGTTCACAGTAATGTCATGAATGCTGAAAGGTCAAAATTGTTTTGTGGGCTTGAGAATTCACTCACTAGATCAGGAAAATTATAAGATACATAAAGTCATATTATGGCACATGGCACATCATATATGTCTTCTGAGCTTCAATATCATGGAGTCTCTACTTTATTTTATCTTTACAAACATTCACATAATTAAATAATGAACACTTCCGAGTGTGAAAGATCATAGCTTGGAATCTTTTAAGAACCTGAATATAAATTTTGCAATGACCAAAGGCAATTTACATCATGAACCTGTACACTGTCTAGCACTATCAATTTGAAATTGTAAATTCAAACAAGCACGACACAAAATTGAGATTACACTACGTCTACAGCCACACTTACAATCCATTTTTGTATCTCGAGTTATACAACTTGATTTTGAGTTTGAATTTAGTTCACAATAATCTATAGTTTCATTGAAAATAAATTTTCAGTCAGCGGCCGGGTTGGCTAAGATTTTACTTCAGCACAGGTCAGTAGATTCAGTCAGCTGGTCAGAGAGATTTTGATGATGAATTAATTAAAGTGCCTCCAGGAGTCCAGCCACAGAAGTTGCTCTCTGAAAGATTGTGAAGAATTAAATCTGATGATCTCCGAAAAAAGATAAATCTCTTCCAGCTCTGCCTACTCCTATTAAATTTACTCTCTCCTGATCTTCTCAATAAAATTTCTAGTCACTGCACTGGCGCTGTATTCGTTCCACTACACTCAATTCAATCGTACACCTGACAAGTTGCACTTGCTGTTTACTATCACTCCAGCACAATGTCGACAAATGCATTGATGGGGGCTGAGCTGACGCCGTACGTAGCCGATGAATCCGATTTTTCCACGGCCTATTACCCGATATTATCTCTCTTGGATTTTCAAAATCACAACATTTTTCCACTTATCTAGGTACTATGTAGTCCTGAAAGGCGGTGAAGTCGACATGGCATTTCCCGAAAGCGGTGAATTTAACCTGAATTTTTCCATATGTGTGGATGAACTACGGAGGAGGAGCGTCCATAGAATACATGCAGTCAATTTACACACACGTAAAATGCATTGACGAACTCGTTAAAAAAAATAGAGTTCATCCTACCGTAGATGGGGTGCACCATTTACAATACATAAGAAAAAAGCAGGTAAAACAGAATGGATGAGGAGGAAGAAGAAGAAGAAGTTAAAGCTATTCAAATGACAAAAAATATCGCATGACTTTCGCAATTGTTGTTGCAGATCATTCTTTAACTGACTTAGTGACTGTTTCATTGTAAAATCGCATCAAATAATAGAAATATGTTATCTCAAAAGCTCAAACTGTTCATTGGCCCATGGAATATTTAGGCCTGTTTGGAAATGTTTTCTTGTTCGTTTGTCATTTTTTTTTATTTACTAAGTTTATTATTATTTTGTTTTAAAATGAGCATCGTAGGCTTAATAATTGTGTGGTTTTCTTCTCTATAGCAGAATTATTAGTAAAGTAGACGATGGTGAAGACAGGAACCAGTCAGGCGCGTACACAGGGGGGGTGTTTGGGGGGTTAAACCCCCCCCCTTTGGTAATTTTTTGTATGTAAACCCCCCCCCTAAATTTCTCTAAAACCCCCCCCCCCTTTTGTTCGTTTTTTTTTTTAATTTTTAATTTTTATTAAAAAATAATAATAATAATAATAAAAAAATTCCCATGGTTGACCTAAAAAAGCTGACCTAACCCCCCCCCACCCTCCCCCACCCCCCCCCCCCAACGGAGCAAAATGTCAAATTTTCAAATTTTGAGACCAAAAAAAAAAAAAAAGTGACCTCTTACCCTCGCATCCCTCGCATAATACCCTTCAAAAACACTATAATAAAAGTACATATGGTAGAAAATCTGTATTCCATTGGTATCACGTAAGCACAGTTTACATTGTATGTTTACAAGATTAAGAGTTATAGAAACAGATCAGTGCTACAAAAATGAATATTTCGCTTGCTCTTTGCAGTAAGGAGTAACTACAACATAGTGTTTATATTTGCCAGGCTGCCTATTTGCCATTTCAACTCCCATAGCGATATCAAAGGATCAATATACACGTATATGACAGAGGCCTAGAGTGGGAAATAGAAATCCCATCCATGCCCAAGCTCCCTGGTGATACTAAAATTTTCCTACTAAACTGATGTTTACAACCCTTCGGACGGCACTAATTACCAGCAAAATAAAAAGTGATGAGTGAAAAAAGATATATTTCTAGGTTTTGTACTATAGTTTTGCTAAGAAAGGTAATTTTTTTAATACAACAAAACCTCAAAAACGCGTGAGGGGGTAGTCAGTGCCATCACCTTCGCCCCTCTCATTCCCCATGCTCCCTCGTCCATCGCACTGGCGCACTGATGGGGGCTTGGGGGCAGATTCCCCCCCCCCCCCAAATAAAATTCAAACGTTTTTCTCACTTTTTGGTAAATTATACTTTTGTATGCGTTAATGGAAAATTCCTAAATTTACAGTCAGGCAAACAGTATGCTTATTTAGAAGCCTGCATATCAAGGCCCGCGGATCGGGGGGCTGGAGCCCCCCCCCCCCCCGGCCCCTCACTTTTTTGAAAACGTATGTAATTATCTGACCGTAATTTAATGCCTAAAACCCCTGAGCTTCCGGGGGGTCCACCCCTTGACCCCCGCTGGGGCTTTGACCCTGGACCCCAAGCAAAAGTACGCTCCTTTGAAAAACGTTCTGCGATGCATGCATGTAACATATAAGAGTTGTGGTGATGCGGACTGTTTTCTTCCCCCCCCCCCCCAACGTGTTTGCTCATTACGCCACTGGTCCGTCACATTTCGCCCCCCCCCCGGTCATTAAAAAAAAAAATCGCCGCCCCTGGATGTAGAGTAACAATTCAGATGTATTTTGAAACAAGTTAAAGGCAACAAAAAGTAAATGAAACAGCGATAAAGAACAAGAACAACAACTTACATAACTTGAGGCCACCGTCTTTCACTATGAATACGTCTTAGATTGGTCTTAAATTGGACTTGTTGTTGTCTCACCGTCTTTTCTGGGACTGATTTTGATTCTTTTTTTTTTTTACGTTTATGATCCTACGGAGAGTAAAAACTGCTTCGCACTTTTGGTCAGCTTAACGTGTATTCTTCGTTCAACGCCCCAATTCAATTCCAAATTTCCAACGTTAAATTACACAATATGTTTCTACAAAAAATAAATTTACACCACTTGGGTAGCATTATATTGGCACCAAGTTTAGTGGATATCTGAATATGCATTATTCCTTACGTCATAGACGTGCGTCGTGCAATTGAAACTTTAATCCGGGCCTACAAGTTATGAAGTTTGGAAAGTTTAATCGCCTTTTGATACCGTGGTGTGCTGGTTGTTCTTTTCTTGTCTTTCCTCACTTAAAATGCAGATAATGTCCAACCCCCCCCCCCCCCCCCCAGGTTGGTCACCAAACTGTGTATACAGTTCAAAGACATACACCATTAAAGGTACAGACCAGTTTTGGAAACGCCCCCTCTCAACAAATGAAATGGAAGCTGTTATTACAAATCATGTGAAAGAATATGTTTTTTAAGAAGTCCCTTACTGCCTACTTACTAAATTGACCTAATAAATATTTACAACCCTTTGGACTTTGGACTACTTGTTAAGAGCCACCTCTAAATATCTGCATACACCACAACATTCAGTGAAAATTGTATTTTTATATCAGAGCAAAATTTTACGATCAAAATTGCTTACCTTGGTCAATTTTGCCAATTGTCTCGGAGAAAGAACGCATTTTAGTCTTCGAAATGAATTGGAAAGGCTCTTTAGCAATATCGAAGCCAACACGGACAGACAGTGATCTGTTCAAGCTTGGTGGTCTCCAGTTCCCCACACCTACCCTATATAATAAGAGTTATCATATAGCTCTATTGGGGTAGTCACTTGAGCTCCTTTCACCGGCGTATTGATGGGAGCGCAGTAACCCCCCCCCCCCCCCCCCCTAATAAAATTCAAACATGGTTTATTTCTAATTTGATATTTAGTGATTTACAAATGTTGCTAAAGTGGCATTATTTTTCCCCGAGCTCCCGGGGGCTATACCCCCTGGACCCCACCAATGGCCCTAAGGCGGCCCCTGGTTACTCATCTGACCGTAATTAAATGCCTAAAATCCCTGAGATTCCATAAAGGGCCCGAGGGGGTCCCTAGACGCTCATCAGTCTCATCGTAATTTAATGCCTAAAACCCCCGAGCTTCTGGGGATGCCGCCCCCTAGACCTCACTCAAATTAGTGACTTGCCAGTGTCACAAATAAGGTATCAAAGTATGCTCATCTGACCGTTATTATATGCCTAAAACCCTGAATGCTCATCTGACCGTAATTAAAGGCCTAAAACCCCTGAGCTTCCTGGGGCTCCGCCCTTGACTTTGCTGGGGCTTTGCCCCTGGACCCCACGCCAATTGATGCTCCACTTGCTTTGCTCGCTTTGCTCTATCTGATCGTAAATACTTAAGTACATTACTGATAATACAAAAGAACAAATCAGTATAGTTGAATGCTGTGTATTAACAATTATATTGGCCTTTATTTTCTGATACCATTAAAAAAAAATGATTTTAAAGAAAATTCACTATCATGATCAGCTACAATTCTACATCAAACATCGAATTTGAAGATTGTCAAATACATGAAGTCCAAACTCTATAATATCACTTTTACATGTACCCATTTCAAATGTAACTTAATATGACACAAACCTTTTTTTTATTTCAAATGTAACTTAAATATTACACAAACCTTCTAGAAACCAGTCATAAAGAAATCATAACATTTTTATCACATTCAAAAATAAACAAATGAAGAAAAAAAAACTTAAAGATTTATACTTCGATTCACTGAAAGAAGTGTACACTAAAAACTAGTTACATAACAATGATATTGGGCCCATGAAAATGAAAACTTTTGCTGGTCCTTCGTTTATATCCTGATGTAACAAGATAAGATACATGAGGTAAAAAAAGGACCAGCAAAAGTTGCCTTGTTATGCCATCGGTATCTTGTTATGCCAGAGTTACTCACAAAGAGGTATTCATAACTATAATTTGTAACGCAGATTTCTTTGGATTTCGACATACCACTTCTAATACAAAGTGTCTGTTGAGAGCATGGCCTCGCTGAAAAACAGCATTTGCTGAATGCGGGCACAATTTATTGTAATAGTCTTTAACCTTGAATAAATAAAATATACCATACCATAACAGAGCGTTGTGAATTGACATCCTATTTGGAAATTTACTTCTGGCTCTCAACAGACTATAACAAATCTGAAAATATACATGCTGACTGAAGAAAATCAAACTTATACTTGTATACCACAACCATACAGTGTAGTCGAATTCCCTGAATGAGAAACTTTCATCCACCTGACCATATTCGTATAAATATGTAATCGATAAGAAAAATGGAAATGTAATGAATAATTCAGAATGTTGAGATTATATGCAATGCTAAAACTTAGGCCTCGCTGAAAAACAGCATTTGCTGAATGCGGGCACAATTTATTGTATTAGTTTTTAACCTTGAATAAATAAAATATACCATACCATACCAGAGCGTTGTGAATTGACATCCTATTTGGAAATTTACTTCTGGCTCTCAACAGACTATAACAAATCTGAAAATATACATGCTGACTGAAGACAATCAAACTTATACTTGTATACCACAACCATACAGTGTAGTCGAATTCCCTGAATGAGAAACTTTCATCCACCTGACCATATTCGTATAAATATGTAATCGATAAGAAAAATGGAAATGTAATGAATAATTCAGAATGTTGAGATTATATGCAATGCTAAAACTTAAAGTGTACCAAACATACATCAATTTGACAAACACGTTAGGGTAAACAGGTAAATGTGGAATATAAGTTCATGAATAACATATTCTTCCTTACTCAGTTTCTAATAAGAGATGGAATAAACAATATCTGTTATCAAATCAAGTTATACATGATTCTAATTTTTCATGAGAGTATGGAATTACACATCAGCCTTTGGTGAAAACTAATGACAATAATCCC